TTATTATTTTCTTTCGGTTATTAAGAACAAATTGTGGAAAGTCCAACTATGCAAAGAGGTTCAATATCAACATCACACAGCTGGAGACTAAATTGTAATTTTTTTACTTGCTGAAAGCTATAAATATTAAAATTAACACAACAAGCAGTTAAAACATCTTACAGTGTATATCTACAGGTCCTCAAAATATTACCATATTGTAATAAAGTTTTCATAATGTAATGATAAAATTTGAACATTCATATATTGATTCATTGCACACTTATTTAAATATTTCAGGTCTTTTATTGGATGATTTTGGCATACAGCTCATGAAAACCCAAAATTCCTATCTCACAAAATTAGCATATTTCATCCGACCAATAAAAGAAAAGTGTTCTTAATTCAAAAAAAGTCAACCTTCAAATAATTATGTATAGTTATGAACTCAACACTTGGTCAGGTATCCTTTTGCAGAAATGACTGCTTCCATGCGGCGTGGCATAGAGGCAATCAGCCTGTGGTACTGCTGAGGTGTTATGGAGGCCCAGGATGCTTCGATAGCTGCGTTTAGCTCATCCAGTATGAAATGTGTCATGTAAACACTTCATAGTGAAGATTCTCGTTCGGCCCGATTGGAGAGGAATTTCATTCCAATCAAGAGGTTGTTTTGTGTGCCATCCTGCCCTCTATCCCTGTAGTAAAGGGCATTAGCATAAGGTACCTCTGATCCCTTAACCTAACTAAAATTACCACCAAAAACAAAAGTATGATGCAACAAAGGTCCATAGTGGAAAAAACGACATCAACAGAGACGACTGAAGAAACGCAGAAAAAAAAAAGTCAGGGGCAGGCACAACGATTGACTAAAGATGAGGATGAGCAGACAAGTATAGGTTCGTTTACAAAACACGCAGCTTCTTCTTCTACTACTAAAGTGTTTTCGGAAAACTAGACTGCTCTGCACATTGTTGTGCCATATGCCATGATCAAACTTTTTGGACATTGGGAACCAGTGTCCATATTTCATCTTGATAGGATGACCAGAGGAGAACAAGCAGCTTTGGTGAATAACAGCTGGGGGACTTCTGCAGCCCCCCCCTTTTCAGCCAAAGCAGTCACAGGCCAATCACATGGAAGCCACCAGAGGTTTGAAAAACCACCTCCCTCTCTGTGAAGACAGTGAAAACCAGAGAGCACACAGCATTCTCTCTGTTCTGCTTTAGCCCTTCATTTCCTCCTGCACCCTTTGGCTCCTGCTCTCCTTGCCTCCTCTCCCTTGCCCATGAAGCTGGGGTCCGCAGTGGAGATGCAGGCCCCAGGGGAACCAGATCCCCAGAACCATCAAGGATAAGTCAGAACCTTTCAGAACCAAGCTGCTGCAAACAGACCTTTTGCAACACATTTCTCTTAAGTTTCAGAACTTTTAGAGCCAAACTGGATGAGGACCATGCCCTGGGTGTGAGACTGAGGGGACCCCTGCTGTGAGACTCAGACAAAGAGCACCTGACTGCAGAGCTGCAAAACTGGATGAAACTCAAGCTTTCCAAATGGACATGGGAAAAGGTTTGCAGGTCTGGCATGATTAGGGACAGAACAAGCAATATGTCTTTTGATGATGCTAATCATATCGTGTTTTTACTGCTGAGTAAAGACAACGCTAATTGATGATAAAGAATGGACTGGATGCTACGCTATGCTACAGGAATATGTGTTGACTGTTGCTAAAGCTTAGACAAGCTTTATTCACTAAGGATTTAAACACTGATATAACATTAGTGTTCATATGTTCCTCAGATGCTCATTACATTTCCATTACCAAGTATGGCCAAGAGCCATTTAGCGGAATTCTGATGTCTATTCGCTGCTAGCTATCTCAAAGAGGGTAAAGAATCATTTAACTAAAGGTTTTTGGTTCTTGATTAAGCAAATCATTTAATAAAACATTATTTGGCCAAATAATGTTTTATTCACCTCATGGATTTGCATTGTGAATTGGTCTGAAAACATTCCAATTTCTTTAAAATTAGTGAAAAGCTAATTTGATCATATCCCAAATTATTCCAGATAAACTTTGGTTTCAAACACAGAATCCATCTTAAACTGCAATATGTTTTTCAACCGTTTTCCCCTTCCTCTTTGTACATAGTAGTTAGTTTAGTTTAGTTGAGTTTTACTAGTCTTAGTTGAGAGTGTTAAACTGAAATATGTTTGACTTGCGGATGAAGGAATTTTTGTTAATAAACTCTTATATTTTGAACAGAAGTTTTTTTTTGGCCAGGCAGCGTATTTCAGTTTTTGTCCACATACACAGCCATACATAGCCATATAGAGAGTTATCAGTTCCTTATGAAAGCTACCATGATTTCCAAAATGAAATGAACTATTTTCTTGAGAGTAACCTATAGGTCAGGGGTCTGCAACCTGCGGCTCCAGAGCCACATATGGCTCTTTGGACCCTCTCCAGCGGCTCTTTATAGTGGCTAAAATGTATATAAAGAGCTAAATAATTTGCTTTAATATATACCGGTATCAATAGCTTTAGCGTTTTTTATAAGATGGAAAAGAATGAGATTAAAAGAACCAGGAATATGTTTTAAGAGACATTTTTCTATGAATCAGCTTGAAAATTATGTTTTAACATTAAAAATACATGTATTGTTGATTGTTTGAGATGGCAACAACTAATTTCCTATGCAAGATATAAAAAAAAAGGTTTTCTAGAAAAAGTCATGTTACATTTTGCGGCTCTAAACAACTTTTACTTGGGCAAAATGGCTCTTTGGATATGAAAGGTTGCAGACCCCTGCTATAGGTTATGGATATTGATTTTTTAAAATCCAAAATAAATATCATTCTGTTAGCACAGATTTCAGCACTAATGTATAAAATGAATATTTAAAAAAAAAGAAATACTTTAAAGAACGTCATAGGGATGTCCCAATCCGTTATTATTATCAGATATCAGTCTAATATTAGCCAAAAAACTAAACTAAAACTAAACTAATCAGCCACAACTAAAATGTCAAATATCTTTATGGTAATAGAAACACTTCTTTTAAAAGTTTCAGTGAGCCATTAGCTAATTTTACATGAGTTTTTTTCATACCTTTTGTTGCTGACCTTTGTTCCCTTTTCTATCATTCTACAGTACAAAAATAAGTAATTTAAATAATTTTTGATAATATCATATTGGGTTAATATTGGCATAAGTCAATTCTAAAAGATGCAATATCAGTATCGTATTGGAAATTAAAAAGTTGCATCGGGACACCTCTAGTTCATATAGCTTATGTTTTATGCCTTCATGGCTTCAAGTCTATGGCTACATATGTACAAGCTGGATGAAAGCTGTTGATATACCTCAACCTAAGTTATTCACAGTGTTAAGTCTAGGTTCACAACAAAATTTTTTTTTAAAGATACTGGTCTAGTCTTTTCATAGAATGTACAGAGTTACAACACGCAGAAGTATGATTATGTGGATTCAGAATTGGCTTTTTCTTGCAGCTTTTTACTTAAGATGTTTTGATAAGTTATTGTTCCGCAACCATCCAAACAAAAACACACTTACTTTTAAAGTGCTATACATTGTTACAGGTTACAATAACATTTCCTGAAATATTTCTGTAAGGCAGAAAGCTTTATTATTATATTTTGGTCTTATTTGCATTTTCTGCTAATATACATTTTATAGGATACATATAATTGTAACTTTCAAGTTTTAAATCCATTTCTGAAAATACGACTGAAAATGGAAAAACATAAATTGTTAATGTTATTTTCCTCTTTAATAAAATAAAAATTCAATCAGTGTAGACATTAACAAAGTATATAAATTAATAAAATTTTACATACAACATCTGCATCAAAGCTATCCACATTCTTAATCTCTTTCTTTAATTTCATCCTCCTTTGGTTTTCTTCCAGACATCCGTTCTGCTTCCACCTATAGTATAACAATCTTTCCACTACTGAATCTATATCAAATTGGACACATTTAACAAAATATGAAAGATAGTGCATTATAAGTTATGAATATCTTAAATGAAAAATACATTTTTAGTGTATGGCCCAGTGTCAGTGTGCTGTTTGTCTCACAAAGTGTTTCAGTGCTGTACTTGATCAGCTCTCTTATATAAACATAAGTCTCAAATGTTTTGCACACATAATGTTTAAAGAATACATTTTACGCATATATATATATATATATATATATATATATATATATATATATATATATATATATATATATATATATATATATATATATATATATATATATATATATATATATATATATATATATATATATATATATTTATATATAACTATAAATCCAAAGTCAGAATTCTGAGATTAGTCAGAATCAGATTAAAGTCGGAATTCTGAGAAAAAGGTCAGAATTCTGACTTTTTTCCTATATTAAACTGAGATAAAATTAAAAAAATGTCCCTAATCCTCTTCCATGGTTTTAAGTTAAATGGCAGGTGCTAATTTACACACCTACATATGTTTTGGGTTTTACAATGAAGAGCTTAACCCATTTACTACATTTAAGTAACTTTGGTATATTGTAATTCTTTTCCGGAGGGCTGTAATTCTATTTAGACAATTCATGTGGTTGTGCGTCAAGTAAGGACGTCCTTCAGGTAGCACAGCAGCTTTAAGATGCTTTCCTACCTGGGATCATTTTCTTAAGGCTGTGCTTTGCAACATCCTATCAGAATATTCTATTTCTCTTAACCATACTAATGATATGCATGTGCGCTGAATCATTTGGTTTTTTTTTTCAGCTAAAAACACAACCGTGAAAATTTGTTCAATATTCAGTGAGTTAAAGTTGATTAAAATAGATTTTTTGCCAGCCCAACACATTACAGAGCGGAGCAGTCGACCGCCCCAAGATGGCGCCACCAAATCACGTCAGCGGCCATAAGCGGAAGTCTACTTCCGCCAGCTTGCTTGAATGGTTAAACCAATACGACGTCACCGACAAAAGAGCCAATAGAAGAAGCCCAAATGTGGAGTAACACGTCACTCTAGTGAAGTGGAGAAGCCGGGGCTGACAGGGTGCGATCTCACCACCGACATCTATCTGCCCTCTTCATTCCTCTATTTCTTCTTCCCGATGCTCTAATCTATTTCATACACAAAAAGCCACTCTCTTGTCCCAAAGTTAACTTCATACAAAAGGTAAGTGTTCCGGTTAATTTCGGTCGAAAGTAGGTCGTCCATATTTTTTTAGCTTCCATTTAACTCACAGGAAGTGTCGAGATGCTACATTCAGTTAGCATGCTCGACCTATGTAAGATGTTCGACTTTTAAGAGCAACAAGGACATAATTTGAATGTAAATGCCGAGTTAAAGATTCACAGTTTGGATATTTGAACATAAAAAACTGTAAAATATTTTCAAGCTTTTCCGTATTGTTATATTTCTGACCAGTTTCAGCAAATCTGATCAGTACAGACTGTATAACTGGTGTCTTTATTGGCGATGACCCGTAGCTGCTAGTTTGTTATATCGATGAGGTCTGTTCAGAATGTATATATAAACAGTTCTAACAGAGACTTCTCAGTTTTCCTAAACGTGAAACCAAGATTTTATTGCTGATTCCTTGGTTTTTGATTGCCACTTTGATAAAAACGTATTTTTCCTGACAACTTAAGTGGGATTTTAAAACTTTAATTGCTTATTATATGCAGCACTATGACATAAGGGTCTTTAAGGGGAAACTACATGCAATAAAAAGATGGTTTTCTGAAATAAATGATCCAGACATCAATTAGGTAATATTTGAACTATGAACTTTTGATTCAGTTGAACACAGGCATAAAAATGTCACGTAAGGCTTTGGACCTGCTGACGTGTAATCTAGAAATCCGAGGAACAAAGTGTCTTATGTTATCATTACACAAATCATTTAGATGTTTATGGCAAAAAAAGATTAGTAATAATAACTTTTATTTAGTTTTTGGTTGCTAAAATATCTAAAAATAAGTAATCAGTGCAATATTAAGCCTTTTAAAGATTTATTTGCATCAATCAAAACAACATGTGTTCAGTTTATTCATTCATTCTGATGGGCTTTTTATTTTCATATCTTGGCAATTAAAACAAAAACAAGAAATCGAAGTAGAATAATAAATACCAACATGACAGATGAGTTGGGTAACCCGACAAACATGCATATGCTTGTAGAAACAAGTACTCATTTATATGCACTGATAAGTCCTCTAGGCAAATATCAAAAGATGATGAGGAAAATAAAATAAAAAAAGGCAAAGCCAAATTAAAATTTGCATCAATAAATTAGATTTTTTTCAATCTCAGACGCTTAACTAGAATATAGCTACTGCATTATATGCAGTAGCTATATAATGCATATATTCAGTTTATCAAGAAAAATATCTTTGACGTTTATCTGTTTGTTTTTTGCCCTTTCCGATTCCATTTCTAATCTTTCTCCAAAGGAAGAATTTGCCCTCTAATAACACCGAAGGAGGATATCTAACTGTTGCCAAGTGCTGTTTAGTGATGCTTTGCTAAGGGCGTCACTCCTTTAAGCTGCTGTACACCTTCAAAAGCAGAGCATATTCAAACAGTTCTAATCAAAAGTTTGGACACACCCCGTTGTTCACGTTAAAATTCTTTTGCACTCCTCTCTTTACATCATCAAAACTTGTTCGGCAGGTTTACAAAGACACATTGTGCGTCATGCTTGCGGAGTTCCGTTTCTTATTTTAACCCAGACGTGAAAGACTTGTGTGTATTTAAAGCAGACCTTTGTCGCATTTGGTCACACAGAGGAGAACAACTGATGAAGACACAGTACTTAGTTTGGAGCAACAGAGTTTTGGACTACCTGAGATAGTTTAAGCAACACTTCTGCTGGACTAAACCCGTTGGTTCGGTTTATTTAACGTCTCTTTCTGCCGTAGCTTGGCATGTCGACCTACCAGGAGTTCATCCAACAAAACGAGGACAGAGATGGGGTGAGATTCAGCTGGAATCTCTGGCCCTCCAGTCGTCTTGAGGCCACCAGGCTGGTGGTCCCTGTCTCCTGCCTCTTCACTCCTCTCAAAGAGAGGCCCAACCTGCCACCTGTCCAGTACGAGCCAGTTCTGTGCAGCCGGGCAAACTGCAAAGCAGTTCTCAACCCACTATGGTAAGTTTCACACAAATCCATTCCCGTGTGTGAAGCCTGTATTCTTACAGACGAGGTTTATGTATCTAAATTCAACTCTTGTTTAAAGAGCTATTCCATGCACATCATGTTTATCACTTTTTGTGAGATGAAAATGTTTGGCAAAGACATAAAGAGATGACATTGGTTATATGGAAAAATGATAGAAACCTGTTAAAAATGTGAGGACTTAGCTAAAATTCTGTTGAAAACCATAAAAAGCTTATACCAATAGGTATGGAAATAAGATAAAATTAATCTTTAATTTAGAATTAAACTTCTGGTATAAAAGTTGGTAATTTACAGAGTATGAAATATAATTGTATTACATCATTGCTTCTAATTTTTGCAGATTGGTTGTTTGCAATTTTTTAAATCCAGTGATGGGTCTTGACTGTCCTTTTTTAGCGGAATTTATTTTGGGATTAAATTCTGAAATCTTATATTGTTACCAGGAGGGATTCATGAAAGCTTAAACACACACATTGTTTACCTCAGTGTCACACTTTCATTTTTTTTTTTTAACTCTAGTCTAGACCCCCAAAAAACAATATTTAAATTTTATCCTTTTATTTTCTCTAGTCAAGTCGACTTCAGAGCCAAAATATGGGCGTGCAACTTCTGTTTCCAGCGGAACCCTGTAAGTGCCACCACATGCAACATGTTTCCATGCTTAATTCATCCTCTGACCTCTGTCAGTTCATCCATAAGCCTCAGAAATAAATGTTACCATTCCACATTCCTTTATTGTTGAGCTGACAATTCCTTTGTGTTCGTACAGTTCCCTCCCTCCTACGCAGGCATATCAGAAGTGAACCAGCCAGCCGAGCTCATGCCACAGTTTTCCACCATTGAGTACATAGTACAGGTAAATGAATGTGTGTTTGCACCCTGACCTCGCCCTTGCATAACATGTACTGCTGATCTGCTATGCAAAAGAGAGCATGATGATTTGCATAAGAAATATGTAATAAGAATATAACAATAGTTTTATAATTGGCTACAGTTAAAGGAATGAAACTATACGCAGGATTTAATGACAGTTTTTATTCAGTTTACTGTCTTAGGTAATACATAAAGAAGGTTTTCAATAATGGCATCTGGAATTAATTCCCCAAAGCGTAAAACTTTCAACCTTGCAAACCTTTAGGTTTTTGGGCTTTTTAACTTTCTCCTGAACCACACAACCTCACTGATGTTTCAATGGTCCCTTTTCCTTACTCCTCACAGCGTGGACCCTCAGCCCCGCTCATTTTTCTATATGTGGTGGACACATGTTTAGAAGAGGAGGACCTCCAGGCGCTGAAGGAATCCCTCCAGATGTCATTGAGTCTGCTGCCACCAAATGCCCTGGTGGGCCTTATCACTTTTGGACGCATGGTTCAGGTCCATGAGCTGACATGCGAGGGGATCGCCAAGAGCTACGTCTTTAGAGGCACCAAGGACCTCTCCTCCAAACAGATCCAGGTATGTGAAGATTACTTTGATGACAAAGAAAACATTTGGGAACAAAAAGAGAACATATTTACGTATATAAAGACCTGTGATTAGTGTGAAATGTAGCATTACTGGTTTGACTGGGTCCAAATTGGATTGATTTCACTGCCTGTGGGTGTTTTTGTATTTCTTTGTGAAGTGAAAAAGCTAGCATTCATTCTAGCAAGCACTCTCAGATCACTCAGCAATGCATGCATTCAATTTCAGGAGATGCTTGGGCTGGCAAAGCCCGCAGCACCAGGACAGCAGGGTCGTCCTGTGGCTCCCCAGGATGCTGCTGCCTCCTGCAGGTAAGAAGGAGGAATACCACTTCTCAGTTCTAACCAATATCTGCTGCTTTTAAAAGCACCTGCAGCAGATGGCTTGTTTTTTGGGTTTTTTTTTTCTAAAAGCCCTGCTTTTCCCCATCCAGGTTCCTTCAGCCAGTTCACAGAGTTGATATGAACTTGACCGACTTGCTTGGGGAGCTGCAGAGAGACCCCTGGCCTGTCCCTCAGGGCAAGCGTCCGCTGCGCTCCACTGGTGTGGCACTGTCTGTTGCTGTTGGCCTTCTAGAGGTAAAAACAAGTCATTAATACTATACTGGTTTCAGTTATGTTCATATATATATATAATGTATGAAGTCATCCTGTTCGTCTGCTCTTCACCTGATATTGCTTCTTAAAGAACAGCTTGTTAGCATTGCACTCATTTGCCACGCTGTTCCTTTCTCCTCTCCACCATCATCCTCTAGTCTTCTAATGTTGTATAACTGATAGCACAAGAGAAAACAAACAAAAGATTGTACCTTTCCTCACCCTTTGGGGGAATTTCTGTGCTTTTAGTAACTTTGGGTTCCCTGATCAAACTCCAGAAATAAACTGTGAATGTAAAGCAGATCTTCAGAATGCTGAATGCCTTATGTGAAAAACCAATGTCTTTTTGGAAGTGTGTTTGAATGTAGTTTTTTTTAATTAAAAAAGCTTTCAGTTGCTTTTTTTTAGTGGTGAGATGGCTGATTTCCAAATGTCTTGTCATGCAGAGGACGTTCCCAGACTTTGGACTGTGTGTTTATCTGTTGCCAGCGTGTGTTGCCGTGCTGATCTTTGCTGACTAACAGTAGATTTGCCTCTCTTGCACTCTGTGTGATCTTTTTGTTTTTTTTGTTTCAACTTTATATAAGGACCAAATATTTACAGCGATAACTATCTTTGCTCTCATCTTTCTCTACTTTCTTAATAATTCCTTTCTTTCAGAAAAAAGTATTTAATATAAGATATAGATATAGTCCTGCTTAAATCTTCCTGCAAATGTCCTATTCATGTTCTAACCACTAACAGATCTGAACAGATGTGTTTTTGTGTTTAATCTGCTGTTTGTGTTTTTATGTTTGATCTGCTGTTTGTGTTTTTGTGTTTAATCTGCTGTTTGTAAGAGAGGGTAAAATCCAACTTCTTTATTTTTTATTTCTGTCTCTCTCAGGGGGCCTTCCCAAACACAGGAGCCCGTGTGATGCTGTTCATTGGCGGGCCGCCCACCCAGGGACCAGGCATGGTGGTGGGAGATGAACTAAAAACCCCCATTCGCTCCTGGCATGACATCCAGAAGGACAACGCGCGGCATCTAAAAAAGGCTACCAAGGTGACACATTAATGAAACCTCTGCAGATACGTTTCGCTACAAGAAAATTAGTTTTGCACATTGAATTAATTTGATCTGTTTTTCTCTCTCTGTTTGTATTTGCAGTACTATGAAGCTTTGGCGAACCGTTCCGCTGTGAACGGACACAGTATTGACATCTACGCATGTGCTCTGGACCAAACAGGCCTGCTGGAGATGAAGTGTTTATCTAATCTCACAGGGTATGTCAGAAATTACTCCTTCATTTGAGGGATTTATTTCTCTTTTTCTGGCCTTTTTTTAAAATTCTAGTTTAGTTTCCTTTATTCATGCCTTAGAGATTGGACAATGTTCCCATAGATATACTAGGAGAATAGAAGAGATTCACTCCAAACATTCATTACTAAATAAAAAAACAATTTTCCATTACTGATCAATTAGATGTATTAAATATGTGATTTATTTATGTTTGTAACTATTTCAGGGGACATATTGTGATGGGGGACTCCTTCAACACCTCCTTGTTTAAGCAAACCTTCCAAAGAGTCTTTAGCAAAGACTACAACGGAGACTTCCGAATGGCATTCGGAGGAGTGCTGGAGGTCAAGGTAAATTAAAAACTTTACTCAGTTAACTTGAAATACGAAGGGTATTTGTAAAAATCTTTAGTTAAAAGTTAAATTCTGACCGTTTTGATCCTTGTAGACCAGCAGAGAGCTGAAGGTTAGCGGGGCCATTGGACCGTGTGTTTCGCTGCATTCAAAGGGTTCCTCTGTTTCGGAGAATGTAAGTCCCTCTAGCAGATTTTACCTGGGGGCTCTGATTCTTCACCCCCATCATAGGTAGTCTAAGAGATGCCATTAGCTGGAATTCACCATACTGGTTTTGTGTGTGCAGGAGATGGGCATTGGTGGGACAACCCAGTGGAAACTATGCGGCCTTGACCCCTCCACTACCCTGGGCGTTTACTTTGAGGTTGTGAATCAGGTAAAAACCTTTCTATCTTTTTTGTAGTCGTTATTTGTTTTTTAGCTCTCAAGGACTGTAGCTTTGGAGAACAACCGTTTGTGATCCAGTATAATGGCTTTCTCTTCAAATTTGCAGACAATGGCTTGTTGTTTTTCTTGCAATAACAGCATTGTTGTTGAAGTCTTCCATGAGGAATAATTGTTGTCTGTGTTTTATCTAGCACAATGCACCAGTCCCACAGGGTGGACGTGGGGCGGTCCAGTTTGTTACCCAGTACCAGCACTCCAACACACAGCGGAGGATACGGGTCACCACCATTGCCAGAAAGTAAGTCTCTTACTGTGTTGCTGAAGCTCTCCGCTCAATCAGATCATTGTGCGGTTTGGTGTGTCCCTGACAAACCCAGCTAGTGTTCCTAAAAAGAACTTGAATAAGGAATTCATTGAATAATGGAATGTAACCTTGAACTAAGGTTGTCCTCACTAAAGAGATGTGCATATTTGCCCTTTAGAAAAATGTATAAACTATGTGTCATCTCACCACACCCATTCTCACCTGTCCTTTCTTTTTCTCATGTTCTACATTCTTCCCTTACCTCAAATCCTCCCCTTTTTCTTTATCTTCCACCTACTCAAGTTGGGCCGACGTCCAGTCTCAGATTCAGCACATTGAGTCCTCGTTCGACCAAGAAGCGGCTGCCGTGCTCATGGCACGCCTCGGTGTCTTCAGGGCGGAGTCAGAGGAGGGTCCTGATGTGCTCCGGTGGCTCGACAGGCAGCTCATCCGTCTGGTAAGTTAGAACAAGTCAAGAATCCTGTTAAATTCAATATCAGAAATATATATTTTTTTAAATCTAAAATTTTTTATATCTATTAATCGAATAAATTATTTTAGTAAAAGAAAAGCAGGCGTTGGCAATCAGATGGATTTTAATTAACAACTCTGCTGTTGGTCAATTAAAAATTGAAGTTTATGTAAATGGACTTTATTCTGTGGTATGATTAATATTTAATTAAACGCTTCTTTTTTCTTTCATGTTTTTTTTTTCAGTGTCAGAAGTTTGGCCAGTTCAATAAAGATGATCCAACTTCCTTTAGGCTGTCTGAGTCCCTGTCCCTCTACCCACAGGTAAACCAAGTGGAAATCTCACAGAAACAAAACATTTAAATAGTTGGTCAGATGGTCAGAATACCTGCCTTCTATGAAAGATGTTCCATTTGCACTGAAATCTCCTGTATTCCCTGTATAGTCATCTCTGTTAACAACCAATTGATACAAACATGAAAACTGCTTAAAGGTAAATAATAATTAAAAAAAAGTTAGAATTTAAGCCGGTTAATTAAAGTCAGTCAGCTCATGGGTCCAATTAATCTGACTTAGTGTTATAGTATGACACAATGAGAGAAAACCATTTGCTGCAGTTCGTACAAACAGAACATCACTTCCAAATAAAGTTAACTTGACTTTTCATTAATAAAAACTCTAATCAAAGATGTATAATAAGTAATTTTATAAATAGTTAGCGTTTACAAGAACATTATCATTTACCTATTTGTTTTTGTTTGTTTTTTTGTAGTTCATGTTCCACCTGCGGAGATCACCCTTCCTTCAGGTGTTCAACAACAGCCCAGATGAGTCGTCCTACTACAGGCACCACTTTGTTAGGCAGGATCTGACCCAGTCCCTGATAATGATCCAACCCATCCTCTACTCGTACTCCTTCCACGGACCACCAGAGGTCAGCATCACTCCCTCTCTACTAGCATCCTTTGTTAGTTGTTGAGCTATGTTTAGTTTGAAAAAGTGTTTGTTTTTTGTTTTTTATTGGATAGGGTGATAAACCAGTTTGATTGTGTTTTTTTTCTCAGCCTGTGCTCCTGGACAGCAGCAGCATCCTTCCAGATCGAATCCTGCTGATGGACACCTTCTTCCAGCTGGTTATCTACCATGGAGAGGTGAGACAGAGCGCCACTGAACCTCTTAAAAAACATAGTGCGCATCGAAAAGTTTCTTTCCAAATGTTTCATGTTGTTGTTTTTTTTTTTACATAAATTAATTAACATTTTTATTTTCCTGTTTGCTTTTAGACTATTGCTCAGTGGAGGAAGGCAGGCTACCAGGAAATGGCAGAGTATGAGAACTTTAAACAGTTGCTTCAGGCTCCTCTTGATGATGCTCAGGAGATCTTGCAGACGCGCTTCCCCATGCCTCGCTACATCGACACTGAGCACGGCGGCTCACAGGCTCGATTCCTGCTGTCCAAAGTCAACCCATCACAGACCCACAACAACCTGTATGCCTGGGGACAGGTACGCACCATTTCTCTTTTTATTTTTCGTTTTAAAGAAGAATTTTTGTTTAGTTTTGAACATTTTTTTTTCTTCCCTTATTTACAGTTTCTTGTTTTTATAACCATTTAAGTTTTTCACTTATTTTACATTACTCTCTGGTTTATTTTATTTTATCTTCCGCACTGTATCAAAGATCACAAAGTTTAGAATGGAAAGTCTTTTCACAGATTCTCAACTGGATTTAGGTCCGACTTTGACTTGGTCATTCAAGTATATGAATATATTTTAATCCAGTGGTTTTCTATTTTAGTTTTCAATCACTTTAGGTGTCTCCTTGCAGGAATTCTTTAAGTGTGCTTAAACAGTGGTACTTGAGGACCAGGATGGGAACCACAATTTTTTGGATGTTTCTCATCTTTTAACACACCTGATCCATTTTTTTGTAGTTCAGCAAAACTCTGATTATCAGCTATAAAATGAAATCGGAAGGGACAAATCAAAAACTTGCAGGGCTCAGGCCCTCAAGAAGTTTTGCTTGTTGACACTTTTCACTATTTCAACATCCTTCAAAGCTTCTGTAATGAGAGAAAATGTTTATTTTCATTAAATTTAAATCATCCAAACATCCCCCAGATATTCTTTCAAGCACCCATAAGTCTCCAGCTGGTGCTTAGCACATCTCTTGAATCAGTTTACATTTTACTTTAAAAAAATGAAGATTCAAATCTACATTCAGAATTAAAGATTTTGTCTTAGATAAAAAGAATGAATCCTTAACCTGTTCTTTAAAAAACTGAAACACGGCATTAGATTGTCATCAGATTGAGGTCTAGTTTTTCATACTATAAACTGCTCATTGGATCAGCCATGTTTTAATAGGATCTCTTTATTAACAGAGAGAATGTTAACAGTTTTTTTTTTTTTTTTTTTCTGTAACTGTAGGAGACAGGAGCACCAATCCTTACTGATGATGTCAGCCTTCAGGTCTTCATGGATCACTTGAAGAAACTGGCTGTTTCCAGCTCCACATAAAGATCTGTCTATAACCACAAACATAGCTGAGGAATATGACCTTCAGCTTCCAGGATCCATAAACATTTCCTATATAAATGCGTTGTTTCTTTTTTCATAAAAGCCAACCCTTGTGGACTGCTGTCCCTGTCTTGCTTAAACAATTAAAGGAGAAGCAATAGAAAGAATGAGCAACAGTACATTCCTGAAAATAAAACGTCTCTAGTCATTTTCAACAATATTTATAAGAAAATTGTTCTAAGAAAATGAGTCAAATGTTTTATTGATTCCATGACTGCTCTTACCTTTGATATTCACAGTGATACGACTAATTTGTTCTTTTTTTTGTATGTAGTGTGTCAGACTGGATCGAAACCGCTGTTAATACGATGCCAGTGTGTGAATTTATGTATGTATGCATCTGCTTTGTCTATAGCTTAAGAGTTAATGTGTAGTTATTTTTGTTTTTTTGTGGAAAGTAAATTATAGCAATTAACCAATTTTGCCTAAAACCTGCTTGTTTGGAAAGAGAGCTGACACAAATGGTTTTAGAAATCTGTCAGACTTGGGAAGCTCTTCAGGGATTAAATCTGACTGTTTCTAAGAAATGTCCATCCCTACATAATGAGAATCCATGTTCTGAGGAATGGAAGTCAATCCCAGGAGCTCAGCTGACCGTTTCCAACAAGGAACATTCATCTAACTGTATAGAACCTTAATATAGCTTCATCTTGACTTGTTGACCATCTGGTATTTTGCACACAATGAGTGCCCCAGCGTCTTTGTAATCAAACTGTAAAGACCAACTAGGCTGATTTTTAAATCCTGTCAGGATTCTTGAGTCCTCCCAGCATTTGTTTTCTACCCATGAACTATAGAGGGCTACAGTGCTGCTCGTATGTTTACATGCACTCAGCATTTGCATGAATAAATTTTGAGCCTGTTATAATGCTTTTGGACTGTCATTTTTCTTCTTTTCAAGATGGAATGAAAAAACTCCAGTGAGTAAATAAAATAGTTTTATATACAGTGGGGTTTTTTCCATCTTAAGTATAAATGTTATGCCCTTTTTAGACACCTAATGTTTTGAAGAACTCACTGTGCATTACTTAAATGTTTGACCATTCTGCCTATACTAGATGTACAAATTTTGAAGGTAAGTTTTCAGTAGGGTCAAGGGGCCAATTCAGAATCTTGCCATTACAGAGTTCTGACCTCTCTTGTGAGAATTGTCCTATTGTTACAATAATACCCAGGTTTGGACACTTTTGCTTTTTCAGCCCAAATCTGCCGAGGTATTTTATTTTTCCTGGGCTCTTACTTTCAGAGGTAGTTGGAATTGGGGCATCATATCTAAAAGAGCTTTCACACCAAAGATTTGCAGTAGAGAGATATTCTGAAATGTGTTGCCCACAAATTGTACATTTCACACACATTTCACTGGTGACTTTACCCTCATCTCAGTTTTCATGGACTTAACCCCAGCCTCTTATGCCCCATCCCCACCCTTAGACAGATATGCAGATCCATATAAATACCTAAAACCACCATGTTTCAAATAAACCATGATGACTATGGTAATGTCAGGCTATCGCAAACATACTGTACATCAACACACCTTAGAAATATCTCCTTCAGTCAACCAACAACTTCAGCGACATCAGCGACTCACTAAAGAAAGTCGCTGAAAATAGAAACATTATGCTTTGCAATAATAAAGCTAAAGAAAAGAAAGTTGTTTCAAGTCTAAATAGTTTTATCTGTTGCAATGTGCTCAGTTATTGTAATGTATGTCAAATAACTCACATGCATTTGCCTGCCCATATTTCTTAAAGGAACCTGTCACCATGCAAACTATGTGACGTGAAATTAATCTTTAAAATAATTCAGAATGGTAAGAAAGCACAGCCAAATAAGTACGTAGCTGTTTAATAAAAAAAAACTTTCCATTCATAAATCCATATTTATTATAAGAGTGAAACGGTGCAAGGATGAAGCTAGAAGGGGGGCCAGTGGTTGCCATGGCCACCCTTGGCCTATCTTTGACCAATCCTGTGGCCACCCCTGCCAGGAGATTTGTTGTTGGCATGTCAATTTCATCACCTCTAGAACAAACAGTTCCCCTCTAAACCAGGAGGTGGCAGCAGTGGAGTCTCCTTATTAATTTTACATTCTTATTGTTGGTATATTAACCATAGCCTGACACATTCTATTCTATTCATATTAATGTCGAACATTTTGGACGCCTGCATTATAATTATCATTATCTATTTAAAAGTTTTAAGCAGACAGCTTTGCAGGAAGTGAGACCAGCTTCAGGTTTGGTGTCACTTTTATAAAGTTCCCAATGATGCATTACGCTGTCGTGTCCTGCCATCTACCTAATTTCCTTATTTTTCTCATCATTCCTCATTGCTTGGTTCTTTTTTAATTAATACAATTTTTTTTTTACTAGACATTGAGTCTTTGAGCCCTAGATATCTGAAATGGCTTTACCAGTTGATAAACAAGTTTTTTATTCAGTATTTGTCAAGCAATAAGTGGGCTTTTATTTTTTTGTGTGTTTGGTATGTTATTACTCCTATCTACTAGACTGAAGATGTGCTGTTTTCTTTAGCAATTGAATCAGGAATTTGAAATATGTGTAGAAAATCCTTTAAAAAAATCATTATAGCAGTGTTAGGTCACTTTACTGTAAAAAAAAATATTATGAAAATATTTTATATAATTGCTAGAATAGGGCATGAATTCAAAAATAATTTATTTGTGAAATGCATGATTTATAAAATACGTGAAAATCTTTATATTTAAAAGAGCATTTATGCTTTTTTCTATTTAACTGATACATTCATTTGTGGCATTTTAACAGAAACTCCCAAAGCAGCTTCAGCCCGCATCTTTTGCTTTTGTTCTGCACATTTTGCACCAACGCATGTTCTCCTTCTGGGACAGCTGGATGACTGGACACAACAGCCAGTTGTTGTTGTTGTTCTTATAGAATCTGGAAATGGAACCAAAGGATAAACCAGAATTGTGTAAGTCGATAATTTGCTGATTTCTTAGATTTTTTTGTGATATTTTAGAAGGAAACTGTGTGTTTGAACTGTTAGCTGAGCTTCCCATGTGTTTAAACAGAATAGTGCATTTAATGTCTATTAATTTGAAGGAGGTAATAAAATAAGAATCCTGAAAGAAATTGTCAACTTTATTAATGTGAAATTTAGCAAATATAAACACATTTATTTACACCAGCTAACCAAAAACAGGAACTGATTTTCATTTGTTATCAGTCTTTTTTACAGTGGTTGTAGAGATCTTAACTCAGCCCTTATTCTAATTTGCAAGCCCTCACATCGGAAAAAGTAAAAACACAAGTTTCAGTGAAGCGCCACTGACTCTTTCCTGTGATAAATAATCACATGCCAGACATCTGTCAGGGTATGTGAGATAAACAGCTTTACTTTGTCGGGTATTATTGGAAATACGGACTGCGTCAGAAAAAAAATAAAGCCACGCAGAGAATGTTGTCAAAACAATAGTGACATGTCCTCTCTGCAGATTGGGAGCAACATCTATTCCTAAACAATCGTCTTTCCCCCTCCGTCATTCATCACCACAAAATGTGAAGAAACAAAACTACAATCAAAACCACTCAGTCAACCATCCACTGTCACTGTAAGCTGATTTGAGAGAAGACAGTATGATTTCGAGGATCAGTGAATAACAGATTATAAAGACTAATCCTGGATGCGCAACGTGTTAAGAGGCAAATTCTGCTTTTATGAGACTGAACAGAAGCTGCCACTGTAATACAAATTAAGTCTGTATTTCAAAAGCGTTACTTTGAATGTGCTGCAATCTGAAGCTCCTTACACTTTTTAAAATGTTAAATGGTAAATAAAAGACACAGCAACAGCCATTAGTTCTCTTCTGACATTGATACTCCTACACAATGCACCAAAACCTGGTTTATGTTCACACACTTTATATTTACAGTAAAGCTGCTGCAAGGGATTTGAGTGTGCGTCGTACATGGATAAGATGTGATCTCATGAAGAAAATGAATGCCTCTGTGATTAATCTCTACTTTTACATGCTTGGCCTTCTTCATGCATGTGAGAGCTGCAGCTTTGTGTGCTTGCAGATTTAGATTGAAGAAACATTAACATTCCAGTCTTTTTTTTTCTCCCTCCCGCTCAGTTCCTGACTTAGGCAAAGCTGCAAGGAAATATGCCATCGCTTTATCCACAAAAAAAAAAAAAAAAAAGGGGAAATAATCTAAGGGCTCAGTTGAAATCCAGCAGCCACATAAATCTATTCTAGGCTCTGACTACTGTAAGTTACATAAGATTTCAGTGTGAAAATGTATATCAGCAATCGTATGGTACTATTAATAGTATGATTCTGTTGCAGTTTCTTATTTGGTGAGTGAGAGGATAAATGGGTGACATTTAAGAGTCCTCACTGCAATGGAAGTTTCTCTAAATATAGAATATAAAGTACATAATGTTTAAAGCTGTTACACAACTGAAAAGCTCCTTTGGTTAAAAACATCTCTGCCCTAGGTGTTCTACGGAGTGTTATCACAGATCCCTCCTCTCTTCTTCTCTGAGTACTTTATATTTAGAACAAAAAAGCAAAACAATAGTCAGAATTGTTGCCAACAGTATTGTCACACAGAAAACTGAAACATCTAAATACAGATGTGGAGAGACTTGTGAAATTTTTCATGAAAAATAATTAGAATAGATCTTTTCAGAAACTGTCATTCTTCTCAAGATAATAAAGTATTCCTGAATTAGAACTTTAATACATTTTGCTTATAATATGTATAATTAGGTTATAACGGGTGGGGCTAAGAATGGGATAGTGCTGGTTTAAAGATTTCCTACAAAGATTAATCAATTGACTATAAGTATGATGATGACTAAAAATTGTATCAAGGTGAATAACATAGCTGTGACTATAAACATAATTGGAAATAAGAGAAGAATCCACTTAAATTGTATTCAGTATGTTATGTTGAACCACCAATTACAAATACCTTAATTTAAAAAAGCATGCTTTGTGTGATGAATTGCATTCGAGTCAATGAGTCGATGCAATCAACTGGTTTTCCTTAGATGTAAAACTTTGAATCAAATTGACTGTATGATCTGATGAACTGTAAAGTGCCTTTAGATGACTTGTTTTGTGAATTGGCGCTATATTAATAAACTGAATTGAAAATTGAATTGAATTATTTACTGATAAAAAGATAATTATATATTAAAATATTACTGACACACTTGTCATTTATTTATTAAACATATATAAATTAGATGTACTGATTCTATTTAAAATATTCACCTCCAATTTCATTGTGGCACTTCAAACTGAATCGAATCGAATCGAATCGAATAGAATAGAATAGATTCACATGCTTAAACTGGAAGGCAACCACACTTTCACTGAGTTTTTGAAGACACCTATCCAGGTGTCTTTTTTAATTCTGTTGGGTCACACCAGAGCAATCAAGAGCCAACATGAGCCCTAGTTCTATTCCATTTCACACGAAATGGAATAGAACTAGGGCTGCAACAATAATTGAATAGCAAAAGTTCCCTTAAAGAAGACATTTTACAAAATCAAGCTAAATCTTTTCCACTTTAGGAGTTCTGGATAGAGCATATTGACAGACAAAAAAGATTTTTTAATCTTAAATGCAAAATTTTGAAATACTTTTTTTTTTTACAATTTTGGAATCATTACTGCTCTAAGTGGGTCGCTCTGTCAGCTAAAGACCCATTTTAGAGTCTCTATACTCCAGTTAACTATTAATCGATTACTAAATTAGTTGACAATTATTTCAATAAATGATTAATTTCGATTAATATGATTAATTGTATAGAATAGAATACAAACACCTTTATTTTCCCACAATGGAGGATTTCAAGTGTAACTGAGGCGAAAACAAGGAGACAGAAGAAATTGTATAGGTACACACAACACTAAGGGTGTGTCCGAACGTCTGCCTTAACCCCTAACCCAGTGGTTCCCAACCCTGGCCCTCAAGGACCCCCACCCTGCATGTTTTAGATAAGTCTGTTCAAGCACACCTGATTCAAATTATGGCTCCTCCTCTGCAATTAAATGCTGTAGAAGTCTCTTATGGATCCATTCTTTTCTGGTCTGATGCAACAAGGAGACACTTAAAACATGAAGGACAGGACTGGGACTCCACCTCCCTGCACCTTGCCTGTGTTGTTGAAGAGGAGTGTCAACTATAACATCCCACTAACATGCAGTAAGTTAAGGAACTCGGGATGGCTCTTATAACCCCACTAGAAAAAAGAAAAAAAAAAGAAAAAGAAAAACAGGAGCAGCTTTACAACAGAATGGAAAAACTGCAGTAGGCAGGACCACGTTTAGAGCAATTATAAAGCTTTGTAAATAGTGAATAACATCTGTACAGACAAAGACAATAATAAACAGACTTTAATGGCTCAAAAAACACACTGATTCCTTGTGGAAACAATATGAGTCTTAATTCAAAAATTTGTGAATTAGAATATGTAACCCCAAAGTATCATACTGAAGCTTTATTTGGTTTAGGCTTAATCTGTATTTTTGTTGCTTTAGCCAACAGAACACTTGATTTATAATCCGCACTTTCCCCCCTTGTTTTATGTTTAGAGGTTAATACTGGATGCATTTCTCTGCTGAGATTGTGATATGTGTATGACGTCTGAATGACGTAACATTTTTCCCTCTGCTTTTTACAGGATCAGTAGATGCGTAAGCATTTATTTCACTACTCTATAAGAATAAACTTCAACTGTGTCAACTGGAGCTGGGATTAACTTCCTGCTATTGCTAGAAACTCAAGAGGCAACCTTTGACCATCCACATGGACGTCATAAGTGGTGTTTATCAGGATGCAACCAAGTCACTGGTCTTCCAACTTAATGCTTATATGCCATAAGGCTATTGTCAGCTGGTGGCAGCGACTACTGGGTCACTTTAAGAGACAAAGCACTTCTTAAGGAGGGAAAGTTTAGATCCCAACAGTGCTCCAGATGGTCTGAGGTATACCAACTCAATCTCTTGCTTCCAAACAGGATTCTTTTTCACTGCTGTGGCATTAGTTTGTCAAAGTCGAGCCTTCCTCTAGGGAGAAATATAAAGATAGAAGAAAATCACTGGTGACCCTTTTATATACATGGTTTAATCATTTTTGTCATTTTGAAATTCTTTTCCAAGAGTGAATTTTCACTAAACAGACTTAGAAAATTGGATTGTGTCTGAACAAACTGAGATTATGGTAGGAAAGACTAAGAATTAACGACGTCCAAATAAAGACACCTGTTTAGGTCTAAATGTGAATAGGAGTCAGTTTGGAAATCCTGACTGTCAACATATTTGCTTGAACTAAAGTTTGATAGAATCTTTTGGATTAAAATGTACACATTTCAACATAGTTTTTTCCCTAGATTAAAAAAAAAAACAAGACCTGGCTTACCTTAAATAACCATGGAAAAATATGGATTCCATGGATTTCCATGCAGGGATTAGTCTTCTGCTACAGATCTGACACATCTGTCTCTTTAGTTGACCATTCCAAAAAAGTAAAAAAACAATCCACTGGAATTTGTTTCCAAGTGTGAAGACGTTTCGCTTCCCATCAAGGAAGCTTTTTACATTTAAAAAGCTGTGTGGTTGAGAAAGGAGCTTTTAATTGTAAAAACTTGCTTATAAGGGGTTGATATATATATATATATATAAAAAAGAAAATTTGTTCTCTATGCCGAGGACTGAGTTAATATTTCAAATCATAAGAATTATTTTGAAATGTGTGGATTTATTTCTACTTCAACGGAAACGATTTTTTTGTGTCCCTGCAACATAAGTTCAGCACAAAATGAAGGGAGACCACTGTGTAATGTGTGCGGTCAACAATTTTGTTAAAAGCAAATAATCCTGATGTCAGATTTTTGTTTCCTAATAAAAAGCTTAACCCAAGTTAAAAGCAGGTTTCTTCTGAGTGTGGAAGACTCGGGCATGTTTTAGCTCCAGACTGTCAAATCATCTCCTGCTCTCCAAGCTTCCTCAGGAGGCAATAGCATCCAAGACTCTCCTCGATAAGCTGCCTCATCAGTATCAAGTGCCTTTCTTCCAACCACCTGCAACATAAATGTCTCCTCATTAACAAACGTCTATGATGTAATGATTTGTTGATGTGGCATACTGGAGTGGTATAAAATGCTTCTTTAACTGTGATGCAGGACCACTTCAACAAGAAGGGATCCCGGTTGGTAAGCACTTCCTTCCATAACCCTAATCTGTTTTCATGTCTCATGGTTATTTAATACATATACATTATAATGTGTTATTCAAAGAGTTTATCCCAAGTGATTTCTTCTCAGGAAAGAATCAGAGAAAGCTTTAAGGTTTAAACCCAGATCTTTCTTTACAATCCTCAACACCATAAATATCTATCTATATATATTATTTAATGTCAAAAATTGTTCCTTGTGAGTCTCTCCAGGTTGAAATGACATACTTGTGTTCTGACACTAAAGGTCTAACAGGGGAAGTATAAATGCATCCTACTGAGGATTTAAAAGTATTTAATGTACAAGTATTGTTAGCTGGTTTAGTTAATACATGCTGAAACGTGAGTGTGGACTGGTTGTGCAGTGTTCGACACTGCATAACAGGAATCACTAAAAAGTCATAGTGTAGCATCTTAATTTGGCCCTGCTTAATGCTCTACCTGCTTTAGATTCATTTCCTTTACGCCCTACCCCTTTCTTATCCTCCTTATCTCTTCTGCTGTCCTGCTTTTTCTCTTGTCAGTTTAGGATTATGATTATGTTATCTATAGACAAAAATATCCGTTCTGGGATTAATTATCACAGACTATAGTATTCATTAATTAAATTCAGCTTGAAAAGTTTAGATGTACATTGGTAACAGTAAGATTTTGCAAGCATTGACTCAACTGCCAAAATTCACACTGAGATTTTCACTTCAACTGGGGATTCAGCCTTTTTAAGGCAAAGCTGTTCAAGGACTCTTTTACCAATTACAGATTCTGGGAGGGTGGGTGTTGAAAAAAAGTAGGCCCTCTGATCTAAACTAGTCTTGCACTAAAACAATTCCCCTTAATCAAATTATGAGTTACGTGTAATTAATGCATTTTACAAATTTGAAACCCCAGTCTATTGCTTTGGTTTTATACATAATAAGCATTTTCCCCTCATTGTGTTGCTCTATCACACACACTGTAAAATTACAAACAAAAGGCAATCCAAGAAGGTTTAAGAAAATAAGGTTGTGGTGGACTTGAAGTTATTGTTGGCATACATTTAAGAGAAGGGGAGATTGAGAAAATGCAGGAATCTTCGGGTATTTAAGAAATAAGGATGGTTTAGATGAATAATGAGCAATTTCATCGAAATATTAACACAAATCAATTGCTTAATTTATTTTTTGTAGCCTATTAATCCAAAACAATAACTTAAATGATAAAAATCTTGATGTCTTGGGCTGCTTGGTGGTCCGGTTGTGTCCATTTTCTCTGTGAAAGCATTTGGTAAGCAGTTCGTACGGAAGAAGATTAGGGCAACTGAACATTTTTAAAAAGTTAAATGATTTTCAAAGTTTATTTCAGTAGAATATGAGAAAAAAAAAGTCAGAATTCTGACTGAATTTTGAAAACTAACAAACAAGTCAGAATTCTGAGATTAAAGTCAGAATTCTGAAAAAAAAGTCGGCGTTCTGGGAAAAAAAAAGTGTCAGAATTCTGGGAAAAAAAAAGTGTCAGAATTCTGGAAAAAAAAAAAAGTGTCAGAATTCTGGAAAAAAAAAAGTGTCAGAATTCTGGGGGGGGAAAAGTGTCAGAATTCTAGAAAAAAAAAAGTCAGAATTCTAGGGAAAAAAAGTCAGAATTCTAGGAAAAAAAAGTCCGAATTCTAGGAAAAAAAAGTCAGAATTCTAAGGAAAAATTTTGAGATTAAAGTCAGAATTTTGACATTAAAGTCAGAATCCTGAGATTAAATTTAGAATTCCGAGGGAAAAAAGTCAGAATTCTGAGATTAAAGTCGGAATTCTGAGGGGGGAAAAAAGTCAGAATTCTGAGGGGAAAAAAAGTCAGAATACTGAGATTAAAGTCAGAATTTGGACCTTTTCCCATATTAAACTGAAATAATATTTAAAAATCAGTAAATTTTTTTTTCTCCTCAGTGGCCCTAATCCTCTTCCGTAAGTGTGATGGGTGGTTGGAGGGATGTCCTAAAGTCAGCAGCAGCCAGAGAAGGAGAGCATGAGGAGAAAATCCCACACTGATGCAAACCACCATCAAATCCTCTCACAACGTCACGTCTGTGCAGGCTCAGGGTGAAGCGCGCGTGTGAATTAGATTGTAAAAAATCACCTTGCCTTCCGTCTGGGCTCCATGTTGGAGATGTAGCCTGTCTGCGGGCTGCTTTTTCCTCAAACTTTTGGGTCTCCAATGCGACCGTCTCCTCAGGGGGTGCGCTTGTGCGTCTCTTCCACCTCGCACCCATGAACTTCTGGGCCCCGCGCGCGCCGCTGATGCTGCTGAGGCTCGTGCATCCTTCAAGATGAAGACGAGGACCCTCCTGTCGGTCAGCCTGAACTTTTTTGCCCTGTTCTTCGCCATCACTGCCTTCATTACAACTTACTGGTGCGTCGGCACGCAGCGCGTGCCCAAGCCCAAATGCAGCAAACTGCGGACGCACCAGTGCATAGACTACGGAGTGAACGAAACGGACCCTAACAAGGTGGTGTACAGCTGGGAGACCGGGGATGACAGGTTCCTGTTCAGACAGTTCCACACCGGCATCTGGTTCTCATGCGAGGAAAACATCCACGATGAAAGTAAGAGCAGGTCTGTGGGTGCTAATTAAACACACCTGTTGGCCTCTAATTGGAAAGCTGATTTTAAATCAGGAAGCGTCTGTAAAAGCACCTTTATTTAGCTATTATGGAAAGTTTTTTTGAACACATAAGTTTGTATCCTCAGCCATAAAACAATTCTACATGTCTATTTATTTATACGTGCCTTAAAAAATATGTGTTTAAAGCTCCGACTGTTCTCCAACTGTAAAACTATGTCCTGTACTAAAATTAGATTTCCATTTCTGAAGCTTCCGATTTAGAGGTTTAGTTGTTCTTTTTTTATTTCTTTTCTATTCAGATTAAACATCTCTTCAATATTATTTCAGATTAGGTTATGTCTATTCTTCTTCATCACCATTTCTCTTCAGAATATCAAATGTAGGCCCTCTGTGAAATGAAAGCTCTGTTCGGTTCTTTATGGTGTTGCATGTGTGTTGTAAATGTATTTAATTTAATAGATTTTTTTTCTTGAAATTTAAATACACTTGATAGTTTGGAAATAATTCTGGAGAGCGAGGCTTTTTAATGTCTGGCCAAAGCAGAGCTGTTTCGTGTCTTTAGCTACATGTTTCCTCTGAGGAGATCAAGTTAATGAGGATTATGTAACTCGGGGCCTTGATGAGTTTTTCCTCAAAACAGCTGTTGCTGCTTTGCACCTACCTGATTAAACAGTTCCACTTACAACAAATCCAGAGACATGCCAGGCCAGATTGGTGACAGAAGGAATCTGCTTGTATATATGTGCAGAAATCCACGGGGTCAAAGGTCGTCTCTCTATCCTGTTGGTTGAACTGACAGAGGGTTGTCATAGTTTCTGGCGTCTGTGATTGGTTTTACACTGTCTGCCTTTTTTTTTCTGAAGCAGATTGAGCAGCTCTGCCAGAACACCATCTGGTGACCCTGAACAGAAGGTCAGAAAAGGACTATCTCTGGCATATGTCTCATCTTCAACATGGAGTTTAGTTATTCTTGAACTCATGAACTTAAAGATTTATCAGGTCGCACTATCAGCTGATCTTGTTGAACCAACCTGGAATTAATAGGAGTCATAATGTATTAAAGACAAAACTAAAGGCTCAGATGTTGTATTTGGTGATTTTGGGTTTGAATTTATGTTTTTTTTTTTTTTTTTTCTACCTTAAAGGTGAAAGATGCCGGAGTTTCATCGATTTAGCTCCTGCATCAGAGAAAGGTGACTATTATTCTATGCTATAAAAATTATGTTTATACTAGAAATGTTTTTCTTTTGTCACATCAAATATTTCAGATTTTTAAACAAATGTTTGTATCAAAAATAACCCAAACCACAAAAATCAATTGCCATTATTTATTTATTTATTTATTTATTTATTTATTTATTTATTTATTTATTTATTTGTCAGGTACAGTACACATTAATGAACATTTCTCTAAATATGTCATTATTAACTATGAAACTAGTTTTCAACTCTTGTCCCTGAGCAAGGTGCACAATGCCAACAACAATTGCAAAAAAATTCTAAAATAAAATTAGAAAAGGTAAAAAAAGTATAAATAGAAGTATATATTGTATTGTAAGTATAAATACTTACAGTACAAGGGCAGGTCATACAGCTAGAGATATTAGCATAAATATGTATAGATATTTACATGGTAACACTTGATCCTGACATCTGGCTGAGTCGTGCACCAGGAGATCGATAAGGTTTATTGAGCACATTGTGGATTTGAATTTAACCAGTTTTTTAACTGAGTTCTGAATTTGTTAAGAGTGGAGCATTCTCTGGTAGTGAGGGGGATGCTGTGTCAAACAAGAAAAGCACTCAGAGAGCGCAGTCTTCCGCCAAGTAGCTAATTGCCCCCAACGTATTGTGACTTCCACCTTACATTAATACCTGTATTCACAGAATCTTTCAAAAAAAATCCCAGATCCAGATGGTTATCCAGAACATCTTCAACATTTACTCGTTTGTTGCCAGACACAATACACAGCTCTTAGAAAATTTCATCAAAATCCATCCATGACATTTTTAGTTATTTTGAAAACAGACAATCAGACAAAGCAATGCAGATTAAAAACATAACCTTGTTGGAGGAAGTAAAAAGTAATCACCTTGCTTATTAAACAATGAATACTGGTGATCAGTAGTGTTGCGCCGATGCCATTTTTTGGCCCCGATACCTGGCTGTGCAGTATCGGCCGATACCGATACCATAATAATGTAAAATAATTGCCATCATGGCTTTGTCGAGCTGCTGCCTACCTTTGTGAAGCAGGAAAAAATCTAATACAAAGTGAATCCAGTAGAACTGTTTATTGCCTACCAGGAGTGGGTGACAATAGTTGAATAAACTTATGGCTCTCAAAATGGTATCGGTGCACTATTTGTTGGTACTCGCCCATACCGATACCACCATTTTAGGGCAGTATCGGGGCCCCTTCCGATACTGGTATCGGTACCGGCGCAACTCTAGTGATAAGTCTGTGTTTATCCAGACACATAAGTTACCATTTTTACCAGCTTTGCCAAGACTTGATTACTGTCAGACCCGCAGAATAAAGAATAAAAATAAAACAACTGATCAGAGCCTAGCTACCATCATCTAGCATACCAAAAGTATGCGAAAATATCTAATGCCAGCAACACACTTAACCTCAATAAGAAAAATATAAAATAAAAACATATAAAAAACTAGACATGAAGCAAAGTAATTGACATTGAGTTCAATAAATACTTCTAAGGTTGTGGACCCAAAGAACCTTTTCTTTGAAGGTCTTTTTATAATGACCTAACAGCCTGATTTGGAAGAGGGCTATTTAATTCACATCACTGTATGACTTTGTCTGCTTCTCACTGAAACAGCTGTACTTTCAAAGCACTGTTAGTCATGCTAAAGAGTTGGGATGCACATTAAGTTGAGGTACAAAATGGAGCATAAGCTAAAGTCCAACCTGAAAGACTCTTAATCAGCCTAACCTGCTGACGAACTCTTACTCAGGCTTCAGCCAATCGACGACAAGCAGCACCCTCTCCAAACTAATCATTTCTCAAGATGCTCTTCATTAAAATGAAGGCCCAGCTTCCTCATTCAGTGCTTTAGCCAAACTTTTACCCACCTCTACCCCATCTCCTCCCTCTCTTCTAGTCCACTCTTAGACTGTTTTATCCTCCAGCTTATTCCACCACCAGTGACCAGTCCCCAGGGGGAAGACTACTCTACTCTTCCTAGTTAACTCATCAAAGCAAAAGCAGACTCTCAGCAAAGTCAAAGTCTTCGACCGAGGCCCGAGCTACAAAGATCCTATCTCATTATGTCAATATCTGCTTCTGTCTCCTTGAATCCCAGTCTGCCTCGGCAGATGGCTGCACACACTGATCTTGGCTCTGCTGGAGGTTTCTTCCTGTTAAAAGGGAGTTTTTCCTCCCCACCGTCACTACATGCATGCTCGTTGTGAGGAAATGCATAGAGTCCATAGCCCCATTTACACTAACCTTTTGAAACTGTGCCAAGAACAGTCCGAGCACGTAACTGAGATAACTGTTGTGTGTAAATGGAACTGAATTGGACCGTGCCAGACACAACCGGAATTCGCTAAATCTAGTACTACAGGTGCTGGTCATAAAATTAGAATATCATGAAAAAGTAGATTGATTTCAGTAATTCCATTCAAAAAGTGAAACTTGTATATTATATTCATACATTACATACAAACTCATATATTTCAGATGTTTATTTTGTTTAATTTTGATGATTACAAATGACAACAAATGAAAATCTCAAATTCATCATATCAGAAAATTAGAATATTACTGAAGACCAATAAAAACAAAGGATTTATAGAAATGTTAGCCAACTGAAAAGTATGAACATGAAAAGTATGAGCATGTACAGCACTCAGTATTTAGTTGGGCCTCCTTTGGCCTGTATTACTGCAGCAATGCGGCGTGGCATGGAGTCGATCAGTCTGTGGCACTGCTCAGGTGTTATGATAGCCCAGGTTGCTCTAATAGTGGCTTTTAGCTCTTCTGAATTGTTGGGTCTGGTGTATTGCATCTTCTTCTTCACAATACCCCATAGATTTGCTATGGGGTTAAGGTCAGGAGAGTTTGCTGGCCAATTAAGAACAGGGATACCATGGTCCTTCAACCAGGTACTGGTAGCTTTGGCACTGTGTGCAGGTGCCAAGTCCTGTTGGAAAATGAAATCTGCATCTCCAAAAAGTTGGTCAGCTGCAGGAAGCATGAAGTGCTCTAAAACTTCCTGGTATGTGGCTGCGTTGACCCTGGACCTCAGAAAACACAATGGACCAACACCAGCAGATGACATGGCACCCCAAACCATCACTGACTGTGGAAACTTTACACTGGACTTCAAGCAACGTGGATGAAGTGCCTCTCTTCTTTTCCTCCAGACTCTGGGACCTTGATTTCCAAAGGAAATGCAAAATTTACTTTCATCAGAGAACATGACTTTGGACCACTCACCAGCAGTCCAGTCCTGTTTCTCTTTAGCCCAGGCAAGACGCTTCTGACGCTGTCTGTGGTTCAAGAGTGGCTTGACACAAGGAATGCGACAGCAGAAACCCATGTCTTTCATACGTCTGTGTGTGGTGGTTCTTGAAGCACTCACTCCAGCTGCAGTCCACTCTTTGTGAATCTCCCCCACATTTTTGAATGGGTTTTGTTTCACAATCCTCTCCAGGGTGCGGTTATCTCTCTTGCTTGTACACTTTTTTCAACCACATCTTTTCCTTCCCTTCGCCTCTCTATTAATGTGCTTGGACACTGAGCTCTGTGAACAGCCAGCCTCTTTAGCGATTACCTTTTGTGTCTTGCCCTCCTTGTGCAAGGTGTCGATGGTCGTCTTTTGGACAACTGTCAAGTCAGCAGTCTTCCCCATGATTGTGTAGCCTATAGAACTAGACTGAAAGACCATTTAAAGGCTTTTGCAGGTGGTTTGAGTTAATTAGCTGATTAGAGTGTGGCACCAGGGGCCATCAATTTTGAACCTTTTCACAATATTCTAATTTTCTGATATGATGAATTTGAGATTTTCATTTGTTGTCATTTGTAATCATCAAAATTAAACAAAATAAACATCTGAAATATATGAGTTTGTATGTAATGTATGAATATAATATACAAGTTTCACTTTTTAAATGGAATTACTGAAATCAATCTACTTTTTCATGATATTCTAATTTTATGACCAGCACCTGTAGTTCAACAGAAGGGCTTGGCAAGGTTCATCTGTGGCTCAGTTCTCTGATAACCAGGAGCCCCTGAGCAGATTGCGTCATCTTCTATTTACATTCAGCTGACTCATGTTGCTGGTTTTCCGGCGTGTCAGACTTTGCTTTTCACAGATCTCTTCATCTTTCACTACACAAACTTCTTCTTAGCCTTTTAACAACCATTGGCATCATAAATGACCTGTCATGATACCGAGACCGAGGCTTTCATTGAAATTTGTCTGGAAGATGCTATCCAGACACATAAGTTACTGAATGTTAAGGGCGCCACCATTTTTGTTACTGTAATTCCCGCCTTGAGAGCTATAGTATCATGGACTGCTTATAGGAGGCAAAGAACTGTGCTAGCGTGATGAGTAAATATTGTAAGGAACCAAGCTCGACACGTTCAACTGATCCAAGCTCGGTCTGAACTCGGCATGGGTCGGTTACAGAGGGGTAGGGTGAATGGGGCAAGTGTTGGCCTAGTGGTTAGCCAGTGTGCTTGTGCTCTGAGAAGGATGCAAGTACCATTTTGATTCCCACAGCTTGCACTCTGGGTCTCTAAACAAGACCCTTAACCCCACACTGCTCCCCGGATACCGCAAATGGCAGCCCACTGCTCCCCAAGGGGATGGGTTAAATGCACAGGTAAATGTCTCCACTGTGAGATCAATGAAGTTCAAATATTATTATTATTGCTGGTTTTCCTTAGATATTAAATCGTAACCATTCTGTCTGTGTTACAATACTTGCAAATAATTGAATTCAATAAAACGTTTCCAATTGCATTTTTTCTCCGTGTGAGTCTCTATAGGTTGAAATCAAGTTTAAATGTAATTCTAACCTCAGCACTTAAGCATCTGGTGGTTTTTTTATGGTTCAAACAGGCGGGTAAATCCTCAAAATAAAAAGAATTGTCAGAAAGAAATGTGAGAATTGCCCTTCTTACTTAATGTAATGATACAGGGTCTATAAAAGCTGCTTTCGCTCAGAATGTAGGCTTGTATGTGCGTTTAAGGAATGTAATATTTAAGGATTTAAAGATAATCTTGAGCATTACATTAAGATGGATGGAGGAACAGTTCAGAAGGTTCATGTCAACGGCAAATAAGTCTTAAGAGCCTTTCTGATCTCTAAACCTTTAAATAATACATGTTCATTTTCCCCAATAACATTGTTATCCTCATGCACGTTTTCTTTATCCATTGCTCTGTGATGTCACTATTAATCATTGGAAAACATGCCTTTTTATTTATCTTTTAAGACAGTTTCATTTTATATGAGATTAGAAATTTAAAAGGGCATTTGGGACCAACTGGTGAAACGTGGAAAGAAAATGCATTTCACAATATTTTTAATAGTTTTAATTATATTATATTTTTATTCAACGTAAACTTCTGGGCTCTTTGCACTGCCATCACATTATAGTTTTGAATATATGGTCACATTAAATTCTTAAACAATGCATCAAACTGATTTCATTTAGAACATTTGCATGTGCAATATAAAAATCACAAATTGTGTTGGATTGGATATATTACAGCTCAAAAACTGCTGGAGGTGTTTTGCAAAGAAATTTTAAAGAATATGTTTCAGTTTTAGATTTCTTATGAATAATATAGTAATGAGTTTTAATAAACTTCGTTTGTCATTTTTGCAGGAATGCTGTGGCTGTCGCTGGTCTCTGAGATGTTATATATTTTGCTGCTTATGGTGGGCTTCAGCCTCATGTGTATGGAGTTGGTCCACTCAAGCAACATAATTGATGGGCTCAAGCTCAATGCCTTTGCTGCTGTCTTCACAGTGCTCTCAGGTAGTAACCGCTTGCTTATTAAAATGATATTTAAGCAGCACTACATTTAAGTATTTGACTGCTTTGTATATCTGAGAAATCATGTACCTTTTTTTTGACAAAGACAAAAACTAAAAAGTGCAAGACTGACTCTACTGTGCATCTGGTTTTAGGTCTTCTTGGCATGGTGGCTCATGTGATGTATACCCAGGTCTTCCAGGTCACCGTTAGCCATGGTCCACCGGACTGGAGGCCCTACAACTGGGATTATGGGTGGTCTTTCTGGTTAGATTTAGACCTAAAACAAAGTTTGTTTTTTCTTTAACTTAAAGGTACAGTGGAGGATTTTCGCGAATTTTTGAAAAGACCCTCTCCACTTAAAAAAAAAAAAAAAAATGCACATGCACAACCCTGTACCCACCCCCGAGTGGGAATGCCTATATAGAATGGCCTTACGTAAACATATCAGAATGATAGACAATTAGGAGGACCACTTATTTTAATGATTGAAAAAGAACATCCTCCACTATACCTTTAAACTCTTGCTCTTTCTAGCATTACTGTCCTCATTTAGGGAGGCCAATATAGCCTCTTTCCCACTGAAAATAATGCGTTTAACCCGTTTTTTTAAAACCAGCTAACAATCTGCCTTTAACTCCCTTCCTACTGGCAAAAAAACCTGGGTTTAACCCCTCGCTGGCAGCTGTGTGGCCTCTGTCCCATCTGCGTGTCTGGTGACACCATCACTCAGGGTTAGCATTGATGATGTCATCAGTGCGAAAGAAATCAGGAAAGTAAACAATAGAGAGCAACATGTAAGAAAGCCAGTAGTAAGGGTACTTTACTGTTTCGCACTTTTATCTGTCCAAATCCCTCTTAACCAGTGCTGTGCCATGTTTATTTAATATAAACAGAGTTTTTTTTAGCTAAAATGTCCTTTTTCTTTGTCTTTTGGAATTGATCATTATCCATGGGAGTCATTGTTGTTGGGATTCACTTGTTTATGTATTTGAATTATTTTAGGTAATTTATTGTCGTTAAAGTTTTTCCTGATTAGCTTTATTCTGTGAGGTTGATAGCTTTTTGAGGATTTTTTGGTATTCTGCTGAGTCATTTGTTTTAGACTCTTTTGAAACTAATCGTCTTTAGCCTTTGATGAAGATCTTCCTTCTATCCTCCTTTTTAAATCTTTGTAAGACAATATGCTCTAGTCCAGTGCATATGAACAGGATATAGAATAGAACAGAGTTTTTTCTATGTGAAAAACTGACCATGGAGTATAGAACGGTCCAAAAGCAGGAAACTAGAAAGCATTCCCCTGGAGATTACATAATCCAACTTTTCTAATTTGAGTTCTGAGAAACGTGTTAAGTTCCCCCTGTGGCTATGTGTGTTTAGTCAGTTTGATGATTTTCTTTGCCTTCTGCTATATTCTTCTGTTGCTTTCACACAGGCTCTAAGTCCTGTTTTCATTACTGTAGCAAAAAAGTCTGATTTCTTTAATAACAGAGACAATATGTTTTCTTTAATACCACAGTTAAAATTATTTAGATTTCCAGCACAAAAAACATAGACAGGGGATGTGTCCCAAATCATCTGATTGTTGCTCTTAGCTCCTGCTATTTTAACTTTCATGGGGTCAACATTTAGAGCACTGATGTGGGTCGGGAAGGATCTCCCAGCGAGTCTGGACAGCCTTTAGTCTTCCAGACTTCATTATATCACAGAAATGCACATAGATGATGCTTGTCAAACTGACACTACAGCATTAAGCAATAATTTACATCCATAGTTACTTTATTTTGTTTTCAAAATTAGTCTTTTTATCTGTATTTTGTTTTTGCATTATTCTGTCTCTTGTTGATCTGCTATTGGATCCTTTTACAAGCATAATTTATGACAGGATTATCACAAATAATTTCATTTTGATGTAGCAATACCGAGATAAACACATTTCTGTCTTCTCATTCAGAATTTTTCATACATCTTCTGTATATTTAGTGATACTGGCTTTTATGTCATGTTTTGTACCGTTTTTTAAACATTTCACTGTAATTTGCTAAAATTTGGCTCCATTCCTCCTGATGGGACTGCTTAAACTGAATCAGGCTTAAAACTGTTGTTGCTATAATACAAATGGCTGTTGCAGCATTCATCCATTTTGCTCAGCACACTGGTCATTTGCTGTTTTTTTTTAAAGTGTTTATACAGGGATGAAAGTAAGCTGGAGTCCAATGGATACCAGTAACAGATTACGGTGAGGTAGACAGTCACTGCCTGCTAATATGCCATCAGTTACCAATGTAAGCATCCAGCAACACTGATCTGCACTGTTTAATTAAATCTCCCGCATGGTCATTCAAGACGGTCCTGGTGCGCGCTGAGCTCTGGCTCGGCCCGCTGTGTGCATGCATTACTCTGTCTTTGCACGCACTTAGCTCCGCCTTTGCGTTTGCGCTTCATCCTTAAGGGTGTGCTCAGCAGCTCCAGCCTCTCTCAACATTTATTTGTGCACTCAGCTACATCTTTGCCCATATCTCTTTCTACAAACAAAGAGTTCTGTAGATGTTCAACCAGTCTGAGTTACAGATTAGCTAAAAAAAAACATTTCCTGGGTAAGTTTCCCTGCCATAATGCCAGAAAACGCTTTTTTAACTACTACTATAAATTATGTTAATAAATGGTGACAGGGCCTTTCTGTAAAGTTCGTACCTGAAGACAATCCTTCAGATAAAAATTTTTAATTGAGTTTAATGCAAATGCATTCAATATATATCTGCTTATTAATCATTATAACACAGAGTATTATAATGTTAACTAATGTGGCTTGAATTTATGTTAAAGCAGGACTAGACTTAATTAAAATAAAGATATACAGTGACCATAACAAATCTCAGCTGTTAGAATTAGGTTGCTTGATATTCTACAATTACTGAGTATTACATTAATTTCAGGATTAAGGCACAGATCAAATTTGATGGCATAATTATGATTTTTATTGAAGATACTAGCATAAAGAAAAAGAGTTTCGTCTGCACTTAACTTTATGACTTGGACTACAGTATCTGTCTGCACTTTGGAAAATGTGCACAGGTACAATTGAATCTTGCAGAAATGTACATAAAAAGACCCAAATTACAACTAAAGTCCAAGTTAGGGCAGGTTCAACCTCTGAATTTGACAAAGACTTCAAAGCTCGGTCCTGGGATCTACTCCTACTACTAGAACCTCTAGAAATTCATTATTTTATATATATATATATATATATATATATAGAATTGTTATATTTTTTTATACAGTTTAATAGAATTAAAAACATAAGGTATGACCCCGAGCATCCTCTTATGATCTGTTCTATAGATTCGCTATGAGAAAGAACACTGCAGGAGATCCTTCCTCCTCCCAGCCATCCCCCAGTGTCCATCATTCTAACTCAGTTTAGATTTTTGGGTTTCATCCATTTAATTAAATTTTGGTATTGATAAAGTATTTCAACCGACAATAAAGCTGTGGGCCGACCTCATATTGTACTCCAAGGACAAAGGATATGAGAATATGATGTCACTAGAGTTTATATTTGAAGCAATTTGACCATATGGTTTTTGCAATAAAACGCATATTCCTTTCCAATTCAAAAACTGTACAATAAAGTGTCTGCAGTGCTTTTCAACATAACACTGAATAATAATTAAAAAAAAACATTCAGAATTTGTAACATACGGATTTAGCATCTGTTTTAACATAACATAATTATGGTTATTATAGTTTAACGAAAACTGAGTGTTTGACTGACATGCAGAACTGTTGGAATGTTAGGAAAACACCAATAAAATGAGTGACTAGCACAATATTTTGAGAAACTAATTCTTAATAAGGATTAAAGTGTGGGTTTAATGTTTCTGGATACAATCATTTAACTAGTGGGCTAAATCTAAGATCTTCGACCTGACAGACCAGTTAACAGGAGGTTCTTTAAATAGCCATTCTCCCTTTTGTTGCTAAAAAACTTAAATTTCATCGATCTAAGTGCACAGATTTACTTAAAGCCATATTAAAGCATTTCTCATTTTTGGATTTGAGATATATGCCACTGGTGATTTGTTTTTAAAAAATTTTACAAGGTTAGACTCTTCCTATGTTTTTTTTAAATAAGCTCAAATGAAGGATGCCATTTTCAATCCTTTTTGAGTGTTCCAATAGGAGTGGATAGTATATTTCATATCCTGCTTTCCTTTTTTTTTTTTAATCTGGCTTTACATCTGTCACAACTAAAAAATATGATTTCATGTTTTACAAAACAACCTTTTCTTCTCCTCTTTTTTAAACAGCTTGGCGTGGGCTTCGTTCACCTGCTGTATGGGCGCATCAGTCACCACCCTCAACTCCTATACAAAGACAGTTATCGAGTTCAGACACAAGCGGAAGACCTTCGAGCAAACCATCAGGGAAGAGAACGCGCGTGAGGCGTACAGATACTATCGGGGCAACTCCTTGCACTCCATTTCTAAATCAGTGGACATGTATTCCAATCAGTCCCTTAAAAGCGGCAGGAGGACTCCCATACCTGCTGCCTCCTTGGACTTTTGTGACTTTGCAGCATCTCTTGGGGAAGAACAGTGCTGAAATATCTTTGCTGTGTTCACCTCTCAAGTTTTTGCAGGTCTGCTCCATCTTATGCTCTTCAACACTGCCTTAATTGAAGCAGGTCAAGGAGCTTTAAGTCACACTTAATTCAAGTTGGAGAGGCCAGAAATAAACTTGGAAAAGAAGGATCTGCCATCTGAGGTCCATGGAATGCAGTTGTATCTTCTTTGTGTTACTTAATACATTGCAAAATTAAAGGAAATGTTGAGTTCAAACATATAAACATTGTAAGTTTCTCTCAGTTTCTTATTGCCTTCAACTTTGGCAGTTTTAACAGAATGACAAACATTAGGCTTTACTGGGTTTTCTTCATAGTAAGTAAAACAAAACATTTACTGAACCTGTGCCTGTTCACCTTTTATTTTCTGGAGCAGAAAAAGATAATTGTTAGTCACTATTATGCCGTCTAACCATGAAACCCAGTTTTTAAAAAAGGTATTTCAAAAATGGCTTCCAAAAAATGTTTACTGCATTTTCTTGACTTTATGAAGTAAAAGGAGAGTAAACACATGAAGTAATTGAGTGGATAAATGCTGCCTCTGACTGGCTAAAACAGTTCCCTTAATTTTCCCTCCATTATTAAAAACAAAACAAAGTTGGTTGTTCAGGAAACATCTGTGGTTGCTAAAACATGCACAGTTATGTTAAAACTTAAGGACCAATACTCATCACTGTTTGCTCTAAGGGTCTTTTCTGTGTTAAGTTTAAATGTTTTGTCCATTCATGGATTTTTTCTTTCTGGGTACACAGGCCTCCTGCCACAGTCTGAACACATCTCTGCTTAGTTTATTGATCCATGTGGATTGCTAATAGGTCTTAAGTTTGTGTGAGGGTGGTTGACTGTCTGTGTTGGACTGGCGATCTCTCACCCATTGCCTGCAGGAATCTGCAAGAATTGAGCACATAAGGAAAATAAATTGAAGCTCGCTTCTTATTTTGCAAACAACAATTCTTAGATATAATCTTTGAAGCTCCGAATATCAAAGGTTGATCTATAACAAACCTAAAGACCAGATATCTGCTAAATATTCATGCTGTTAATGATTATTTTTCCAAGGATAGGTTTTATTTCTTTCTTGTATCTTTGCATTGTTACTTTTACTTAATTTTCAGGCATTTTTTCCATGTTGAAAATTAAAAAAATGATGAGCAGCTCCATTTCCAGGATTTTTCTATTTATTTTTTTCCCAAAATATACATCAGTTAATTTTATAAATATATAAGAAATGAAAAAAATAGTAAGGTGTGCTATTCAATATAATTGAAAATTTCTTTTAAAACATTTTCACACAGGTCTAACCTATATTTGTATTAAATGAAATGCTGAACTGTTCAGTGGTGATAATCAAGTTAAACACATAGAAAAAGTGTTAACATGTTGATGTGAAACAGGGTTTTTCTTCTGAGGTAACAGTTCTAGATTGCTAACATTTGTGCAGCCGTTATAGTGATTTAAGATTGTTTTACAAGAAATGCACTAAAAATGGCACATGATAAACCCTACAAATCATTTCTATAACACCATACATGCATGAAAGACACACTTAACATATACTAATAGAAAATGCTTAAATGAAAAGGTGAACGTGCAACTCTAGACTTTTTCTAGTATCAAATTTTTTAAATTTCGGTTAGATATATAACACTATATTTGATTTTACCACAAAAATATATTCCAACATTGTGTTGAGGATAGAGTCTGAGGCTCTTGTTCAGTAACCATCATCATATTCGTCCTGCACCTGCTGCCGGGCCAACATGGCCTGGATGAGAGCGCTGGAGCCAGAAGGAGCGGGGTTTTGCCCAGGGGCACCGGTCCACTGATTCCTTTCCTCTTCCTCTGCTCTCTGCCTGGCTTGCATGACTTGTGCCATTACATTTGATGCTGAGGATGGACTATCATATGAATCCTCTCCCCTGCCCCCTTCAGCTCTTTGCCCTGCTCGCATACTGAGTCTATTAACTGGGTTACTTTGATTAAGGTTAGTCGTGCTCCAGTATTGGTCATTCTCTTCGGCCCTCTGTCTGGCTGCCAAGCTCTGTGTGACTGCATTGAGGGAAGGAGGGTTTTCGTCAGCAATGTTATAAACATTTTCATCCTCTCTTTCGGCTTTCTGACGTGCTAGAATGGCTTGTGTCATAGCATCAGTGGTAGATATGTCTAATGGAACTGACGACCCCCTGACACTGCGTCTTTCCTGTTCTTCCACCTGCTGGCGAGCAAGTAGAACCTGAACCACTGCGTTTGAGTTGGACGGACTTCCAGAGAAAGCTGAACCTGGTTTGGTCCGCTGAAACAAAAAAAAAAAACATATTAAATAAAGTATCAAAAAACAAATGTGTAAACCGATACATTTAGAATTGGAACATCTGTAAAACTCACAGTTTTCTGTTTTTTCGGTTGGTTATTCACTTTAGGACCAGATCTCTGCAGGTTTTGAAGCCTGTCTAACAGGAAGGACTTATCTTGCCCCTCCTAATGAAAATAAAATATTAAAAAATAACATTAGTGGAAAACAAAATAAACATTATAAATAATTCTGAAAAATGAACTAAATAAAATGCAATAAACAATTTGAGCCTACGTTAACAATCTGCTCTCTGAGAAGAATGATGAGCTCCTTGCGGCCCTCAGCGAGCTGCCAGAAGATGTATATGATGACACTGGAGAGCAGAAACAAGATTTACACTATGACCAGCCAAAATGAATGTGCAGCACAGTCTTCAGTCAGTTCAGACTCACTTGCAGCAACATTCATACCCTCCAAAAGTCACCATATTCTGTCACAACTTCTCACATTCAGGCTGATGTGACAGACCAACAAAGAGAAATGCATAACTTCTATCTGTCAAAAAAATGTATTAAAAGACTCAAACTAATTGCAGCAAACATATCTGTTATGAATACTTACAGGATAATGAGTGTGATAAGAAAGAAGAACAGTTCACTCTTGATGACATTGTCATAGATCCATACAGCCCACTTAGAGCCAGGAAAGTTTTTGTCTACATCATCTATCCACCCTTCAATCACACCAAACGTTCTGTTGAGTCCCCGAAAAGGGCCGCACCCCTCCGAGGGAGTCAGACTGAGGATTGGATTAGAAATAGGATATCATATTCATTACGAGACAAAGTTATCAAATAAATGAGCTACCTTCAAGCTGTAAAATTATGTTTATTTACCTCCAGGAAGTGTACGCAACAATTGACAGGGCACCCACGAAGAAAGGGAAGAAGAGGAGAAATATGATAATGGTTTTCATTTGAGCTGCTCTGCCTGATCGCCGTGGAGGCTGGCAGTTCTGGGTCAAACTGACCTGAAGGAGGAGTGGAAAATTTCAGTATACAGGTAGAAATGTAGGCTAGCAGTAAAAGTTTATTTACGTGCCCCTAATGACCCCTACTAACTCTGGGAACTCCTTTAAGACTGCTGGAAATGTATTCTAAGCGACTACCTTATTTAGTTTAGATTTAGACAAACTTTATTGTTGTTTAACGAAATATCGCTGCATTCAGCTTACATCAGTGAAATTAACATTACCATTATAAATAATGGTATATAATAGCGCAAAAGGGCATAAATATGAAATAGTTTATTGCAGTGCAAAATAAATATGGTGCAAAATGCAGTGGACACGTTGAGTTGTGTTGTATTTCAAAGGATTATATAAGTTCAGCCACATTGATTATTAAAACAATGTAAGTGTGATGCATATTGAATAATCTGAAATATAAAAGATGTTTTGAGTTATTTTTGGTATTTCTTTATTTGCTAAATGATTGCAATTGTAATTTAGCTGCATCGTTTTGTCATTTCCAGTGTAATTAGATTTTAGAAAGTAACAGAAATAAAGGAAAGCCTTAAAAAATGACAAAGGTGAGTCCAAACCCTTAATTGGTAGCGCATATACTGATACAAAACAAAAAAACACATATTAATGAAGACTAGCAGGTCACAATGTGAGATAACAGCTAGGTGTCTAATTTGTATATTTAGACCTATTGGCAGGTTGGTGGCGAGCAAATACAAGTGATAGTTAAAAAGAAAAAAACACCATACAGATATAACAAAACTTACGTATATAATGTATAAAAGACTATAAAATGTCTAGCATTAAACAGATTTTAAATACTTTTCTATTCATGTTTCTAGCTTTAAAGTAGGCATATGTGATATATTACAAAAACAAGTAAGAAGTAGGAGCTCCTTTACATTATTTTATCCATACTGCTTTTTGCACTGATTTTCCCTTTCATCTGTAAATGGTCGGCAGCTTTTTTTCCAAGTACAGCCGGAGATGCATATTTTTACGGGTTTCCAGTTGCTTTACATGTTGCACTCTTTATTTAATGTAATCTTATGCCCTTTCAGTAGCAGCCAAGTTATTATTATAATTTTTTATGTGGTTTTTTCTTTAGTTTAAAGTCTATTCTAGTTTTTAATTCCTGTTTTTGATTCAGATTTGTATAATCTCTTAAGTCCTTCTACTATTTTTATCGTTTTTGCGTACAGTGTGAACCTGCTGCTTCAATATGTCTTTTTTTTTAAACTACATTACATGAAACAGCTGGATTTCCCGGCCTTTGGACAATAAACTAAATCCTTATTCCATTCAAAGTTGGTTATAATTGCGACTACCTACCTATATACCTGTGTATGATATTTGCTTTTGTTGAGAAGTATATACTTTCAGGTTTAGATTTTAAAAAACTAAATGAGAACGGTAATTTAATTTCTAAGATTATACATCACAGCTGTGTATCTTATGCAGCTTGTTATCCTTTGCATGAATATACAGGACAGCCTCTGCTGCATACTTAGTTAGCCACATCTCATTAAAGAAGCCGGTTAAGCCCAAATATTGCATCTTCTTTTCAAAGTTATAAGTTTGTGTATTAAAAACTTTTTTTCATTGGTTATATTTCCATTTTGTGTTATTCTAGTTGTTTTGATTGTATTTGAGTTCTAATGTATTTCTTGTTTACCCTCTGTTACCCTCTTGTGTCAGTCTCCTTCTCCTAGTTCCCTTCTAGATACTTCTGTCCACACCTGTTCCTCATTAACTAATTAGTCCACTCATTATTTCTAACTTCCATATATACACGTCCTCTTCTTGTTGGTGCCTTGTCGTTTCTTGATCCTAATGTGTGTTTTCCCTGAACCCTTCTAGTTTTTGGTTTTCTATGTTTTGTTATTTTTGCCTCTGGCTCTGCATTTCGATCCTTCAAACCTCCACCTAACATGATAATTTGAAAATCCTGACTTTAGAGATAATTCAGTTTGTATATCGAACATTTGTCAAAAGAACCACAGTGAATTGTTTAACAAAGACCATGAATGATTATCCTCATAATTGAAAAACCAAAGCACAAAACACCAATATGTCTTTATCAAAGTGATGAAAGGATTTAAATTAATCACTGGAATGTGAACAATGAGTAACATGAGACGCTAAAGGTTGAATAGGGCAGTCCTATTGGGTTTCTGTCAGTTCAGTGTAGGTGTGTGTTCAGGATATAAAGCAGGCTCACAAATCCCTAAATCAACATTTACCTTTTTAATGAAAAACAAGATGAAGAATTTCAGAATCTGGATGACAGGTAGCAGAGGAGAGAAGTAGATTCCAATCCTAGCAAGAGAAAAAGTGTTAACCTTTACATTACTTCCTCCTAAGAATATAAGAAAATAAACCTACTGTAACAAATAAAATGCTGCTGAATGTGTTGTATTTACCAGGCTAAAGTCTGGGCGTATATGATCTCCAAAATATTTCTGGCTACGTCAAACTCTGGTACACCCAGTCGCGGTTGTATTTTGGTCCCAATAACACTGTCACAAAGAAATGGGAAGTGAAGTCATCCTTCAACAATAACTCCCTGTAGTTCAGGGACTGCAGCATAGATGTAAAAAAGCATTGGTACTCACTTGCTGAGAAACTCTCCAAAGAAGGATCCCAACATCAGAAAAATGAAATCAACGATGACCAAACGGTACAAAGCTTGTCCGACCATTGGTTCCCAGCACTGAGATAAAAAAATTTCTTCAATGAATAAACCTCCAACAATGTGTAAAAACATAAAGGAACATACATGTATACGTACTGTAAATTTCAGAGGAACCACATTCATCCAGTGGTAACACAAAACTCCCAAAATGGAGATCCTCAGTAAGACATTTCTGTGATGGAAAATAAAAAAGATATGATGGACTAATATTTGATGTAGTTAAATGAACAGTACAACATTTAAACAAATGATCTTGATCGTATCAAGGAAATATGACACCAGTTCCCTGCTGTTTGTTGTAACTAAAAAGCACATTTCTAAACTACACTGCCGATTTCTCTGTTTTGCTACCTTCATGTTAGCCTGAAGTTATATCTCTTTTTGTAGACCCAGATTTACAATATAAACAGAAAGATCAGTTCATGTTTTGATGTGAACATCTGTTGATTTCCCACCTAAGGCACCCTTCTGATTACCTTTGTCCTTTAGGTTCGCTCATCTCATTATAACATTATTAAGACCATCTCCCACACTATTCTGCTCCCCATTGTCTTCTTAATTCTACTGCTTCATGGACAAAGCAATACCTAAAAAAAAAAGTCTCATAAATAGATCACTGTGCCTCTTTAGTTGGAGTATAAAAGATGCTGTGGAAATGTGTGTAGAATTATCTCTAAAGGCAGCTGTATTTGTCCTGTTCTCCTTTGTATTCCAGCTCTGTGTTGTAATTGACACCATTGTGGAAAACACCATCAACTGACAAAGGTGTTCAACACCGGCACTGATTATTTTCTGCCTGATTTGAAGTTTAAAGATCCAGAACAGGCCATATAATAGATAATAGTGATTGTAAAGCAAAACAGACAGATTTGTAAGCCAAAGAGGGCAGGGCACAAAAAAGAAACACTTCTACAGCAGATATTGCAATGATGAATCAGGTAGTGGGGTTCAGCATTTGTGTCATCTCAATTCTATAGGTCCTTAGAGACCAAGATGTGCCTCTCCTGGACTTTCATATTGCCTATTCCCATTTGCAGATCAGGGCCTCTCTCAAAAAAAGACTTTCACAAAGTCAAGGTCTATTAACTGCAATGTTTCTGTCAGATCCTTGGAGTTTGTCTGCTGTCTACTGCAGCACTATATGAGATAAATACCACCCAAAACCACCTACTAAAGAAGAAATCCAGAAACAAACGACAGAGCAGTTTAGATACATCTGCAGAACACTGATAGACTGCTGCACAAAGTCTAATGTCCCACAGACCGGCACATAAATTGTTAAAAAATGATGTTTAAAAAAAAAAAAAAAAAAAGACATGACAAGCAAAGAGTCTAGATGCTTTGACATAAACTGAACAAAGGCTAATGCTATGGGCAGTGAAGTGTAAAAAGAAAAGAAAAAAAGAGGGCTTCTATGGGCAGTTCCACAAATTTTATTTGTTTTTTGCAAGAAAGGACAAATCTAATCCCCAGTTTGATGCCACTAAAGAAGAAAAATACATTTCATATACATGTAGAGTGCTTTTGAGGGTCCATGAAAAATCAGTCTTCAATGAATTTTTTTTAAAGATTTAAATGCAAATAGTTATTTACTTAAAAGTAAAATAAACAGAAGTATACACCTTGAATGAACCCTTTGTGTGGCTAGCAATGCACTTCTTAAATTAGGCGTAGTTTAAAATGGCAGAAGATGTGTATTTTAAGAGGCAGCACCTTGTTTTGAGCCTACCAAATGGCTGTTTATAGAGCCTATTAACTCTGTGACTTTACAACTTAGATAAGACAAAGCTGCTTGCTACAATCAGATTTTGCACGATTCTAAGCTCTGAGACAATAAAGAACGGTGTTACTCAAATCAAAATTTTAAATGTATTCTTAAAAAAAGAAATAGACATAGAAAAACAATACAAAACCTTTAGAATGTTCACAATATTAGCATAGATACTCAGCACCCTAATAGTACTTCACCTGAATAACAAGGCATAGATCTGTTTGCTCTGGCTGGAGTAGTGTTCAAACTTGTTGAAGAGGGAGAATAGGAGTGGAACAACCATATTCATCAAAGACACCACAAAGGGAACCAGGAGGGTCTCAGCTTCCTGTTGTAGAGACCACCTTTCAGTGTCTACCGTCTGCTGTAGTGATAAAAGAGGAACAATTTAGTCCTCAATAATAAAACCTTATCTACCAAAGTAAATCAAATGAACTCTTCTGGTAAAAGACTTACAACACCACCTCTAGTAGGTTTATGACAGACAGATAAGAGCAGCAGGATGCTGTAGCATTAAACTATTGCCTTTAAAATCAGTGCAGGCTGTCCCATTTCTTGGCATTTTCTTTGCTATTTTGATAACGAGTGCTGGGATTATCATTAAAAAAAGATTAAACATTGCATTGAATCATTCTAGGACTTTTGCATACCTTATCTTCATATTTGCAGAGGTAGAAGATGCTAACTCCACAGGCAACAGCTAAACCCGTTGAGAGAAGCCAGGAGCCAAGATAAATCCCATATTGCTGCAGTTTTTCAGGAAGCGTTTTTTGCTCTATGTGTGCCTTTTCCGCTAAAGACTCCTGGAGAAGTAGCAAGATAACAAATATTACACTGATTACGCACCTTAATATATTAGACTTCAAATGACTATAGAACCCAAATATTTACTGTTCTTCATTTACATATATATATATCTATATATATAGATATAGATATATAGATATATATATAAATAAACCTAATTGTGACATAGAGCTTAATCTGCATGAGATTAGGAGATCTGCAGCTGTTGACTTTGCAGAAAGGTGATAATATCTTCGAAACTCTGTGCCCCAGTTAACCCCACCCTTGTATTATTTCACTTATATGACCTAGACCTAGTTTACACGAAGACGGACACAGTATCTTTTCATAAATAGCTCAGAGAACATTTTTGTCCACACAGGTGAACACAGAGCAGGTGTAGATATCTATGCGAGTTAGAGAGATGGCCCACAATATAATCCATTAAGAAAGTATTCTACTTGCAATTCACACAAAAATACAAATTTTGTGTTTGATACTTTTTCCACTCTGGAACTAAAAAAATAGTATTATTATTTAAAAGGGGCAGTGAATATTTGTTAACTTTTAAATGTAAATATGATAGAATTAGCAAAAAAAAAAGCTACTTTACATCTTTACAATTAGCTACTTTACACCAGTAGTCCTTTATCTTTTATGTTCTTCCTAGACGCAAAATTACTTTCACAGATACACCTACAGTAATCTCATCTTCATGAGGAAGATGCCTGAGTTGCTCTTTATCATTAGAGTTTTCTGCAAAACCAGAAACAATTAACTGTGTGGTCTTCCATAGAGTGACATACTGTAATCGTTCTGTAATTAAAGTAACCAAGCTGGGGATTGCCCCTATCATTCTATAGCAGCTGCATGTCTCTGTGCTCTATTTCAAACACTAATGCTAACAGATGTTGCTGTAAATGTAAATATGTCTGATGGTCTATGAATATTGAATACTACTCCTGAGGCGAATAATTTGACAGATAAAATCGAATACATCAAGAAGGGTAGGAGTTACCTTTAGCTGGATTCGTATGTTGTTCTTACGCTGGTTTACTGCATTCTCATTGGTAATGCTAAAATCCCAGCTGTGTAAAAGCTGCCATGCACTGTTTGATGATGGGTCTGCCATGGCATAGTTTTTCTTAAATGAGCTTGCCATGCTGCATTAGGATGAAGCCATATTGTAAAATGTGTAGGCTGTACAGCACAAATAAGTCCTAGAAATTTCAGGGTAAATGTCTGACTAAAGCATAAACAACATACCTGAAAATGAGCACGATTCCACAAAGCACCATATAGACTGAGATGGTGAAGAAATAGGCCAGCTTCATGTCGTAATTTACCAGGCCATCAACTGTTTCATTGCTGTAGCTGCCGTAGTACATGATAGTATAGTTGAAATACCCCTGAAGAAACCAGAAAATAATAACAAAACTTTTTTTTTTTTTAGTTTAATTAAGCTTTAAGTCACAAACTAAAGCTGTAAGTACACAGAGCTCATACATTATTTTATAGAGTACTGTATTTTTGCTGGCAAACAAAAATAGCTCTATTTTCTTTAAATCTCACAAAAATAAAGATTGTTAATTTTCTCAGTTACATCCACATTTGGTTCTTGCTGTTTTTCTGGCTTCAAATAAATTAAAGGCTGATTTCAAGCCAGTTTACCTCGAAGGTATAGTGGAGGATGTTCTTTTTCCAGGTGGATCATCAAAATAAGTGGCCCTCCTAATTGTCAATCATTCTAGTGATATATTTACGTAAGGCCGTCCTACATGCTCATCCACCTTTTTCACTTACTGGTTGTGAGTCTGACATAGTGGAAAAAAAGCTAATCTTCTTTTGGAAAGTAAGCTTGCATGAGCGATGCAAGCAGCAACTTTAAGGCAGAGCGTGCACGAGGAGAAATGGGCTTGTGCATGCTCTTGCACTTTCAATAGGCGTGCCCTCTCGGGAGCAGGTACAGGTTTAATTTTTTTTAAGTGCAGAGAGCAGGTCTTACCAAAAATTGACAAAAATCCTCCACTAGACCTTTAAGTTGGGTTTTTTGTTATCGATAAAAGAATAACGCATTCAGTCTATTATTTAGAAATAAACTGTAGTTATTTGTTAAAGATTAGTTAATTCCAGACAGAATACTGACCTGTTTGACTGACAACTGATAAGAAAATGTAAGCCAATAATATATTGAAGTATTTTTCTGTATTGATAATCAAGGTTTGCACCAGACACTACGTACAATAACATGCATCGCCAGTGCTAGCTGTTTCATCTTGCTTCAAAACAAGCTGTTTTTCAAATATATAGAATATTATATCTCATGCAGGAGGGAATTCCTAATGGTGTCACAATCTTCAAACTAATTATCTTGATTGTTGAAAAAATATTTCTGAACAAATATCAGTGCATATATCCACCTACAGCTCCAGTCAGTAACTCTAGTCCTCTGAAGGTCATGTTTGCAGGTGTGTTTGGTGAATGGTCATAGATAAGGAGTGGGATGGTAATGAAGCCAAAGTTGATCAGGAAGGAGAAAATGTTGAACATGAGGAGCCACTTCAGGAGCACAAAATAGTTGAGGACACTGGAGCCAAATTTGCCCCCAATCTCCTTCATGGTGCTGTGCCAAAGCTCCAGGGTCTGCTTTGCTGATTTTACACTGTAACCAAATCTTCGCATCGACTAGAAAAGAAGAAAGCAAAAATAATACATGTTAGTGTATATATATCAAATAACTTGGACATTAGTTGAAGAAAATGGAGAGATATACTCACCAGTGACATATTTTTAGAGCAATTTGACAAACAGGTGAACTGGCGAGACCGTTCTGAAGACTTCAGTGCTCTTACCTGTCTCCTGTAGACATACATTGATAACATAAGGGCACAAATCGTTTTCATTTCTGAATCTCAGATAAAATGCACAACGGTAAAAATTTGTTTCAATCTGTATGAAAACATGTCTTCCTGATGCTGCCTTAGTTGTGTAAAATATCTCAGTCAAAAATAGGTCAGGTGTTAAGGAATTACCTGATCATATAAGATGGTAATGTTATAGTCAGTATATTGCAGGTTACCATTGGAATTACACCAGTGACCTAATTTAACTTTTTTCTAGGTCACTTCAAACTTTTCTTGCTAGACCGTTATCAGAACTTATCATCACGCTCCTAAAGGACCTTCTGTGTTAATAGAATAGCTATAGGTTGATCTACTTTGCGCCCTGGGATGGACTGGTGACCTGTCCAGGGTGTACCCCGCCTCTCGCCCATTGACAGCTGGAGATAGGCACCAGCACCCCTTGCAACCCCACTTGGGAGTAAGCATGTTAGAAAATGGATGGATGGCTGATTTACTATGCAATGTAAAAACAACCCATTCATGAGGTAGTACAATGTTAAAATGGTTAGCTTGTTGACAGAACCAGAGACCAATATAAGAACTTCTCTGAAGTTCCATAAAAAGAAAAACATCCTGGACCAGAAACCAGCCTGTTAGTCTGAGTCACTCAGCCACAGGACAGAAGAAATTCAGTCAGTAAGTGAGACAACGCACCCCAGTAATGTAATAAATTATATTTTATGCCCCCCCCCCAAAAAAAAAAAACAAAAAAAAACAAGACCCTTTAGGGATAGATTAGAGGACATTGACGGCAAATCATGTTATGTTGTTGACAGAATATTAAAAAAAAAAAAAAAAAGCTGAACTTCCACATAAAAGTTGACCAGACCCTTTTTTATACTGGGTGGGTTTCTTTAAAAAAAATAACTATGTTCTTCAGAGGCCACACAAGTAAAGATGGCCATGAAGGGATATATTTTAGGTATTTTAACCTAGAAACCCAAGAACCCAGTGACCTTCTGAATCTAATAAATAAAATGGATGGATGGATGGATGGATGGATGGATGGATGGATGGATGGATGGATGGATGGATGGATGGATGGATGGATGGATGGGAAGAAATTAAAGACCCAGCTGCAGAGGTTTAGTTCACACAAAAGTGAACTCAGCTCAGGACTGTTTTATCAGTAGACCTTAATACCATGTGGGTGCTACTCTAACAATGCCCTACTCATTCTTTAAAGCTCTGTCACAATGGAAATATTTCCAACTAAACAAGTATTTGCATAATGCTTCGTTTTATGGTTACTAAAAAAGTTTACTGATTAACCAAATGGATCGGCCTCACTCCATCAGGGCTGCTCTCAACCTACCTAATATGTTTCTTCTCTTCAAAGCTCCTTGGTAGCTCACGGATCTTCTTGATTTGTTCCGTTATTGACAAAGCAACAAGCTCCTTTACAAGGTCTTGTTCCTCTGTCACACAAGAAACAACAAGACAAGCACAAGCCATTAGCTTTTCAAGAACCACCCCCCCCTTTTATGCAGATCAGGTGCACACTTTCCACTCGCAGTAACAAAACACCGAAAAGGGGCCCTTACCATTTTCCATCTCGCTCATGATGGCATCTTCTGTGAAAGCTGCATGAGCCGGATCACTATTAGGAAACACACTCATTCGTCTCATCGTTAATCCTCTCCATCTCATTGTCATATTGCCTACATGAACATGGGAAAAAGCATGCTTTCAAAGGGTTCCTTTACCTAAAACGCACACTTAAAAAAACGTCACATTCACAGCACTTAAATATACATCACTTCATACTTTCTTTTATTTCTGCTCTGCTAGTAACAAATGCTTGACTTTTTGAACTCAGTGGATTTTTTTGGTTAGCCTTTGCATATGTTCTAAATATGCCTGTTGGAGAAAGGTGCAGACTAATATGATTACTGTCGCTAACAGCTGTACAGGACATAACAATAAATACAGTTGTTTAGGAAATTACGTGTCAGCTATAATGCCCCATAATCTTTATTTTCTGATTAAAGTCCATGACAGCAAAGCTGTTTAAAATATCTCACTACACTATTAACGTTACCAAGCAGGCCAGGCATGATTTTATATTTTTGAATTAGTTAATTCTTTAATATTTCTTTCCCTGGTTTCCTTAATAGAACTGAATTAACTTCATCTGCATTCATTACTTTTTCAAGCCAAATGATTATTTATAAAACATCTTTTGTTCTCCGGAGGGAACCTGGCTGGAACTATCATTGATTTTTGAGGGTTTCTTTTTTTCTCGTAATTCGAAAACCCCAATTTAAAAACAAAAAACAAAAACTGAAATCTACCATGAATTAATGCTACCAAAAAATACAAATAAAAAATAAGTTCTTGCAAGTTATCTTAAATAACTTGCATATTCAGATATAGTAGTTTAATGAACTGCACACAATCTACAGTATGAGCCAGATTATGTAGACAAGATTAAAATGCTAAAAGGGTCGACACAGACATCTTCAAGGGAATCAAAGCTGTGTAAAAACACATCCATTAAAAGTTAAAATACTTTTTAAAAACATATTAATTGTAGGCCTCCATGGTTTTTGTAAGTCGGAATGCCAAGGCAAATATCTACTAGCATGTCATCTTTTGCTTGAATAATGATATTATAGCATATCTGTGCTGTGTTTTTAGGTTGTACGATACAATTCTTTAGATAAATAATGGTCAAGCATTAGCTGGTGTAAGAAACCTAATTTGATCAACTTCATTTTTTAATTATCCAGCATACCGAGTCGAGTGAATCCTCGTACTACAGGCAGTATACTGTATTTCCCAGCCTCTCCTTACTCTGTACTCTGTCCCATCACCTGCAAGAGTACTCAGTGACGTTGCAAAAGCTGAGCACAGAAAACAGCAGGACTTGGCTTCACAAAATGCTGTTTCTCCACATGTGAGGTCTCATAAAACATCTTATCACACATTTTAAATAGGTGTAAAAGATAAGGAGCAATACCAGGGCAACTATGAGTATTTCAATCAAACTTAAAGTCCTTGAGCTCTCATTTCTTTGCCTGCTTCCTTGTACTTGCTGATAGTGTGTGACTATTCGTCAATGATTATCCAGTGTGTTCTTCTAAGTAAGTTAATCATCTAAGACAAACTTCGGGCAAACATAAATCAATGTTTATCTAGCGAGCAAATCACAAAAAGACATAAAGAAATAGATTTCTATAATTCCACCAAAGATAAATGAATAAATTGCAAATTGTAGATGTTAAATTGGTAAAATGCACTACCTGCAGCTGAGGAATAAGGGCGAACAGGTGGTAATCGATCGTACATACGGTCTTGATCAATCTGAAATGTGCTGTGACCTGAATGATACAAAGGTGCAGAGAGGAACACACCAATAAAACAACGTCACAAATAAACACAGAAACAAGCAAACAAATAGTCCCAAATTAAAAATACCAAACAATGGCAGTAGCTTGAATTTCCAAAAATATATTTTTCTAACATTAAATGTCAAATGTAGTATTCAGTTTTAGTACTGTATCTACAACTCAATATCCACAAAAGTTGTGAATATATTTTCATAATGAATTTGTGTGGCTGCATGTGGGTTTATAAACAAGATATTTCATGTTCTGCACAACAAAACAGAATTGTAAGCAACATACTTCTACAGTAATTTAGCTGTAACTTATAAGAGCAAGCAGATTCTTCAGTTATTCTAACTTTTCATTGGTTAAATAAGGTGTTGTGAAAGCGGCAAAAAACAAGGTCTAAATTAATCCTTCAGTTTCCCTTACTGAGGTCATGCTGCCATGAAGGACTTCCTGTGTGTGTGGACATGGGCCCCATAGGGATGTTTACTCTCCCACCCCATCCTTCTCTGGGTGCTCTCCATTCAGCACCATTTGGGTCATCTCCTGCATAAGGATTGGCATGCGGTGGTTTTCTGGAAAATCTAGTTACCATAAAGACATTTTGCGTTGAAAGAAGAAAAAGAAATGAATTGCTCCAATAAAGCTTGATATGTTTATGATTATGATTATGCATGAGCATGATGTTTCGTGCAGGAAATGTTCTGAAGATAAAATGCTGACAGGAAAATTTCTAGCTGAAAATATTTCGATGTATTTTATGCAAAATTATGGGCATGTTTAAGCACAGGATTTCATAAAACTCTGAAATAGAGGCATTTATGAAATCTATCTATATATATATATATATATCTATCTATATATATATATATATATATATATATATATATATATATATATATATATATATATATATATATATTTGTATTAGCATCCTTTGCATGTTCTACATGAAAGGAGGTGAGACGGTATTTTTATTGGTTCTGAATTTTAGGAAAACAGCACCTTAAAAGGTTAAACTTTAAGTTCATGTCATGAAAGTAAGCATTTAATTGTAAAATGCAATTGCACAAATTTTATATTCATAGCTACTTCCTTCTTGAGGATATTCCCAATGATCCGCCTTTTCTTAAGAATGGAAATTATGGAAAGATGTATTCTTTAATGGTCAAATTTCCTTCAGAATTTCCTTCAGCTATTCTACACAAAAAGAAGATAGGAAAAAACAGCTGATCACACAAACCTTCTGTCAATTTCCAGCGTCTCACTGTCGTGATAGGCTGGGTTAAAAACCCCGCCGTGACCGTAATTCATCACTAGATCCACAAAAAGCAGAGCCTTCCAATCTTCCAAAACGGGAGTCTTTTAGTCAAGACTTGATAATGTCCTGAGAAAAAAGACAGAAATATTTCAAATTAAATGAACAAAACATTTTGCGCCTCATATTTTTTTTATCTGTTGAAGTTTTTTAGCTCTCCTTATTAAGTTGCCCTCATTCAGCTTTGACCTAAACAAACACCATCACATGTTTCAACCGAGTGGGTTTAAGTAGAGTGACAGCTATATTGTCAGAGGGAATCAAGAGTAATTTAATCCTCTGCTCTGATCCGCATCTGTTCATCATTAATTCATTGAGGGGGATTGGTTTCTGCCACACAGGGGAACAAACAATACAACTGGGCGGGTAGCACTGTAGAAATTATGTTATGTTTAACAGTATAAAAGGGAAAATATTGTTTAAAAGAAAAACTCTTCTTACCTTTAGTGATCCAGTGGAGTCAGTATAAAAAATGTCTCTGACAGGAAGTTGGTACAGTTGCAGTCCATGCAGGATGAATGTGATGAACACCTGTGAGCTGAGCTGGAGGACACTGAGTTAGAGAGATAACATACTCTCTGTCTATCAGGAAGTGTTGACTGACCTGTTAAGGGAAAGTCCACTGCTTCTGAGTGCTGCACATGAGTCTGTGACACTTCCTCATGTGTAAGATAATTAAACCATGTTTGCGAACATTTAATTAGTTTCTTTATTTGGAGCATGCTGAGAGTTGTTTGATAAGGGATTTATACTTGTTGCTTGGTGACTGAAATCTACAACAGAAGAAAGACAAAAAAAAAAAGAAGAAAAGCTACCCTAAATCCTTATAGAGCCCTAATACCAAAATATCTAATGGTCCTTGTGACGAGTAGGGTTGAACAGAACATAATGAAGAAGTCCAGAAAATCATTTGAATGGGGCATCAACACAATTTTGCAAATACATAAATAAATATAAGTAAAATGGCATTCAAGTTGTTTCTACCTGGTTCACTAATGAGTCATTATTTCATAATTATAGTTAAGCTTGAAATGATTTATAGTCCTAGCACTGTTTTTTTTTTTTCATTCAGCTAAGAAATAACACTGAAAGTGATACATCCAGCTTAAACGATTGGAAAATAATGTAGAACTAATAATAATTTTGAAATATATTTATTTTATTTAGAAATAATGTTCATTTGGAAAAGAATATTTATATTCCAAAAACAGTGTAAAAATATGTATTGCAGCAATCAAGTTGAAAATATATTTTTTGATTGAAGCAACCTTTCTTAATTAGATAAAAATACAAATCTGCCCTCATTTATATGTTACAATCTGTTACCGTTGAACTTTTGACAACCCCGGTTTAAAAAAATGTCATAAACACAAGGAATTTGGTTTATAAGCTTTTAGTTTGCCCCCAACGTGGCACAATGTCAAAAAACTCATCCAACTGTGTTCGAATTAAAAGATAACAAGGATTAAAAAGTATATAACCTAGAATAAAAATGTTTTATGTTATAAAGTAGTTACTTACTTGTAGACTACCTAAAGTCCACTGATGTGTAATACCTAAGCTAAGTAAAAATGAATGTGATGATAGAAGTACAAGAATTAGTAGAAGTCTATAAATGAGGTAATTTATTGTGTTTTCTTTTTAGCTTACACATTTTTTTTATTTCTTTTAACTGCTAAATTAGTTAATTGACAAAAAAACATACTTTAAAAAATAAAAGAAATGGTCAATTTCATTTTTTTTATTATAAATAAAAAAATACAAAGGAAAAATAAAACAGACAAAAATATAATAACATGCACATAAATAAATACTTTAAAATATAAGTAATTAAAAAATAAAGTTGAAGATTATAAAGGACAAAAAAATAAATAAGGAAAATATTACAAAGGCAAATAAATAAAGAAGCTAATTAAGAGTTATATACATTTGTGTCTCACTTTATAATTTAATTTCTACTTACATTTATTTGTTTATTGTATTTTTGTTGGCAATTAATTGTATGCTTATATATTTATTGAGCATTTATTTATTTCTGTATTTATTTTTAAATATGGCAGAGTTGGTTCTCCATATACGTCAAGCTCACTGCAACACACTGAGGAGTATAACCGGCCCTTAAGTGGGGCCATGGCCACCCTCGGCCCCCCATCTAGCTCCGCCCCTGCTTTAATATGGGTTTAATTTCAGTTTACAGGCGCTACCATTTAGAAAAACAAAACAAAAACAAACAAACAAAAAAGTTGTAAAAAAACTTCTGTCTAACTTCCAGTACATCGCTCCAAAGAGCCCAGCTGGGAGCTGTGACCGCATCCAGGAAGTTATCTGTGGGAAGAGCTTCTCTTCCTACATGTTTACTAAACCAGGTCAGCAAGCTCAGTATTTAGCTAGCAGCTGGTCCATTTATCAAACCTCATCTTTTGGAATTGGGAACAATGGAGGACAACTCAGGTAATTTCGGAGTTTTTTGGGAACTTTAGCTCGCGGGTCAACATTGTTCCGTTTGTTGCTAGTCAGCTAAAATGGCTATAACCCCGAGCTAATATCAACAGTTGCTAACAACTTCTACCTACATTTGTTCATCCATTTGTTTGCCTACAGCAGATCATCCATCCCTATATATATATAATTTATCAGGTTTAATCATTTTTTTTTGCAAACTTTGTCTGTAAAATGTATTTCTGCAAAGTATCCACTAATAACAGCTCAATATGAATGCAAACCACACTTATTGTTTGTTAAAGGGGGTATGTATTTTTTGTGGGACACTTTCCTGTATTTTCCGCCACTACTGCATGCAGATTCCCAGTATATTCTCACTTTGCTCGAATACCATTACAATCATTGACAGGCTGAGATCTGTCTACTATGCAGCTGCCCTCAGCACTTTTGTTTATAGATGTTCGAGATTGCCATGTTTTTCCAGTGTAGTCCTGTTTCTCTGCTATATAAATAAACGTAATTGAAATTGACAAACATTTGAAGTGATGAATAACATGTCTGTTAGGTCTGAAAGCTGTGTTCATCTGCATTGGAGGGTTCCAAAATTAAAATACATTGAATAGTATTTGGTCAGCCACTGATTGTGCAAGTTCTCCTACTTAAAATAATGAGAAAGGTCTGTAATTTTCATCATCGATACATTTCAACTATGAGAGACAAAATGAGAAAGAAAAATGCAGGTTATCACATTGTAGGATTTTCAAAGAATTTATTTGTCAATAACTAACGTTCCACTCCATACTTTGTAATATAGCCTTTGTTGGCAATGATGTAGGTCAAACGTTTCCTGTAAGTCTTCACCAGGTTCGCACACAATTTAGCTGGTATTTTGGCCCATTCCTCCATGCAGATCCCCTCTAGAGCTGTGATGTTTTGGGACTGTCGCTGGGCAACACGTACTTTCAACTCCTTCCACACATTTTCTATGGGGTTGAGGACACTGGCCTGGCCACTCCAGGACCTTGAAATGCTTTTTACTGGGACACTCCTTTGTTGACCTGGTGGTGTGTTTGGAATCATTGTCATGCTGGAAGATTACAGCCATGTTTCATCTTTACGACTCTTACTGATGGAAGGAGGTTTTGGCTTAAAATCTCACTGATACAGGGTCCCGTTCATTCTTCCCTCAATCAGTTTTTCTTTCCCCTATGCACAAAACAGCCCCAAAGCATGAGGTTTCCTCCCCCCTCCTCACAGTAGGTACGGTGTTCTTAGGATGCAACTCTGCATTCTTATTCCTCCAAACATGATGAATTGGGGTTTTACCAAAAAGTTCTATTTGGGTTTCATCTGACCACAAAATATTTTCCCAATCATCTTCTGGATCATCCATATGCTCTCTGGCAAACTTAAGGCGGGCCTGGACATGTACTGGCTTGAGCAGGAGGACATGTCTGGCACTGCAGGATTTGAGTCCCTCTCGGTGTAGTGTGTTACTTAGGGTAGCCTTTGTTACTTTGTTCCCAGCTCTCTGCAGGTCATACATCAGGTCCCTCCGTGTAGTTCTGGGATTTTTGGTCACCGTTTTCATGGTCATTTTAATCCCACGGGATGAGATCTTGTGTGTAGTCCCAGATCGAGGAGAATATCAGTGGACTTTTATGGCTTCCATTTTCTTACAATTGCTCCCACAGTTGATTTTTTTCACACCAAGCTCCTTACCTATTGTAGATTCACTCTTCCCAGCCTGGATCATATCTATAATTTTCTTCCTGGTGTCCTTCGACAGGTCTTTGGTCTTGGCCATGGTAGAGTTTGGAGTGTGACTGTTTGAGGCTGTGGATGGGTGTATTTTATACAGATAACGGGTTCAAACAGGTGCCAATAATACAGGTAACGAGTGGAGGACAGAAGAGCTTCTTAAAGAAGAAGTTACATGGCTGTGAGAGCCAGAAATCTTGCTGGTTTGTGGGTGACTAAAGACTTATTTTCCACCATAATTTAAAAATAAATTCTTTAAAAAATCCTACACTGTGATTTCCTGGATTTTTTTCTCATTTTGTCTCTCATAGATGAAATGTAAATATGATAAAAAAAATTACAGACCTCTTTCATTATTGTAAGTAGGAGAACTTGAACAATCATTGGCTGACTAAATACTTTTTTGGCCCACTCTATATATTATATTTTCCTTTTATCCATCCTCTCCATTGATAGGCTGGTAGCATGTTTAATCTATTTCGGGTTGTTTTGTTTTATAATCTAGATGAGGCTGAACTGTTTTCTATGTTGATTTTAAACACTGTCAAATACAGTTTGTTATTATGGACCAAACTGTGTCTTTCCTTTTTTTTTTTTTCCCCCAAGTGTTCTTCACTGACCGTAGCGGACGGATCACCAGTAATCCGCTACTGGACCAGCTGCCCAGCTACCAGTCCCTGCTGTACCGCAGGAAATCATCAGGAGCTGGCACTAAACGCAGAGGGAGCTCAAGAGGGAGGCTGAGCTCCTCTGGCAGCGTGAAATGGACCATTAACACCATGAGAAGAATTGAGGAGAAGCAGACGAGTCAGATAGGGCAGCGCGCTATCAGAGAACTAGCCTTAAACATGGCTCAGAAACGTAGAAACAAGTAGGAAACTCTTTGATACTTTTTAAATATCTTCCTTTGGACTTAAAAAAACTGCTGCTTGTTTTCCCCACTGAGTGCACTAAGTAGGCATTGGGCAACAATGGGACTCTTACTGTATGAAACCCGGAAGAAGAACTACTGCAGTATTATAGTGCTAAAATAACTTTTTTTATGAAATAATTTATTAACTTTTTACTTTAATTTACTTTTAATGCCAGTTGACCAGCAGGGTGCAGCAACAGGTGAGGTAGATGTAACCTTGCTTAATTTGTGCCCCATGCAGGAGGAGAGTTATCTAATCTCTCTGGCATTTTCTCTGGTTATAATTAAATGGAATTTATCTCTATGAATCCCAATAATAGGATTGATAGCAATTATAGCTAACTGAGTTGCTGTCAACCTTTGCCTACTTTAATACCACTAAATCAGCTATTCCCTTGTAGTAGCGTTATGTTTGACTGTATCTCCCCTACAGAGATCAGCCTTTGAAAGGGAACCAAGATTTAAGCAGCTGGAGACAATGGAGGCAAAACACACGCAGGAATCTGAAGAGGCTGCGGGATGATGCTGAGGTATTTCTAAGCTCCATGAAGCTCTGGAAGAGGGACATCCATCAGATAGAGGGTGAGATAGGAAAACTTTGCACTCTACAGTCAAGATGTTTGCAGTGTTCTTGATTTATGTACCCTTATTTCTCTTTGATATGTTCATAGGGATGTTTGGAACAGGGATCCTGTCCTACTTCTCCTTTCTGCGCTTCCTGGTTGCGCTCAACCTGTTTATTTTCCTGCTCATGTTCAGCTTTGTCATCTTGCCCATCATCATTGTCCCCCACACTAAAGGAAATATCACCTACGACCAGCATGACGGTGCGTAGACTCACTTGTTTGTTTCGATGCTAAAGCTTAAACTAAGGATGAAGTACTCACAGCCTGTTCCCCGCTGGTTTATCTACAGAAACTGATTGCAGGGTCTATCAAAGCTCAGCTCGTAGGGGTCTTGTCAACTTTCACACGCACCTTGGGGATCTGCTCTCTGGTGGAGTAAGTTCCTTTACTCTGCAACTACTGTAATATTTTATTAATTCAGTTGATTTAATAACTAGGACAAGTTTGGGACATTGTTAGTGGATGTATTTCAGGTCTAATTTAGTGGAAAAAAGAAATGGTTCATAGAAGTATCTGTTTGTTTTTCCCTGTTTATTTTTACATTAGAGCTTACAATAGGCAACATGGTGCATAAGCCCATCCAACTAGTGCCTTGCCCATTGGCAGATTGAAATATTGTCAGGTTGGCTGCATTTGTTACCCCAGTGAAGACAGTGAAGGCTTGATCAGATTTGTCTATGAATGCCTGTTTTGGACTCTTTCAGCCTGATTTTACTACCTCTGCAACCAATTTAACATATTTTAAAGAGCCGTGTTTATAATGAAAAGTTCAGGACTTAATCATTGTGCTTTATCATCAGGGCTTTCTGGAACAGACTTACCTTTTCTACGGCTTCTACAAAGTGGATAAAATCCACTTTCCAAAAGCCACATACAATTTGGCGCTGGCATATCTCCTGGCAACAATAGCGTACCTCTTGTTAAGTCTGATTTGGATTGTTAAAAGGTATATAAAGAAATAAATCACCTTAGCAGCGAAATCTATGAGCAGCTCAGTTTTTTTTTTGTAATTATTATTATTACTTTGTTTTGTTTTAAGGTCTGCCACAGGATTCAAGCGCAACCTGGTCCAGGATGAGGATCGCTTTCAAAGTTTTTGCAACAAGATCTTTGCCGGCTGGGATTTCTGCATCACTGATCAGAACACAGCAAGGCTAAAGAGAAAGAGTCTGCTCTACGAGCTTAAGGTCAGCTCAGGATTCTGGTTTAAGCCTGTCAGTCACATTTAAACATGGTTGAAAATGTCTTTTCAATCATGCATAATGTACATATCAGGATACAGCACCAGATAAATGTAATAAAACTACATCTTTAACAATATTTTTATATCTATTTTGATCTCTAATAATGCATTTGATTCTTCTCAAGTCTAACTTTGATATTCATTTATTTCAAGTGGTCTTGAAGTTGCAAGTGCATTTAAAGACACAAATAAAGTTATTAAATCCTATTTAGATTTGGATAAATACCCTGAACAAGTTGAAGGAAAGTACTTATTGAAACCATTAACTAGGTTGATATATGATTACTCTTTTTTGGTACTGAAGTTCATTTAAACTGATCCCTACCTTAGTTTATGATCCATCATATTTTCAGTTTGATTGAGGTTGCAGACTTTACAGAGGCTTAAAATTAGTTTGATTCATGCATTCCTTGTGTGTTTAGGATAATCAATGTTTAAACAGTCCTTGTTGCTAGAGTTCACCTTTGGATGAAGCCATAAAAAAGATGGAAAACCCAATATAGCAGCAATAACTATTAGGCACGATTAACAACAAAAACAGTTATGCCGGGTTCACACTGAACAGTTCTTCATGACTGTGATCCTACTTAAATATTCTGCATTTTTTCGAATTTAAAGTTTGTAATTTTATACTTCACTCATTTGTATACTTGAAAAAAATATATTTTTTTAAAAACCACAAAATAAATGTATAGAAAGTAAAGAAATATAGGTAATTTATAACTATTTATTTATTAATCAATTATTGAAATAATCGTCATAATAATAAGCCTTGCTATCACTATGAGTGGAATTTGTAAAGCTGTGAGCTCAATAATGTTCAAATGGTATTCTGAGGGCTACATGTCTTATACTTCTTAGCATCCAATATTTTTTGCGCTTTATGACACTTGGTCTTACCCTCTTTCTTTTTGCATTTCATTGTGCTTCAATCAAGCTTTATCTTTATGACTCAGCAAGCTCCATTGATTCTTACTTGCTCATTGCACTCATCCACATCACTGTTCCCCTATCGTACCTCTGATCAAATGGCCTTGTGTAAATATGTGTGTAAATATACACAAAAACACTTTTTTACCAACAAATAGAGGAAAAAAGTGTAAAACTGAAATGAAATACAATTATCCAATAGGCCATAATAATTTGAATACGTTATTATAAAACATATTTCCCAATATTTAGTCTATGAATCATGAAATTAAAAAAATCTGCTACTGGTATTTTAGGGTTAAAGATGTGTTTTATTATTGATGAAGATTGTCCTAAACTAATTAAAGGATTTTGAGTAACAAAATAATTTTAAAGTATAAGGCGCATATAAATGTCTTTTTTTTCCCTCAAAATGTGCGGCGCGCCCTATGTGTGTTGTTACTGCGGACATTGTTGAGACCACCATGAGAACGTTAAAGGGGGAGGTGTGGGCGTGGACAGAAACTGCCGCCTATGGTGATCTTTTAGAGAAAGACTTTGCCTATAGAGTCTTTTCCAGCTGGAGTCGTTATAAAGGCAAATGAAAAGGGCTGGATGGATGAGGAGATGATGAAAGCGTGGCTGAGGCAGGTGTGTGTAAGGAGACCAGGTGGTTTTTTCCACGCATCACCATCGCTGTTAACCTGTGACTCCATGCGTGCCCATCTCACAGCCGATGTGAAAAAACATGGTGAAACAAATGAACGCTGGGCTCGCTGTTATTCCGGGAGGTCTGACAAAGGAACTTCAACCGCTCGACATCGGTGTGAACCGGCCTTTCAAAGTAAGGCTGCGAGCGGCGTGGGAGCGATGGATGACCGACGGAGACCACAGTATCACGAAAAGTGGAAGGCAGCGCCGGGCAAGTTACGCCACCGTTTGCGGATGGATTGTTAAAGCTTGGACTAACGTGTCTGCTGGCTCTGTTGTTCGAGCTTTCGCAAAAGCCGGCATCATTTCTGAGGAGCCGCCCGGCACGGAAAGTGACTGACAGCGAAGAAGGGGAAATTGGCATGTCTGATTTAGTGCAGCTGTTTAATTCAGAAACAGAGGATGATGACTTTGATGGGTTTGATTAATAAATTAATTACTTTGTAATAAATACATGAATAAAGCACAAACATACTCTGTTTTGCTCTCGCTCTATTTTTAAATACGCAATAGAGGTATTTAAAAACCTGCACCCTATAATATGGTGCGCCTTATGTGTGTGTTAAATACAGTAATGGCACACATAACTGAGACTGCGCCTTTTAGTACGGTGCGCCTTATGGTCGTGAAAATACGGTACACACGATCATGTCACTGTATTTATTTGTGAAATAATTAGAGATAAATAATTCTATGTATTTTTAGGAGGTCAAAAATAATGGGTCACTAGTGGAATGCACTGTTCTGTGGATCTTGTCCTGAAATGTTTAAGCACCCCTGAGTAATCACCCAAATTAAATAACTTTCTTACTGATAAAGACTATAAATAAATCTCTGCCCTGCACAAATATAATCTATGCCTGTATAATATTTATTTAAATATTAATAAAAGGTACTTTTATTGCTCAGCTGGTATTAATTGCTGTTTGCAGACAGAATTAAAGTAAACAGCATAAAACATTTTGGGGCAGAATTATCAAAGATCCCACTTTAGTTTGATTTGTTTATTTTGTTTTGTCCTTTTTGGTTTTGCAAAATGTCTTTTTCTTTGGCCAAAAAGGCTCAATTTTTAGGTATTATTTAGTTAAAAACAGCATTGTCAACAATGTTACAGAAGTGTTCATCCTAAATATTAGCCAAAACTTACCTCTAGTCTTTCAGGTGATCGTGTTTTGTTGTGTTTCTTTACTGCTTTGACATTATGTCCCATTTTCTGTTTCCTCAGACTGATTTGGAGGAGGAGAAGATCAAACGCAAAATAGCAGATCGTACCAGAAATGAGAAGTGTCGCATTTATCTCATCCGTGTCATCCTCAACTCTTTTGTCATTGCCATTCTAGCTGCCTGCTTCTACAGCATTTATATAGCAACCACAGTTTCCCAGGAAAAACAAATGAACAATGTAAAGGTAATAAATTAGTACTGACATGATTTTTGTTCCAGCATGGCATCTGTGTTTGAATTAGTTTTCCTTAATGTGACGCTTACCTTTATGTTTCTCTCCCCCATTCCTCTGGGGGATCCTTACTATGTATAGATATAATGTTTAGAGGTTCTGACACAGTTTGAACTGGAAATAAAAAAAAAATATATATATTTTTTAATTAAATAATATTTCAGAATAATCGGTTTATAGCCTGACGTAGTCCGACTCAATTCTAGTCAGAATATGAGTCTGATACTGCTCCATAGAGCTGTGATTATGGGGCGTGTTTTGAACGAACCAGGAAAAAAATGCCTCTGCACTCAATTGGATAGACCTACAACCAATAAGAGCAACGGAGTGCGTGACGTATGTTAAGCGAGGCATAGTTGTTGTCCACAAAAATCAAAGCGTGCAGTTTCACGCCTAGAATAAGAAGATGAGACTTGATCGCGTTTCTCTGTTCCTCTTTTAAAATTAATTTGCTGTCTATATCTTCTAGAACACACCTAATAGCAGAATCTACTCACCTAAACTCTCCAGCGGCAGCCATTATTGTTGTCACCCTAGCGCGCTTTGGTCACGTGGTTGATTACATTACTCTTGATCATCTGTCCATCATCGTATAAAGCCCGCCCTGACAATTTGATTGGATCGCCTGACAGTGGGCTTTAATACTCGCGCTACTATGGAGCAGAGCCAGACCGAACTTCCCCGACCTCAAACCTTGTGGGCGGGACTAAGTTCGGACTGGCACCCAGGCTAATCGGTTTAGTGAGATCTATTAAAAATCAATAATCTAAGAACATTATCCTATCTGCCACAAGAAAGTATAAGTTCCATATTTTATTGCGCAATAATCTGGTAAATCATATATATGTACATTTGGCTGGAAATGACAAATGAAGTATAGCTGAAATTGAAATAGAAAAACTATTGATTAGAGTCTGGAAAAGTTTGAAGTTTCAATTAAAAAAATTATGGAGATGTTTTTCCTATTAGCACAATCAAAAACATGTCTAATGCAACTGTTTCCTTCCTGTAGGTGAATTTCATTGAGGATCTCATTGTTGAGTACCTGCCATCCATAGTTATCACCTTGGCCAACTTCATCACGCCGCTCCTTTTCTCTGTCATCATCAATTATGAAGATTATTCACCTGCCTTTGAAATCCGCTTCACTCTCATGAGGTGCTATGGATGTTTGCGTTACCCCCTGTGCCCGTCCTGCTATTACCATTCTCTTAACTTTCCTTTTCTTTCCACAGGTGCGTCTTCATGCGGTTGACCAGTATTGGTGTTTTGCTGTTCTCTCTCTGGTCCCAGATCACCAAATGTGAAGAGGATTCCTGTGTCTGTGGCTACAACCATAAACTTTACTCTGTAAGTTGCTTTCTGATCCTGACCTTTAACTTTATTGGAATTTTGTATGTTACACCCAAACAAAGGGATTTTTATGCAGTAAGTGGAAGTTAAAGTTACACTTTTTTTTGGCCAGTAACAATCAGCATTTCCCATAGGTAGACACTACTAGGACAGTTAGTCCAGGAAGATAGCATTTGGATTTATGTAGGCTTTTTATACAGCGCAGATAGAGCATCTGCCTTCTAGCCCCCTCACCTAATTCAAGTAAATTCAGTTTAGTTATAAAGCATTAATTCACAACACAACACAGACAATTCAACTAGATCATACAATCAGATTGGTTCAAAGTTTCTAACTAAGGAAAACCAGCTGATTGCATCGACTCATTGACTTGCGAGTAGTATCAAGGTGTTACTTTATTGTATCTCTTATGCTTTATCCATTGGTTGTGCTGTTCTTTTTACATCTCTTTGCAGGTGATGAAGCAGACTGAAGATGTTTTATCATTGTCTCCCCTTTTATCTACCTCTTTCTTACATCTTTTCTCCTTTTTCCTGTTCTACTTATGTTGCAGTGTCCATATAATCTGTAATACTCCCTGCATGAATTATAATAAAGCTATTTTCATGCATAAATCAAGTGGAGCACTATGGCAACAACCGTACTGCTCCACTTGTAAAAGCAAAATCTGATGGGCTCTTTTTTGGCATCAAGACAATTATTCTTATTGCCACATTGCCAGCCAGGACACTGTTAAAAAAATGTATTACAATAGTCCAGCCTTGAATTAATCAGCTTCTCTTTCAAAGACTCTGGTCCAAAGACAATAACTTTTGTTTTGTCTGCATTCAGAAGCAGAAAGTTGAGAGTCCTCCAGGCTTTATGTCCTCAGGACATGCCTGTGTCCTGTGTAAGGGGTTAGTTTTATTAGGACTTATGGACAAATATAGCTAAATATCATTAGCATAACAGTGGAAGTTAACCCCCATGCTCTGATAATTCTACCAATCTGGTGCATATATATAGTAAAGAGAATTGGCCCTAGCACTAATCCCTTGTTACAGTAACCCTGGAGCATGAAGATGATTTACCATTAATGTGAACAAACTGAAATCTATCAGACCAATAAGATTTAAACCACCCTGGTTATGTTTTAAGTTAGAGTGACATATACTGCTGGAGTAACCTAATATCTAGCTAAGCTGAGTTATGTCCCAGGTCCACTCCCCCAAATAGTTTTCAGCTTTACCCTGCATAAAACATAGCATATCATATACTTCATTACCTTTATGAAAAACTATTTTTAATCAATATTTGTTTATCCGGGTTAATCCTGAGCTATCTCTATAGTTATGCTGCTATAGGTTTAGACTTTTGGAGGACATAGGGACCCCCATTTTATCATTCTGCTTCATTCTGCTCTCTCTGCTTTTCCTCAGAGTAGCTTTTTCTCGTCTGTTCCTGTTTGGCTGTGACGCCATCCTGGAGAGAAACATCAGCTGTGCTGCTTCCATCAACACCCTTGTTTACAGATGCTGGAGATCGGCCTGTTTTCCAGTGTGGTCCTGTTTCTCTGACCATGACTGGGTGGATGTGCTCTCCTCGTCCTCTGGCATGGGAGCTGGCTTGGAGCTCGTCTGCCTGGCTGTGTGTTTCATGGACGGGGCCGCCTTTTACATCTGCTTTTTGTATCTCTGCTTCTGTCTCCTTGAACCCCAGTCGGCCTCGGCAGATGGCCGCTCACACTGAGCCTGGTTCTGCTGGAGGCTTCTTCCTGCTAAAAGGGAGTTTTTCCTCTTTACTGTCGCTACAAGCATGCTTAGTGTGAGGGATTGTATTTGACTTAATGAGTCGATGCAATCAACTGGTTTTCCTTAGATAGAAAACTTTGTGAATTTGGCGCTATATAAATAAATTGAATTAAATTAATCTGTTGGCTTTTTTTTTTCACTGCAGTGCTGGGAGACCCGTGTGGGTCAGGAGATGTACAAACTCACCATATTCGACTTCATCATCATATTTGCAGTCACCATCTTTGTGGAATTTCCCCGAAAGTAAGATCTCATTTTATCTCAGTAAGATAAGAAACTTTATTCAGCCTGATATTTAGATTAGGCTAAATGTGAACAATGCTTTGATATAATATAAGGAGATTTGATCAATTAACTCTCTTGTATTTATATTGTGAATACTGATAGTCAAAGTGAGGAAAACTCGCCCCCCGGGGTTTATTTATTGCATTTCTAACCCATCTTATTATGTTTGTAGTTCACCCACCTCCCATCACTTGCCGACAGAAACTTAGACTTCCCTCTTAGCTGAATAAAACCAAGTCTCTAATGTTACCATGTGGTGTGATTCAACATGACAAAATGAAGGAGATTTTAAGAAGCAGCATGTGCTGCCCCAACCATTCAGAGTATGTGTTCATTTTAATCTGGTGCACACACGTGATGGAGCTGCATTGTTTTGCATTCCGTAAAAATTCAAAAAATATCCACTGGATTTGGTTTCCAAGATTTGAAGATGTTTTGCCACCTCTCCAGGAAGCTTTCTCAATTCAAAAAATTGAATTGAGAAAGCTTCCTGGAGAGATGGCGAAACGTCTTCAAATCTTGGAAACACTCTTGGAGTGTTTATTACTTCCTGTTCAATCATAGAAAACTCATTCATGTAGGTTTGGTCATGGTATTAATGACCTTAAAACTAGTGACCAACCTTACTGATTTATAATCTGAATCGTGTTTTCTGTGTCGGTGCTTTGCTTGTGGTATTTACAGTATGTGACTTTTTGAGATGATCTCTTCAGCACTTTAGCCTGGTACATCCAACCTTCACTAGCTAATTATAGTTTTTTCCTCAGGCTTATTCTTTGTGAAAACAGTCAGGAGGAGTCAGTCTATGTATCTCCTCCAGTTACACTTTCCTGCAATCTAACAGCTGCATTTCTCTTCCTGCTCAGGCTGATTGTAAAGTACGGGCAGTGTGGACTTGCTAAATGGTGGGGCCAGCAGCAGTTTAGTATTCCTCAAAATGTCCTGGAGATTGTCTACGGTCAGACCATCTGCTGGATCGGCACTTTCTTCTGTCCCATGCTTCCTGCCATCTGCACTATAAAATACTTCTTAATATTTTACATCAAAAAGGTAGACTCTTTTTTGTTGTTTATCAAACTTTCAACTTCAGATGTTTCAAGAATATTTAAATCTTTTCATTCCTTTTCATTTTTTTGGCCTTATCTCTCATAGGTGTCGCTAATCAGAAACTGCCGCCCATCCACCCGGCCGTTTCGAGCGTCCAGCTCCAATTTTTTCTTCCTTGGAGTGTTGCTGATCGGCCTGGCTCTCGCCTGCCTGCCTATTACTGTTAGCATAGCTCAGTGAGTGGGCAACTAACATATATTTTATTTTCTTCAGTCTTTTATCCATATTTCATGACAGAAAATAATCGCAAAATCCAAAGCAGCTCTCAAACCTTAGATTTTCTAGACTCTGTAGCATATTAATATATCAGAATAACGTTGAAAAATGAATTAAACTCATGTATCCATTTATTTTACACAGTAATGTATATTCAAATGTTTGCTGAATATAATCAATATGGATTACAGTTAATGAAAGGCCGTTTCTCAATTCACAAGAAGACGAGTATGGACTTGTGTCCTTGCAGCATAAATATGGGTCAGTTGGAACAGAATAGTACTCCTGACGTCACCACATGCCCGGCTCGTCTAGAGCTGCATTTCACTGCTTGTTATTAACAATCTCTAGATAATAATAAATTCTTTTTTTCATTTATTGGGGCAATAACAGTTAACACAGTCAGATAAAGAGAAATCAAATGAACATTTTGCCAAATAAAACAAAAACTTTGCTCTCACAGCCAGCGGTCATTCACACACGGCTGTCCTGGGAGAGGGCTGTTGCAGACGGGCTAGGAATTTTTATATTTTTTTAAATATGCTTTAAATCGGTAAATGGGCCATACAGTGACTCTTAAAAGTATAATGTTCTCGCCTCAAATGGTCTTAAAACATACTTTTATTGAACAACGGCAACAGAAAAGAGAACTTTTAATACTGTGCTCTATGAGTGCTCCATTGGAAGCTGCTGCTGCAGTGCATGCTGGGACAGCTGGCAATCTCAAGAAAGGACAAGTCTGTTCTGATGAAGAACAATATCTGGGGACTTTCTCTGTTCTCGGTTAGGGTTTCTTGTGAATTGGAACAGTACTAGGGCTGAGGCTGATGACGTTTTACGAGTTAACGAGCAAATGAAAACGCACAAGTACACAGATTGAGAAACTGCCTTAGTTTTTTTTTTATATACAACTTGAATATAACTAGATTAAAAAAAGCAAGCTTTTTTTTTTATCTTACATCAAATTGTGAGCTTCACAATCACGAGACAGACAGCTCCTAAAACTCTCCACAAGAAGGCAGAACCACAAATGGTTATTGCTCAACAACCTGGCCGTTCACGTGGACGTATCAAAACATAAGTGACATTTTTCATAAAAAAAGAAAAGGCATAATAGAAGTTGTCCAAGCAACAGAATTTATTACAGTCATGTTTAACAAAATCATTGATACAAGTGCAAAATGCACAGGAAGAGCTCCCCTTCTATTAGGGCCTTATGGTTCGACCATTCAGGGGAGACCCCACTGAAAGGCCAACAGCATTTCTATCATCCAAAAAGCACCAGTCAGCATCTAGCCTTTCTCACAGAACCTACAGCATTACCATATAAGCCTTAAGGTGAGCACATAAGAATGTCCATTTTGGCTGACCCACACAGAAGAGTGAACAGTTATTTAAAACGAAATAAAAACAAATACATCTTCAACAGCTCCATGAGCTATAGTTTGGAGCAGTCAGAGTAAAATTGGGTCTGAGAAATTGTTGAAAAAATGTACTTAAAAGCTCTCAAAATACTTTTCAGTTGGTTAAAGATACAAGGATAAAAGTACTTACAAAAATAGACCCTAATGTTTCTGTGTCTACCAACCCTGTCACATTTGAGCTTCCATTTTTAATTTGATGAAGTACAAAATAATGACCTTCTCATATTTACATTTTTTTAGAATGTTCCTGGAGTTCTTAAAGGGATATTGTGCAAGAATTACCGTCATCTAGCAGTGAAATGGAAGCATTTCCCTCAAACGAACGCAAAACACTACTGCATCACTGCCTCAAACACGCATTGCAGCAATGGTAGCCACCATGTGTCAAAAACCCTCGACAGTGCAGCTGTAACCATATAATGCAATGTGACATGAAACCTTTACAGCCATGTATATTTTCTGTGAAAAAAAAACAGTGTTCACCACATCTTTGAAAGCTACTAAACCTACAATTCTCTACAAACAATATTGGTACATGTTTGAGGGATCTACTATTATGCTTTCTATGATAACTAGCAACACTGTCTAATTAAACTGAATGGAAAAGTTTTGCTTTAGGCTAATTTAGGCAGTGAAGTTCCCTTACGTGACGATGAGAAACATGTTAGGGTCCCTTTTAAAAGTCTTTCTCCTTTGTTATTTCTTCAAACTGGAGAAAGCTTGCCTGATGTTTATATATTTTTTTGTGTGTCTTTTTTCTAGTTTTGTTGTCTTTTAAATTTTCTTTTTTGCTTTCTTGGTGCTGCTGCTGTATATGCATGGTCCTGCAATATACTGCAGTAGTGCAGACTTTCAGTTGTTGGGTTAGGGGAAACGTGTTAGTACTATTTTATCCCTCTCCGGCATCTGTACTTTTTAGATAACAGAATATAATGGTGGTTGGTAAATGGAGGACCAGTCTTGTGTGTAAACTAATACAAAATCCTTTGCTTATGAAAATATATCTGCTTATTAGTGAAAGGATTGATGATAATACATATTTAAAGTCATTCTTCGATTTCAGGCAGTAGAAAAGAGAAACTTGCACAATGTGCCAACTTTTTGCATATTTATCAGATGCAAAAAATATAGAATTACACTTAACAGTGTGTGTGCTGCATGTTTTTAGATGTAGGATTTAACATTTTCTGAACATTTGTTTTGATATTTATTTTCTATTTGTGTACAGAATAAATTGCTCTCAGGCGTGCGGACCGTTTGTTAACTACAACACCTCCTGGCAGGCGCTTCCAGCTGCATTATCACATCTGCCGGACGGAGCCCAAAGATTCCTCTACGCTCTCTCATCAGAGGCCTTTGCTGTCTCTTTCTTTGTAGTCACATGGTAAGTTCTCAGTCTGCTTTTTTCTTTCTTTTTAATCTAGATCTTTGTTTTCTTTTGTCCTGAAGGTAAACTGTTGTCTTTCAGTTTGGCAATGTTTTATGTGATTGCTCTTGCTGGAGCTCACAAGAGAGTCATCAATCAGTTAAGAGAGCAGCTAGTTGTGGTATGTATAGTAGATAAAATGCAAATTGCATGCTTGCCATTTAAAGCCCTTTGTACTGAAATGTGTCATCTTTGGACCTTTAATGTCTTACAGGAGGGCAAGGACAAACGCTTCCTGATCCAGAAGCTGTGCCAGGCTCAGGGGCCTCGCAGCACATCCTCTGTGTCCGGATGCCATCCTGGCAGTCCCAGTAGGCTTAGCCCGAGCTACCACACCAGCTTCTCCAGCAATTACAATGATGCAGTGTTTCTTACACATCCTCCACCAAACTCTGCCACACCTGTGTGAAGCATGGACATTGTATTCCACTAGTAATCAAAAATGAGAGTTGAACCAAAAAAAGAAAGAGATTCTGTGCATGTTTTAAAATTTTACTGTACTTGTTTTTCTCTTTCACTGTAATAACACTAAAACCTGTTTGTTTCTGGGGGTCTCTCAACATATCCTGCAACTATTCAGTGTTTTCTTTTTTTTTAATGAAATATTTAAAACCCAGTGATAGAAAGGGTTTAGGTCAGTCTATTATTATTTTTTTTTTTAAACCTCTATCTTTTCCTTCTGAGAAGGACTTTATTACCTATTGATACACTGGACTTCTTTAAAACTGTCCTTTTTTTCATGCACTTAAATAATTTTACTGCTGCCTTGTTTTCTTTTGTAACCTCATCTCATTTTAGCATATTACTTTTAGGTGTTTTAACGTCAACTTTACATATATAGTAATAACTGTGCAATAAACTAATAAATTTGCATTGTCTGAACTAAAATATATTTTTAAACATTTCTTTAAAGTTACTTCTGGTTTATTTTACAATTAGAGCAGAACAGCTACTTTATTCATCTAAAATCTAAACCAGTTGGTTCAAAAGCGATAAAAAAATAAAAACCAGCTTACACTATAAATACCAATGAATTTGGCCTGAATATCTGGGAAATTCCAACCTAATTCTTTCTCTTGGTTTTGTAAAATAGAGCCGCTTTTGCTCAATAATTTTGTATGTAAAATGTTTGACACTGCATTAAATGGTTCTAGTATTGAAAACATATGTTCTGTTTATTAATTGCCTGACCCCTAAATGTAATTGGTTTTACTTGATTTCCCTCTGGGTATCTGAAAAATGTTGTAAATATGTACCTACCACTCTTCAATTAATTTAAACTTTTAAAATATATTTTTTCCTTCATTATTATCATTACCTTTAATGTGTATTGTACAACATTGCGAATAAGCCATTAGGCGTTTTGAAAGCATATATTTTATTTAGGATATTGTTTCTTCTGTAAATAAGTTGTTTTACTTTATTAAACCTCCTATACACAAGGGGGCGCTGCAGATGTCTTTCTAACTGACAGAACCAGGCAACTCAGCTGGTACGGAACCGGACGCAGCGTGCTGGGTGGTTCTGATAGCTCTGTCAAAAATGTTTAGAATAACGATACGGGCAGATGTAGGATCTTTTTGGTTCTTTTTCTGCGTCATTTATACTCAGGTCCTGTCCGGCTCCTCTGACGACATAGTGGTGGCCTGTGGTGGATTTGTGAAATCCGACGTAGAAATCAACTACTCCCTGATCGAGGTGAGATAAGCTAGCCGCTAGCTGTTAGCATGGATCAGCCAAAGGTTAGCCGTCGGTATGAATGACTGAATAAAAAAACTTTTGATATAATATAAACGCATGTCTCTCAATGACATTGCCTATTCTGTTTTAGATCATGTATTATTACACAATAAACGATTCGTTTAACGTTTCGCTACATTTGACAGACTGGTTTTCTGTTCTTGTCATAAATGTATCGCATGAAATCAATGGTACATTCCAGTGGCAGTTCTCCACATGGTTGTTAATCCTAATACCGGTATGTGTCGGAGTTAATGAGGAAGACCCTAAGTGCTCCTCCTAATCCTGCCTCATTCAGACTTCCAAAGGATTTAAACACAAGGTTCTTTAAATCTGCAAAATCACCCTTCAACGACACCAAACTAATCCCAATACAGCAATACCCTTAAAAATAAAAAACATTTAACACTTAATGCATCTCGTTTGTTTTCCAGATCAAACTGTACACCAAACAAGGCTCCTTAAAGTATATAGTAGACTGTGCTCCACTCAATGGCTACTTCATGATCCCTCTCTATGACAAGGTATCTGACTCTCCGGGAACTTCATGTCTAAATGATACATAAGCAGACATTGCAAAGCTCATGCATTTCTCTCTTGAATGTAGGGGGACTTCATTCTGAAGATCGAACCTCCTCTCGGCTGGAGCTTTGGTAAGAAATCCTCTGAATCATGACTAACTATAGGTTTCCTGTAGGCACTGTGCTCATATATGACAGGCAGACCTTGTTTATTGTCAACAGAGCCAACCAGTGTGGACCTGCATGTGGATGGAGTCAGTGATATCTGCACCAAAGAAGAAGACATCAATTTTGTTTTTACAGGATTCTCTGTCTCAGGAACGGTAGGACTATCTGTAGTTTTAAAGCGTATATTTAATGAAAGAGGGAATCAGAATGACAATATAGGAATGAATCATCAACTCATATAAGATTGCCAATATTTTACTGCACATATACAAAGGACATTTACAGGCTTGGACTGGTAATCTGTGAGGTGGGCCGGTCCTAATTTCAACATGCGAGGGCCGGCCCTCCTTAAATCACACCGGCCCGGCTGAAGCACCTACCTGTGACAGTAAATAACTCAAGGAGCTCAAGAAGTAATACAATGTTAACAACTAGGGCTGGCTATTTGAATCGATTCCATTTTGATTCATACAGTTCTAAATCAATTTATTGCAATTCGATCTTTTTTTACAACCAGTGATTCAGCTGTGTTTCAGAATACTCATGTATTTAAAATTTTCCTGTTATATTTAACACAAAGTGCAAACTTGCAAATCAGACAGAGATGTGAACAAAACTGTCTCATAAGTGCAAACTTGTTTGTGAAAAGGGAAAAAGTGAAGCCTCACTCAAGCAAGCAGACGTGACACAGTGGGGACACAGCAGACGTGCATGAGCTGCATTACCTTCCCTGCACAAACTATATTTGCAGTGTTGTCTGTAAAAACCATTTGTTAATGTCTTCAGTCAACCTATTGGCTATATTTGCAGCTGTCTGGCTTAAAGTAATCTTGAGTGCATCTTTCCTGCTCATTTGAATATGAACGTCATGCGTGTCACTATAAAACTAATCGATCTCATTCCCTAGACATCGATTTTTGCAAAAATGTAAAGGAATCAATTCAAAATCGATTAAGTAATTTTTTTTACCCAGCCCTATTAACTACCTTAATGATGCATGCAGTATATATAGCCCTTCCTTGTCATACACATCCTTGTGACGGTTGGCATATGGTGTAATTTTCTATTTCTTCAAACGGTAAAATCGTTGCAACTAACTAAATTATAATTAAACTAAAATGCTTTATTTAAACGAAACTACGATGTTCCTCTTTGCCGAATTTATGTTAGAATATTTTGCAAAAGTATGTTGCGGTGCATGATGGGGTTTTGCATCTTAAGGCTAACGTCCCCCTACGTGCTTTGTTGCCAGGTTGGGATGTTTACCAACCTGGCAACAAAGCACGTAGGGGGACGTTTAGGATGTTTAGGATGGCCGTCTATGGGTAAAAAAATGTTTGTTTTTTTTTAGATTTATGGCCTAAGAGATCAATAGACTTTGGTTCAAATTGGGTGAGATTTCTTATATCCAGAAAAGTTCTGAAACTTTTTTGGGCTGGAAAACGTGACTCAGTGACACCTGGCAACCCTGCTGATGTGGTGAGTGTGGACGTTACCCAGCAGCAGCCACTGTTGCATCCACGTTAATAACCAAAGCCAGTAAAACTGCGTTATAGAAGTATTGGTGATGGTTGTAGTGTGATGCTTGAAGACTGATCGGTTAATCCACAACGTGTATTCGTATTGTTTTTCACATTTGAGACGCACACGTTTCACAGTGCTTCTGTTTTTTTTTTTTGTTTCTGGGGGCATAAGTGGGCCGGTGTAGATGGAAAAATGCCAGGGCCGAAAATCGTTCCCAGTCCGAGCCTGGACATTTAGTTTTTTTGTTTTATTTTCAAAATGTTTTAGACATCCCATTTCTGTGTTTACTGAATATCTGGTCCCATATGAGTTAGCGGTAACTCCTCGTTTGTGGAATAAAACCCTTTATTTTAAAGGCTTTCTTCGCAAAGTCTGAATTCTTACTGTCTAGTGCTAGCCTGGGTGCCAGTCTGAACTTAGTCCCGCCCACAAGGTTTGAGTTCGGGGAAGTTCGGTCTGGCTCTGCTCCATAGTAGCGCGAGTATTAAAGCCCACTGTCAGGCGATCCAATCAAATTGTCAGGGCGGGCTTTATACGATGATGGACAGATGATCAAGAGTAACGTTATCAACCACGTGACCAAAGCGCGCTTGGGTGACAACAATAATGGCTGCCGCTGGAGAGTTTGGGTGAGTAGATTCTGCTATTAGGTCTGTTCTAGAAGATATCGACAGCAAATTAATTTTAAAAGAGGAACAGAGAAACGCGATCAAGGCTCATCTTCTTATTCTAGGCGTGAAACTGCACGCTTTGATTTTTGTGGACAACAACTATGCCTCGCTTAACATACGTCACGCACTCCGTTGCTCTTATTGGTTGTAGGTCTATCCAATTGAGTGCAGAGGCATTTTTTTTCCTGGTTCGTTCAAAACACGCCCCATAATCACAGCTCTATGGAGCAGCATCAGACTCATATTCTGACTAGAACTAGACTAGACTAGAACTACGTCAGGCTAGTCTAGTGCTACTGCGTTTAGTAAATAAGACAAACCACTGTACACTCACCAAAATGACTTGATGGTTCCTGTCTCCTTTTCCCGCGTTCAGTGCTTCTGTTAGTTTTGCTTCTGTAATATATTCTGCCCCCCCCCCCCCCCCCCCTTGTGTAACGTGATTTCTTAGGTGCTGAGTAAGGGCCACCTTCTGGGCCCCGCTGGCGTTGAAGTCAAACTGAGCCAAGCAGGAACAGATGAAAAACCCAAGAGCGTGTTCACACTGCCTGGAGGGAAGTAAGTGCACGTTAAGCCTCTTGTATGGCTTTACCCTCTGCAGAGATCATTTGATCAAATTAGATACTCACTTTTTTTTTTTGTCTTGTTAAAACAGGTACACCTTCTTCAAAGTGCTTCCTGGAAGTTATGATATCACAGCTTCCCACCCTTCTTGGTCTCTGGAAAAGGTTGGTATGTTTAAAGTAGGGATGCACGATATTGGGGTTTTGGCCGATATCCTATATGCCGATATTTTAAAACACCTGTAGCCGATAACCGATATCGATACCGATGTTAAAGCTGGACAAAAATAAGTAGTCATTGAAAATAGCAGTTCTGTTATCCATTTTTGACACTATGAAAAATAATTAACTCAAATATATTTTCATATGCTGATATCAAATTGATTTTTAAAAACGCGGTATCGATCTATTTTACTTTCAAAATCTCGTGAAATTTCATCGTTCTGTTACAAACTCTCGTGATATTTTGCAAATTCTTGTGAGATTTTGTTAGTAAAATAGATTGATACCGCGTCAATATATCAACATATAAAAATATGGCAAAATTTCGTGAATCTTCGGGGGATTTCGTAGCATAACGATGACATATAGCAATATTTCATTAGTAAAAGAGATTGATATGGTGTTTTTAAATGGCAATATATCGGCATATGAAGATATTGTGATATTTTAATGTATCAATAATTTTCCCCTTGTCTTTAGAAGTTTTTAAGTCTGTAAAAAATAAGTTTTTGAGTAAGAAGAAGAAGTAGTATTTATTTATTTATTTTTTTACTTTAGAAACTCAGAAGCTGATCAAATATCGGGTTAAATATCGGTGGGGTGGCCGATGTCCGATATTCAGTTTTAAGGCCGATACAGGCCGATACCGATAGGGGGCCGATTATATCGTGCATCCCTAGTTTAAAGCAAGGGAATCATGTCATAAAGGGAAATGTCCGACCATCTGTCAGTTCTGTCGTTTGATAAGTTTAGGTTAATGGTTGCATTTTGTAAGGAAAGTTCTGAAGCAGATGTGTTTGAATGTCTTTGTGTCAGTGTTAACTATGGAGATGCTCCGGCTTTGCCTTTCCTAAAGGAGCCACAATTACAAATGTGCCTGATTTGCATTTTTCATAAACAATTCTTTGAATCACTGTTCATCAGCTAGAAAGACCTCAGCCCTGGTAAAGGAATGGTAATGTGCATTTGATGTTCGGTTATGCTGCTTTGCTCGTCATGTTGGCAAAATGTAAATGGGAACTCAACAGGTGGCTTAGATATTCCACTTCTTGAACCGGTTTTAATATGCCCACGTTAGATCATACTCTCAAAGTAAATTATCAGGGAACTGTAGAGAATCGAACATGAGGCTTGACATATAGATTTCAAATATCTGGACTGTAGAGACTGATATGATGCATCTGGACCATGTAACCATGTGTTACTACTGTGTAGGGTTGTAACTAACGATTATTTTGCAAATCAATCAATCTGTTGGTTATTTTTTTAGATTAATTTATTAATAATCGGATAGCCAAGTGTTACTATAGTTATCACTGATGTGTGAGTTTATTACACCTCAATATCAGCTGCTTGTTGTGTCAGAACTAATGTTTTCCACAATAGTTTATCTAATTAAGACAGTTATTCTGTACATGTCAAAAATCTGGGAATAGAATGAGAGCGGTATCCTTCAGCTAAGTGTAATATTTTGATAAGGCTGGAGCCATGGATGTCGACTCATCTGCTAAAGTGTATGATGTAATGATGCAATGTGATGAGGTGGCAGACTGGAGATGTATAAAATGTCTCTAACTGTTAATCTGGGTCACTTCCTGAGAGGTGAGCCTAGAGGTGAGCAGCTGCCTTCTGACCAGAGTAAGATTACAATTTCTATCCGAATCTGTTGTCATGTCTCCTGGTTATTCAATACATATAAGTTATGAAGTGTTATTTAAAGAGTTTGTCCCAAGTGATTTCTTCTCAGGAAAAAACCCCCCAGAGAGACAGCTTCAAGGTGCAGAGTCTTTAACACAAAGGTTCATTAAAGAAGATTTTTTTTTTTTACATTTAGGTGAAATTCCAGGTGAAATTCAAACTTTTCCTCTTGAGGAATTCTGGATAGAGCATATTGCCAGACAAAAATTTTTTTCTTTTTAAATCTTAAATGCAAAAGGTTTATACTTTTTTTTTTTACAATTTTTATATAATTAATACTCTAAGTGGGTTGTTCTGTCAGCTAAACGCATGTTTTACAGACTACAGTATACTCCGGTTAACGATTAATCAATTACTATATTATTTTATGATTGCTTCAATAATTGATTGATCACAATTAATCTGATTTATTGTTTCAGCCCTACTTCTAAGTTAATTTTCTTAGGTGAATTATTTGGAACCAGTTGTAATAACGCATTTTTAACCTCTTGCAACGTGGGATCCAACCCTCTCTAGATGTTATCTTTGAAAATAATTCCAACATGAAAGGTTTTATAAGTTGTTGTGTTTTTTGTCGTGTTTTTTTTTTAATGTTTACTCAACGTTCAAGGTTGAGGGGTTTTTAATCTGTTTATTAAAGAAACATTTAGCGACCCTCTGATCAGAAGTTTTATCATCAGTCACCCATGAGGGCTGATCTCGGTCGATCACACCGATTGCCTTTTCATTTTTTATTTAGATAGTAAAGCACAACTGGTTATGGGATCTGGCAAAATTGAATCAATAGAATCGCCTAATTTAGAGAAAACATACAAAAAAATAATTTGCAGCATTAATGCAGAACGTATTCAGTCAAGAAGATGATTCAAATACCTGCTAGTTATTTATTTTTTTTATTATCTGTCATGTTAGGATAGAGCAAAAGTTGTAATACTCTAATTAAAGCTTTTCTTTTATTAAGATACATCCTGCAGCTTTAAGGAGACGTTCACTGTGAGACTCCGCTATCTGGTGCAGCTCAAACAGCGCTACGTTCTGAAATATTTATGCCCCTGCAGAGAACCCAAAGACTTTCACTGCTGGTCCTTTAGAGGATTAACTATATTATTTTTTGGGTTATTTTTTTAAATTGTGCGTTGCTTTACCTGCGGTCCTTTTTATCCCTTTTTTATCTCTGCAGCGAGCCTCGATACTGTCTTTAAATGTCACAGACTGGGTGCAGTGATGCATTTGTTTTCATGCTTTACCTCGAAGGAATTTTTCTATTGCAAGATGCAAACTTCCCTTTACTTTCAAAGCACAAAAGTTCAGCATAATAATGCTTAGGAGCTTCTGCATTGCATAGTCTGAAGGACAAAGGAAGAAATGCTGCAGGTGGGGCTCTGCAGGCTGCAAAGTAGAAAATGAAGGTGATTGTTTTAGTGATGGTATTAAAGACGGTGATCGGCAGTCATCTATGACATACTTTACCATGGTTATGATCAGGTATTGATCTGCACATCACTGCATTTATTATAGAAGTAAAAAGCAGATCGGTAATCAGATAAGAAGCTTATTTTCGCATTATGTTTCATGACCTTTTTTAAATCAAGTAGATAGTTTTATTTATATAGATTTTCAAATGTTTAAAAAAAAAAACGATTTGGAATTTGGAACTTAAAAATGGCTACATTTTACATGGGAAGTATGTAAGATCAAACCTTAGCATTCTGCAGATCATGTTACCATATGTCCCTGCTCAGGCAAAGACCCTTCAGTGTCTAGATTTATTTTTTTTCATTCTGCACACAAGCTTTATCATGCATATTCTCACCAAGCTGATGGGGTTCCTTGTCAGATCAGCTTGGTTCTTATCAATGATCTTCTTGGTTAATCATGTTACCCCCCATTAAGAAAGTTGTTCCCTTCATACGGCCTAACGCCTCAACCTTTACTGTCTACATGTAGAGTAAGACCGCCGTGCATGTCTCCAATGCCAACGCTCTGGCCTCCGAGCATCTGTTGGTCGGAGGTTACGATGTCTCTGGGGAGGTCCGCAGTGATGGAGAGCCCATGAAGGAGGTCACCTTTCTGCTGTACTCGGCCACGGTCAGAGGAGAGGTAAGCAAGACCATTCTGCAGGTTTCCAACAAACTGCAGTAAAGTTTGACTTTATTTCTCCACTGTAAGATCAATAAGTCAGTCAATCAATGAAACTGGAATATAAAGTTAAATGAATGCAAAAGGAATCATATTTTTGCTTTAACATCATAAAATTTCAGTTTATTTTGATTCTAAGAAAAGACGATGTGATTCCAAGAGAAACTGGAATGTGTCCAGAAGTTGCTTTTGCTCATCTTGAATGATTTGCTTTTTGTTAGTTAATTATCAGGGTTCCTACACCGACCAGAAAAATTTCACTGAAAATGATTTAAGTAGTTTCCAGACCTTGATGGGCAAAGAAGAACAATATTACAACATGGAGAAATATTTTAATTTGCAGTTTATACCAAAAAGGAATCTTCACCAGCATTTTGCAGTTTATACTTTATCCTCCTGTATAAAAGTTGTATCTGTCCATGATGGATGATTTATACATTTCTTTAGTTCATCCAACCTGCTATTTACATTGTTTTCACCTCTTCTGTCCTTGTTTTCCTTTGGTTATCTTTTCATTTATATCACCATCATGTGTTGAAATATTTTGTAGAAAAGTCTTTAATAAGTCGTAGTGAAATGTTTGGTTTCATGCATAGTAACTTTTAAGGAGGATCTAGGTGGATAAAGCTGCTCATTTGGTTGAATTTTCTAGGACATCAGTGGCTGTAACATGTCTCCAGTGGACGGAGCGGACCTGGAGGACAGCTCTCTCGTCTACCTGTGCAGCACTCAGTCAAGGAATGATGGCACCTTCACTTTTCCTTCATTGGCCAGCGGCGAGTACACCGTTGTAAGTTTTCTTTGAAAAATAACAGACTTAACTCTGTTTCTGACTCATGTACATAAAAACTGATATACTGGATAATCATTGAGGTTTAAAACTACAACTAGCGTTCATTAACAATTCAGTTAAACAGTTTAAAGAAGTATATTATATGAGTGCTTTTAAAGCAGTGCACCTGACTGGTGTTTGAGCTGACATTTGTCAGTAATTAAAATCATTATTATAATTTTTCTTCTAAGCTCTTTCATAAATCCTTTTTGTGCCCATTTTTATTAAACACTCAGTAACCACTTCTGACAACTAATGCAGTTTGTTCCTTCTTCCCTACTAAAGGCCTTGGCTTATGTCAGCTGGGAGGATTATATTTATTCAAAGTGAATCAAATTAATCTGTACAGTGAAGTTAACATTTCTTACTTTTTGACCGAATAGATTTATTTTTTGTCTCAACCTAAATGTGATAATTGGATCTAAATCGGGGCTCTGTAAACATTTTTTTCCCCAGAAAAATTTTGTGCATTGTACTAGTGTTGCAGTTTTCAATTGTGACCACTAGATGTCACCATGTCCTAAATGCTAAATTGTAATAATGTGGAGGACTCTTATGATACTTCCACATGTCATATAACCAGCTAACCTTTTCTCATGTCGTGTTCATTCTACAGCTAGAACTTTAGTAGAGGTGTCACTCACTGCCACTGGCTTTGCAGTCGGTGGGATGATAAAAGGTGCGCAGTCCTGCTCGTAGTCGTCAGACCCGAGACTAACAGATTCCACCTCTGAGTCTGGTTCTGCGCCCGCAGGGTCACAAAGATCCGGGAGGGCAGCCTCATCTTCCTCCGGGTCAGTTAGTGGCGAGACAGAGTCGAGGTGGTCTGCTCAACTGGGTTTGGTGAATAGTGGCTCCCCCTCTACGGACACAGTGAGCACCGGTGGTGGAGGGTTAGCTACCTCCATCACAGGGTCCACCTCCGACAGGCTAGCTTGGAGCACTAGCATGCGGCGACAAGATCTGAGGGAGAGCCACGTGCAGTGCTCACAGCTAGCTGGTGACGTTACTCCTTCCCGGGCGTGTTGCAGCGCCAGACACGATGGGTGGGCGAGTGTGTGTCCCAGCTATAAGGTTGCCACATGTGCAAGCAGGTGGCGTGCTCTTGTCCATGATGAGTACAGGTTCACACTGCCTTATAAGCTCCGAAAATTAAGAAGCAGCTAGTTTGGTGACTAGTGGCAGCTGCTGCTGTTTGGTGGCAGACCAGCAGTGGGCGAAGAACTCGGAATAGCCGAATATCAGTACTGAGTAGCGTTCTTGGACCCAGCTCGCTCTGTGAATAGTTTATGCTAGCTCAATACTTGCTGTATTAGCCATTCGAGTAAGCTTCTAGGAGCCAGAAAAGGTGTTAGAGTGAGGATCACCAGCGTGACTTCAGGTTCTTATACTGGGGACAAGTTCCTCCTCGAGCAGCAGACGTCACCTCTGTGAGAGTCAAGACTGGCGTAATGTTAAAGAGTTTCTGGAGACAGAATGTCAGGAATGTTGAAAGAGAACCGTACAATTCATTGAAACAACAATAAAACTGGTCATTAAAAGGAATTTCTTTCTAAATAGGAGAAAAAAATATGATTAGATAATCTTTGATGCATGTATCATCTGTTCTCCTTTGTCTGCAGGTGCCTTTCTACCGAGGAGAAAGGATCACTTTCGATGTTGCTCCCTCTAGGATGAACTTTAAGGTGGAACACAACAGCTTAAAACTCGAGGTAACAAACTAAACTGCTAACTCTTCATGTTCGTTTAGTTTTTGAATGAAAAATGAATAGTTAGACAGAGAAAGGGAAAATCTACATTGTGAATTTTTTGAAATTAATTGTAAGAAAATAAAATGAAAGACTGAACTAGTTTTATTAATCTGGAGCTATGACACCTGGAAGCTGAAAAGGATCTGAAATCCCTTCTGTTGTTTTTGGTAAAGTCAAATCAGCAGATCTTATTCACCAATAATAACATATTTTGATGAAGCAACTACTGTCACGCTGTTTCTGTTCAGCCCATCTTCCGTGTCATGGGTTTTTCTGTGACGGGCCGAGTCCTCAACAGTGTTGACGGGGAGGGCGTTCCTGATGCTGCTGTCTCACTCAACAACCAGATCAAGGGTAAGGATTCGCATTGGTGCTTTTCATCGGTTTTCTCTCAGTAATCCAATAATCAGAGGTTTTCCAATAACTTCTTTGGCCGTAGGTGTATAAAATCCAGCTCTTGTCAAGAAGGATATTTCCACTAGCATTTGTTTTTTAATGGATCGCTCTCAGGAGCTTAGAGTTCAATACTGGTATCATGAAATGGTTGCTTACAGATCAGGGTTCCCGCGGGCCCTTAAAAAGTCTTAAAAGGCATTGAATTCTTCAAAATAAAACTAAGGCTTTAATTGGTATTAAAATGTCTTAAATCAGTCTTTCATAGGTCTTAATTTTTAAAACATCATAAATAGGATTATTTTTATTACGATTTATTTTTGTAATCTAAATAAAACATTAAAGTTGACAATTTATTTTTTTTTTTAATTTAAAAAAAATAACGACTCGCCATTATGGGTTCCGTCCCGATAGCGGAACCAATAAAAGCGTTGTTGCGGCCGGGACATTTGGGAGATGCACCATTAACTTTTTGTCTGGAAAATATGAGCAAGTGTGAATGTAATGAAAATTGTCTATCCAGCCAAGAGTTTTCTCCATGGCTAAACCAGGGAACATACATGAGGCACAGTGGATTTTTAGCAAGAAGCAATTCAAGCTCGGAACGATGGGAATTAAGGAAGTGGAGTCGCACATGCGAAGCACAAAACACAAATGGAGTTACAGAGAAACAGCCGGTATTTCTCAGTTTTGTTCCACCCTTGTCTCTGCAACGCCTCCACTTATCACCAAATCAAACATACTAAGAAAACGATAATAAGAAAAATAGCTGCAAAAAAGACTTAGCACTGGTTATGTTGTGGCTTTAAAAGTTGTTTTGTTCCCTGCTAAAACCAATATTGTGAATTCAGCTAAATAATTATTAAAATATATCTGTCATTTGTGTGTTTTTAGCTTTCTTCCTGTATGGGAAGCTTTTTAAAATTTGAAACATTGGTGCAGTGGTTTATGTTAAAATAAACCTTTGGGTAAAGTTGTCACAAGCAGGTTTTTCTTGTGTTTCTTGTAAATTTGTTCTTAAATTTTTATTTCAAGTGGCATTAAAAAGTCTTAAAAAGTCTTAAATTTTATTTGCCTTATGCTGTAGGAAGCCTGCAGATAAATATTCCACAGTCAGTTGTTAGCGGCATCATAACAAAGTGGAAGACGCTGAAACTCACACCAACTACGTCAGGAAGTGGGAGAACACATAAAGTCCTATGGGTCGCTGAAGCAGCAACGTTTTAAAGTCTCAGTAGCTGCAAACCTGCAGACTTAGATTAGCTGAAGATAATGGCTTATAGAGCTTCAAGGAAGGACCTTCTATGGCTAAACATCTGCTTCCAAGTTTTATACCTTTATACCTCTTGGTCTACAACTAACCATCGGGTGCAGTGGTGTAACACAGGAGAGCAGTGAAATCTGCAGCAGTGCAAAGCCCCCCCAGACCCACAGGAGAAGTTGCAATAATTTGCCTTGAATTTCAGTGATGCAAATGTAAATCAGACCTCTTAAAAATCACAGGCTTACTCCTTTACTTCATGGTAAGCCTGAATGACACACAAAAATCAGCATAATTAGCTACCTGCAGTGTAAGAGACGTTATTTCTAAAAGCATATGCTGTAGAAATAGTTTTCTCTTCCTCAACTGGAATTAAGTGTGAAATCCTATCTTCTTTTGAATATATTAAACACCCCTTTTTGCCTCCCCAGGCTGTGGCACCCTGGGTGTCCACCATGTTATCTAAATAAAACATATTTTTGGCCTTTCTTAATTTGTATTTTAAAGACTGTGTTTTTCTTTTGCAGCAGCTTAAAAAAATCTGCATTAAAATAGATTGTCATGGTATCGCCTGGCGTTTCATTTTGCAAACACATATTTCGACCTTTCTGTCGGTCTGCAGTTGTCAGTAAGGAGGACGGCTCCTTCCGGTTGGAGAACATGACTGCAGGTGTCTACACCATTCGTGTCAACAAGGAGCTCATGCTTTTTGAGCCAATCACCGTAAAGATTGCCCCTAACACACCTCAGCTTCCTGACATCATCACAGCGGGGTATAATTACCATTTTCTAATTTTAATGATGAACGCTGGATGTGATTCACGTCCAAGAGAAGCCTTCTAAATACCCGATGTTGGTTGAACACAGGTTCAGCGTTTGTGGCCAGATCTCCATCAGCCGCCTGCCTGAGGGCATGAAGCAGCAGGGCCGCTATAAGGTCACTCTGACCCACCGGGGCCAGGACAAGGCTCTCAGCTGGACCACCGATTCAGACCCTCAGGGGGCTTTCTGCTTCCAGGCCAAACCAGGGAACTACAGCGTCCATGTGAGTCTGATGGAGCTTTAAGATTTCCCTCAAATATCCCAAACCTTCCCTGCATGAGCTCTTTAATCATTTTAACAGTAATTGAACCATTTAATGTATTTAAATCTTAATCTGTTTGATCTTTAAAGGTTTAGCAAACTGTATTCCCATTTTATAAACAGAGGAAAAACATTTAAATAGGAACACTTCCTTTTCCTTTAAATAAAAGGCCAGTTGAGTTCATTTCACCAGTGTAATAAATCATGAAGAGATAAGAACATTCTTTTCCCACCAGTATTATTTGTTGAAGTTTTGTGCAGATATTGCACAAGTGTAAATCCTTCTTCTCATTGTTTTTGCTTGATCTGTTCAGGTGTCTCTCCCTGATGCTGAGGTGAAAGCAGGTCTCGCCCTTCAACCTCAGGCCTTGGAGGTCTCACTAGTAGACCGCCCCCTCACAGACCTCCTTTTCACCCAGTTCATGGCTTCTGTCTCAGGAAAAGTTTTCTGTCTGGGTAATAACTCACTTATTTCCTTACTAACATATTTTTATCATCCTTGGACTGATAAATATTTTCTCTGCCTGTTCATTGGTTCCTTCTAGCTTCCTGTGACAGTCTGTCTGTAACTCTGCAACCGGTGAGTCGGCAGGGAGAGAGGAGGACGGTGGCTTTGTCTGGCAGCGCCGACACCCTCAGCTTCAACTTTGACAATGTTTTACCTGGAAAATACAAAGGTTATTGAAAATTATGAATCATTTTTCATAGACAAAAAAAAAACATTTAGTCTGCTGAATTTCTACCTTTGCTCTTTCAAACAGATTACTTTTCTAAAGAAACTTTTAGTAGGGAGCACGTTGTTACCAAGATGTTTCTTGCAGTCATTAGGTTTGCAGACATATCAGAAGGGAAACTTGAAACTTTAAACCCTTCATTTTTCTTTAAAGTTTTTACTCCCTCCACAGATTCACTGTCTGAGTCCACTCTTTAGACGCTCCTTTGTTTCCATGGCAACAAGTTTGGATCATTCTGAAAAAACTCTTCAAAAAAATTAGGTCGTTTCAGACCAGCCCTCTGTTGGCATAGCCGGATATGAAGGACCACTGGCTCTGATGGCGATTTTTTTATTTGGCAAAAAGTTCATTTGATTTGTGTTTATCTGACTGTGTTAAGTATTATTTGCCCAATACATGAAGAAATAATAAATTATTATATAGAAACTATTAATAACAGGAGGAGAAATGCAGCTCCAGACGAGCAGAGCGTATGGTGACGTCACAAGTACTCTTCTGTTCCAGTTGACCCTTCTTTATGCTGCGTGCTTCCGTTCTCCCCAAGTCCATATTTTCCTGTGTTCTTCTCAAGAACATACTTGACGAGGACACGAGTCCATACTCGCGTTCTTGTGAATTGAGAAACGGCCATAATTTCAGTGTAATAACAAACAACAGTTGATTCATTATTTACCAAACGGTTCATTCCTTTTTTTTTTTTTTTAACAGCTTATTTGCATACGCCATAGAATTTATTTAATTTAAGATAGAGTCTGACAGTGGTCTATAGGGGGCTTTTTTTTCTCAGCAAAAATATATGCACATCCCTTTGGTTTATTTGTAATTATAATATTACCAGAATTCAAATTAAGCTGTGGATCAAAGATTTATATATATTAGCGTTGCACCGATACCGATACCAGTATCGGACGGGGCCCCGATACTGCCCTAAAATGGTGGTATCGGTATCGGCGAGTACCAACAAATAGGGCACCGATACCATTTTGAGGGCCATAAATTTATTCAACTATTGTCACCCATTCCAGGTAGGCAATAAAAAGTTCAAATGGATTCACTTTGTATTAGTCTTTTTCCTGTTTCACAAAGGTAGGAAGCAGCTTGAGAAAGCCATGATGGCAATTATTTTACAATATTATGGTATCGGTATCGGCCGATACTGCACAGCCAGGTATCGGGTATCGGTATCGGGGCCAAAAAATGGCATCGGCGCAACACTAATATATATGCATCTCATGTGAAATTTAAACCCTACATTGGAGAACAATGGATGCTTATTTGCACTGGTTCTCTGCCGATTTAAATGGACCCTGTGGCTAAGAATGGTCAAAAATTAAATTGTAATTAACACCTTTTAGACATAACTGTCTCTTAAAATAGCAGACATGTTTTCGCAAAGATGGCTCCTCTTTATTTTTGCTCCTCTATACATCTTTAATCCTGTTTAGCATACAGTGTACATTCTGTTATTTGCCTGCAAGCTGTCTGCACACACAGCATCTCTGAGGTATCAGTTCTCTGTTTAATGCTGGCAGCTCTGACTGCTGTGGTACTTCAAGTTGTTGAGCCTCTGTCAGAGATCCCTTCAGGGAGCTCTGATGAGATGCTTCCATGGACTTTTTTTAACCTTTTGTTTCAATAGTTAAAGTTAGTTTCTCCCATTGTTTTTGTTCTCCCTCCCTCCCTTTGTCTCTCAGTGGGTATTTCTCACGAAGAGTGGTGCTGGAAACATAAATCTCTGGAAGTGGAGGTTCTGGACTCGGATGTCTTGGGCGTCGAGTTCAGACAGATCGGCTACATCCTGCGTTGCTCCCTCTCCCACGCCATCACTTTGGTCAGTATACAGCAATCTGAGTGCTGTGCTTTTATGATGGCAGCTCTCTGACCCAACCTCCCGGCTCCCTGCAGGAGTTCTTCCAAGACGGCAGCAAACCTGAGAATGTTGGCGTCTATAACCTCTCTAAAGGAGTCAATCGCTTTTGCCTTTCCAAACCAGGTGAGTTTCAGCTTCTTAGCCTCTATTCAGCCAGACATGATGTTAATTAGCACAAAGGGGAACTTTGCACAGCTTTGCAAACCTTTCCCATGTGCATAGTTGCAGCATTTTGACCCTTAAGGTTTGTGTAAATATAAATGTGGTACAAAATGATTAATCACATAAAAATGGCTTGTCCAGGTGTTTACAAAGTCACCCCCCGCTCCTGCCATCAGTTTGAGCAGGACTTCTACACTTATGATACGTAAGTAAAAAAGCTGCTTATAAGATGGTTTGAACATTCTTTCATCGTGCGCAAACTGTTTTCTGATACCTTATAATGCTGCGTGTAACAGTTCGTCTCCCAGCATCCTGACCCTCACCGCAGTGCGTCATCACATGACTGGCCTCATCACCACAGACAAGATGCTGGATGTCACTGTCACAATCAAGTAAACCAAGCCCCTGTCACAGTTTGGATATTGTTTGTTGTCTGTTCATCCATTAACGGCCGTGTCCCCACCCAGATCATCCATCGAAAGCGAGCCGGCGCTGGTTCTGGGGCCGCTACGCAGCCTGGAGGAGCAGAGGCAGGAGCAGCAGCTGCAGGAGATTCAGCTACGGCAACAGGAACGAGAGCGAAGAGCGGCCGAGGAGCAGGGGGGCGTTAGAGATGACAGTCCCCCCATTCAGGAGAAGGCGGATGAATTGACGGGCCCGTTTCACTATGAGTTCTCCTACTGGGCCAGGTCGGTTACCTGACTGCTTTGTCACGGATTGGATTAACTTTTTATCTCCTCAGATTTTTTTTTTCCTTAGATTGGAATGTTTTCTGATTCATTTGTGTTTATTGTTAGCTTCCCGAACAGTTTCTTTGTGCAGATTTTGTTTAAAATGCCTCAACAACTTCAAGCCAAAATCACCTATTAGTTTCCCTTTTGCTCAATGCAAATAACTTATTTACAAGCGGCTTAATCTGCTCAGTCAGAAAGGATTTATCGCTGTCATTCTCAAAGTGTTATTCTCTCTTGTTGTTCAGATTCAGCAGCACATGCAGACCACAATAAAAAAAAAATGGAATCTTGACAATCCATTCAAAAATAACCCCTAGATCAATCTTCTTGAAATAAATAAGTCTGTGTTGAACTTAGCAATTATTTCCTGTGGCTGTGCAGGGCTGGTGAGAAGATCACAGTCACACCATCTTCCAAGGAGCTGCTCTTCTACCCCCCTGAAGTGGAGGCAACTATAACAGGCGGTAGGAGATTTCTCACACACTGCAATGAACTCAGAATGAAGTGCTAATTGGGTCTAAAATTAGTATGAACATCAATTATGAATAAGTAGGTTTGTCCAAGCCTTTGGTTGTATGAGAAAAATCTCTTTATCGCTCATTTTCTTGGGTTAGAATCGTGCCCTGGTCGGCTGGTGGACATCGTTGGGCGTGCAGGTCTCTTCTTAGAGGGCAGAGTGTCGCCTAAGCTCCAAGGTGTGGAAATATCCATCACAGAGAGAGGAGCTTCTGTGCCGCTCATTACTGTGGCCACTAATGAGATGGGAGCCTACAGGTATGAAAATCTAGACAGATAAATGGCCTGCATTAACATTTCAGTGAGGATGTTCAGGACTTTTGGTGCCAAAGCCGCCTTTGGCTTTCGCTTGAAAACTGATGGACTCACTTTGGTGTTCCGCCCTGCGAATGGCTCTGATGGGGCCCTCTGGATGTTTGTCATCAGAGGATAGGTACAGTGTTGCAGCCATGCATAAAGAAAAAAATTATGCTTTAGAATCCAGTCATCCAGTTACAGCAATGGCAAAAGATCAAATGATGTGCAGTGGAACTAGAAGTATTCCCAGCTCTGCTTTAAAAAAAAAAAGAAATTTCATGTTAAGATGTTTCAACACTATTCCAGATTGTATTATATTAATCTCTTTCCATAAAAGACTTTACACACTACCCCATTATAGTAATGTGAAAATTGTTTTGAGATTTCCGCATATGTGTTAATTAGGGCTGCACGATATAATCGGCCCCCTATCGGTATCGGCCTTAAAACTGAATATCGGACGTCGGCCACCCCACCGATATTTAACCCGATATTTGATCAGTTTTTGAGTTTCTAAAGTCTAAAAAAAAAATAGAAAATACTACTTCTTTTTCTTCCTCAAAAACTTCTTTTTTACAGACTTAAAAACTTCTAAAGACGAGGGAAAAAATATTGATACATTAAAATATCACAATATCTTTATTTGCTGATATATTGCCATTTAAAAACACCATATCAATCTCTTTTACTAATGAAATATTGCTATATGTCATCGTTATGCTACGAAATCCCCCGAAAATTCACGAAATGTTGCCATATTTTTATATGTTGATATATTGACGCTGTATCGATCTATTTTACTAACAAAATCTCACAAGAATTTGCAAAACATCACGAGAGTTTGTAACGGAACGATGAAATTTCACGAGATTTTGAAAGTAAAATAGGTCGATACCGCGTTTTTAAAAATCAATTTGATATCAGCATATGAAAATATATTTGAGTATATTATTTTTCAAAGTGTCAGACATGGATAACAAAACTGCTATTTTCAATGACTACTTATTTTTGTCCAGCTTTAACATCAGTATCGATATCGGTTATCGGCTACATGAGTTTTAAAATATCGGCATATCTGATATCGCCAAAATCCCAATATCGTGCATCCCTAGTGTTAATAGAAAGTTAAGAACTTTCTGCTTTAGATGTTTTTTATTGAAACTTGCTAAAAGTCTATTTAAGCTTAGAGCTCTAAACAACGATTAGCTCATTTGTTTTATTTCCAATGATTTCAACTAAAATACAATCAAATATATGAAATCATCTCAAAGGTGCAGATCTGATGCATGCTTTTTATCCACTTAATCTTATAAGAGATCTTTATTCATCATGGTATTTATTGCACATGACCTTAATAAGGAAGTCACATTTGCTGCATTATTGCTAATTAGGCTAATAACGAACCTGCTGTTTGTTTTTTTTTGTTTTTTTTTATCTCATAAAACCTTCCAGTATTTGCTCCTTCTATTTTCAGAGTTTAATAATGAACCAGCCTTTGCCTTGTGTATAATCTAGGCTTATGGATTCTGCTTATTTCTCTTCCTGTTTGTCAGCGTGGGCCCGCTCCACAGTGACCGGCTCTACGACATCAGCGCCAGTAAGGAAGGCTTTGTCCTGAGTCCTGTGGAGGGAACCCCTGGAGACTTCAAGGCATTTGCTCTAGCTGGTGTCACCTTCAAGGTACATGTGACCATCATCTGCAAACATGCTGAAACGGCAAGACCGGCATCATCAGACTCTTTTTTTTTACACCTTCCGTATTTTCGGTTGTGGCGATATTGTATCGATTTGTTTCTATGATGATACAACCTTTACCAACATCTCAATATCTGTCCTGATGATATATTTTTTATTTGAGTCAATTTACAAATCTGTGATTGATACGATACAATGTCATCTGCACAACACAATGATTCATATTTATATCACATATCAGGTATTTGAATTAAAAACAGCGTTCTTCTTAAAAATGCTTCTTAAAAACTTGTAGCCAGAGGCTAAATGTTACTAGGGGGACTAGACTGGAAAGCAACTTGCAGCACTGCACTGTCACAAAATTATACAGCCTTCCTCTTTTTTAGAATCTGATAACAGACAGCATTGAACCAGTTATGGAGTTTGTTATAAAGACAAGGAAAGATTTTCTCCTCTAGATTAAATCCTACATCGGAGAACCAGCAATATGTCTGATCAGGAAAGTGTCATCTGGTTTGTCCTCCAACAACAACATTTAGCTTAGTTAGCTCTCATGTTTAAGGGGAGCTCAGACTGCTATAAAGCAGCCATCTTAGTCACATGACCCATTCAGAGGCTACATAGCTATAGAATTTTTTCAGTAAGGCAGCCTGCACAGGGCTTCAGTACACACCAAGTACTGTATAATGACCTGAAAATCATTGAATATATCATATATTAAGCTAATAGGCCAGTAGTTATGCATTTTGATGCTTTAATGCCAGATATTGTTTCCTAAAGTTGAAAGTTTGCAATAATAAAATTGTATTTTTATCCATCTGGATAGGTGTATTCTGAAATTTAGCCCTTAACTTATCCTACTAGCTTTAAGTAAATGAGAAATATTAGAACAAGAAGCTTCTGTTAGTGTTTTTTTTTTCTCTGAAAGTTTAAATTAAAAGAAAATCCCTCACATTTGGTTTGAAACCTTTTTTGTTTTCGCTTGATACTAGGAACCTTTGTTCTGCCTGTCCTGTTAGTGAGAACCCTGCAGAAGTTAGTATTGGTCTCCCTTCCTGACTCAGTGATAAATTGCTTTGCCGTCAGTTCCACCCCATTTGCAAACAGTCTTGTGCCTTTGTTTAACCTTCCCATGTACATCTCCTCTTAAATGCAACATATGTCACCCAAAATTCAACAGCCAGCCTTATTACATCCACAGCAACCTCAATTTGTCTCCTAGGATCTTTTTTTTTCTTTTGTACAAAAAAAAAAAAGAACTAGATTTTTGAAATTACTTTCTGTTTTTCCTGTAGATACTATCAGATGACGGTCAGCCGCTGTCTGGTGTGCTTCTCTCTCTGAGTGGAGGACATTTCCGTTCCAACCTTTTGACTCAGGACACCGGTCTTCTCACCTTTAATAATCTGGTGAGGAAGAAGCTCAGAAAAAAACATTCAATCATTTTTTCCAGCTTCTAATAACCTTTCTTTTCTCTTCAGAGTCCAGGTCAGTACTACTTCAAGCCAATGATGAAGGAGTTCCGCTTTGAGCCGGCGTCTCAAATGATCACAGTGGAGGAGGGTCAAAACCTGAGCATCGATATAACGGGCGTCAAGACTGCTTACAGGTAACCACACTTAATGTATGCAGAGCATTGAAGAAATATCCACTTGCACCAGTTATTCAGTGTTTTTTGCTGCTCTTCTGTAAAAGAATCAGATGTATTTTAGAGACAATGATCATAAAGCATTATGAAGACCAAGCAGATAAATCAGAAAGGAACCTATGGAGGAGTTTAAATCAGGGTTAGGTTCTAAACCTGCAATATCTACCAAGACGTGACTGTTTACCTCAGGTGACAGGCTGGGAAAGGAGAGCATCAATCAGAGAAGCAGCCAAAATGTCCATGGTAACTCTGGAGGAGCTGCAGAGATACATAGCTATGGTTTGAAAATCTCTGGAAAGGAAAACCTTTTAGTTGTTTTCTCCCATAATCTGTGTGTCATGAAAGATGGACAAAAAGCAGGTGGTTGTTAAAGAGACCAACCAACATAAGGCAGAATTTCTAAAGGTTCCTACACAGCGAGCACATGAAAGCGTTTTTTTGGTCAGTGGAGACCAAACTTTAGGTTTTTTGGTCTGCAGGCCACACAGAAATATTGACTCTGCACATTCCCTCCATGAAACACAGCATTATTGTGTGAGCTTTTTTTTTTTTTTTATTAAAAATTTTCCTTTTTTTTTTTATACTTTAATCATCCCAGAGGGAAATTACTTCTCTGCATTTAACCCATCCTCTTGGGGAGCAGTGGGCTGCCATTGTGCAGCGCCCGGGGAGCAGTGTGGGGTTAATGTTCTCGCTCAGGGACCCAGAGTGGCAGTCTGTGGAGGCCGGGTAGCTGGTCAGAGTTAATAGGAAGATGAATAGGGCTTAAAACAGGGCAGTCACTGGAAAAAAAACAACAACCAAAAAGGTGAACCTTCCAGTTGGATCGCGACCCTAAATGTACAGTAAGAGCTAGGACTGAACAGGTTTGGTGTAGTCATAGTCCTAATTGAAGTCCAGTTAAGATTCTGTGTTCACACATGCGCTTCATCCAGTCTGACTGCAACTGAGCTGGTTTGCCGTAAAGGGAGGCCATTTTCTGCATCATGTAAACGTGGTAGAAAAAAAATAAAATAAAAATATCCCTAAAGACCTGCAGCTGTCTTCAGTAGGAGTTTTATCTCAAACTTAGAACAAATGCAAACCACAAACAGATTTTTTATTTGTAAAACTAATTTAAACCAGTTGGGTTTTAATATTTTTTTCTATTCCGCTTTACCATTTTTTATATTTTTTTTTCTGCTTATTTTTTGATGGCAACTAGGGCTGAAACAATTAATCGGATTAAACGTGATTAATCGATTATTGAAATAACCATCAACCAATTTAGTAATCGATTAATCGTTTACTGGAGTAAAGAGACTTCTAAAATATGCTTTTAGCTGACAGAGCGACCCACTTAGATCAGTAATTATATCAAAATAGTCAAACAAATATATATAAATATAAACATTTTGCATTTAATATATAAAAATCCTTTTCATCTCTCAATTTGTTTAATTCTGTAAAACATCTTCTTTAAGAAACCTTTCCCAATCCAATTATTAAATGAAAAAATAACTGACTGATTAATCGATTAACAAAACAATGGTTAGTTGCAGCTCTAGTTACAACCTAACATGCGGTAGAAATACTTGTATATGACTCTGTGCTTCCCGGCCTTTTTAGAAAGCATTCCACCTGCTTGTTGTTCATGTTTATTATTGTTTTGTTGGCAGCTGCTACGGAGCGGTGCAGTCCCTGAGCGGCGACGCAGAGAGAGACGTGGCCGTGGAGGCGGTGGGTCAGGGAGACTGCAGCCTCTACAGTGAGGACACCGTCACTGATGAGGAGGGTCGATTCAGACTCCGGGGTCTGCTGGTGAGAGAAGGCTTTGGATCTAAGGGGGGATTGGGATTTATCACATCCCCAAGGGACAAAAACACAAAGTTTTGACCTTGCTAAATATAATGTGTAGGTGGTATTTAAGTTGGCATAAACTGAGACAATCAATGGCTGTTTCTTACCTCTAAGATTTAAGGCTGTTTTATTTAGTACCATGCATGATTAAATGTTTGTGTTTTGTTATTTTCTTTCAGCCGGGATGCAAATATCTGATACAGCTCCGAGCTGAGGGCAACGACCACATAGAGAGGGCATTACCTCAACACAGATCTATAGAGGTTGGTCCCAGCATGGGTACATGAACATAATAGAAGACGATTGGTGGATGTATGAGTCATAAACAGAAAACGATAAACCTGAATGCTAATAACACTTCTATTTAACCAAGTGAGTTGAATAAAATATCCGCCTCTATAGAATCCCATTCAGATGCTATTATGCAATGTTCTAAACTTAATGGGGAGTAAATTTAGTTTTGCATCAAGATAAACAAATAAGTGTGCCTTTCATCCATCATTTATAGAAACAGTTTCTTAGTTTCTACTGGTTAAAGACAGTGTTTAATGCTTCTATAGATGATGTCCTGTACTGTGATTAGGAGAAAGCAAAAAGCCTGTGTATAAAAAGGCAAATACTTGATCTTGTTCCTTTGTGTTGGACTCACCTGGTGGTATAGCAGTGGTTAAAGTCAGGCAAAGATAAACAGAGGCTATAAAGCTTTGTAGCAAACGGCGTGCATGATGAGCTGCTGAAGAGACAAAACCCAGGAATTAATGACCAAAGGCTTCAACCAAGCCCACTAAAAAAACCTTTTCAACTGCTCAAAATGCTCTTTGTGCTGCATTTTCCAGTGAATAGGTTTTAACAGAAACGTTTGGAACCAGATTTCATTTTTTCATGCTGTTCCTGCATGAATTATAGCACTGATAAGAGGCAAATAAACTCATAAATAATGCATGGCGTTAGGAAATATGTCATTTATAAGCTATAAGCTGAAGATGTGAAACAGAACCAAGTATTTTTCTTTGGTGTTTTACTATTAATTGAATGGTCGGCTTATTTTGGTTTCCTTTTGACACAAACCCTAATTTTTATTACTCTACTCTTCCATCTAAAGTTCTGAGTTTCCAGAGTTGAGATAACTTATGTAAAGATTTTGTGTAATTTCCTTGTTAAATCTCAGTTATATAAAGAAAGTTAAAGAGTGTGGAAAACTTGGGTAATTGAAATGTTAAAATAACTGTGAGAAACCTGTGATTGTGACTTATATCAGCTTCATCACATGGGCCCTTTTTGTTCGGCGAACAAAAGCAGTGCTAATCCGTCCCCCAACCAAATTCTAACCTCTCGTTTTAAAATTTTATCTCTTCTGAAAAGCCGCAGTCTGCCTAATCCCTCTCACGAGGCAGGAAATGCCTTAATTCCCCTTTTAATTCTGTTATTATCGCACCACGTGACTTTAACAAAAGGTTTCCCTCATTTGCCTTTTTTTCTTTTCTTTTTTTAGCAGGTAGTGGTTTTATTATTACATTAAGCTGTGAGTTTCATATCAGGTTGGCAGCAGTGACATTGAAGGGGTCAACATCATCGCCTTCAGGCAGATCAATCAGTTCGACCTCAGCGGGAACATCATCACATCTCCTGAACATCTCCCAACACTCTCGGTAGGATCACTAATCCCTCATGTTTGGTCTGTTCTCAGACTGTATGATAATCTCAGGAACATTTTCATTCCAAGGTTTACAAGCATTCATCACCAACATGAGTTTGATTTTGTATCTTTAATATTAGCTTTTTTTTCCTTTGTTTTGTGGGGATGGATAAACTTAAGATTATAAAATTTAAGGGATTGTTGTCAACCGGAAATGGTCGGATGAGTTTGTAGCATGTCAGAATTTGACGTGCAGGCCATGCCAGAATGTGCATTGCGTATGGTCTACAAAAAAATACACACAGGTTCAAATTTCTAATTATTCCTGATAAAATGTCCTTTAGCAAGCTGTAGCTATGCTTGTCATTGCCTTAAGATGCAAAGGAAAGCGTATCTGCATCCAGCCTTTAAAATGTCGATAGGAATAAGGTTGGTGCTTTAGGAAGATCATTCCAGAAGCTTAATGTTGGCCTGATTCATTCATCCCAAAGCCAGCTTTTTAGTTTGGGATCAGCGGTCCTGTTTTTAGGTCCAGACTGATCAAAGCTTCATTCACCTACTGGTTGATTTGAAGGTGAGGTGATGTTATAGATATTACCGTATTTTCCAGACTATAAGACACTACTTTTTCCCCACGCTTTGAACCACGCAGCTTTTTTATTGAAAAGTCATAGTTGGAAATGAAAGAATAAGGGGCTAATTTTCATTTAGCAGAACTAACTAGCCAGCAGCAGACACAATGTAGAACATATCTCCCAAATTTACACATTTTGACATTTATTTGCTGCATTAAAGCTGCCAAACCAATAAGATACTGGGCTCAAGTCCTGCAGAGCTGAAATAAAGAGCAGACTAAGCCCCACCTATCAGTAGAAGCTATTACTGCTGCAAGCCAACAAGCTAACGGGAGCTAGCATTCTTCTTCGTCCCTACTCTAGGGGCTTTATGTAGAGCTCCTCCTACAGGTTTGGCAGGAGACAGTTCAGTTAAGGAAAGTGGCGTCCTTGTGTTTAAGGTGTAGAGCTTGGAACCCTGAGGTTGTGAGTTTGAAACCCACGGATTGCCACATTGGGTCTCTAAGCAACCCCTGATTGCTCCCCAGGCACCCCACGATGGCAGCCCACTGCTCCACAAGGGAATGGGTTAAATGCAGAAGCAAATTTCTCCAGATCAATAAAGTTCAATTATTATTATTATTCAGTGGATATCAGCGGCTTATAGCCTGGTGCGCCTTATATATGTACGTATCCAGTATTTTCAAAAGATTTAGTGGGTGCGGCTTATAGTGAGGTGTTCTCTATAGTCCGGGAAATACGGTAGATGTGGTGGTCTCTTAATGCTGCCCAATTCAGCAGCACTGCTGGACGATTAAAAGCCTCACCTTGACCTTTTCCAAATTTCCCTTAGCCGTTTTCTTTTGCTTATCTGATATCTACCCGAATAACTCGTCTCTAGGATGTATGTAGCTGCCCATGTGGGTAGAGGCAGGTTTCAGCCACACTTGAAGATTTTTAGCTCTTCTTTTTGAGCCGGCATCACCTGCATATATGGACTGGATTTGGTTAGCTTTCAGAAATAACATCCACAAACTTTGGTGAAAGTTTGCTTCCCAAGTGTCGAAAACTAACCAGTATAAGAAAGGTCCTTTATCTCTACAGGGAGGACAGAAACAATACCAAGTTGTTCTTTTTTCTATCATGATTGTTTTAACATCAAAGAGTTGAAAGCGCAAAGATAATGATCTTCTTGTTTGCAGGTGAAACTGTACAAGAGCGACAACCTGGACAATCCAATCAACACCGTGTCTTTGGGACAGTCCCTCTTCTTCCACTTTCCCCCTCTGGATAGGGATGGAGAGGTACCGGCTTAGCATCTATGCAAAATATTGCATTAACTAGTAATGATGTGTGTGCTTCATAGGTTTATAATGTGTAACCTGTCTCTCCTTTGGGTTTCTTTAGAGCTATGTTCTCATGCTCTACTCCACCCTGTCCCGCTCCCAGTATGACTTTACGCTACCTCAGGTCTCCTTCACTTCCACTGGTTACCACAAGCACGTCACCCTCACCTTCAACCCTACTGTAAGAAACCGAAAAAACACGGCTTCATTTTTTCAAAGTCAACTTTATCCTCAACATCTAAAGAGTTTTGTTTAACCCTAACCTTTTCTCTCCTGTTTGTCTTTTTCTCCATTTTTCCTGCAGCGTAAAGTGCCGGACCAGGATGTTGCACAAGGCTCCTACATTGCTCTGCCTCTAACTTTGCTCTTGCTGTTAGCGGCGTACAACCATGAGAAGGTATCTGTCAAATTAAACCGAATCCAGACGTCCAATACTAATGGACTTATTTTTCCTCAGTTTTATATTTCTAAATCTTGTATTGAATTTAGTTTATTTAGTGATAGCGCAGGAGAGAACGACATTAACACGTCATTACCACCATTTCGGAAGATGAAAGCTAAACGCCAAGAGCTCATTTCCATTTTGGAAAAAGACAATGAGAACAAAGAAACTGCTATAATGAAATTAAGTATTAATCAAAATGATCAAATATTTAGAAAGACTCCATTCCTGTGGAATCGTCTGGAATTAGATTTCAGTATTTTCCAGGTATAAATATGGAGGAAAAATATATTTCCAGTCTGTCGATGGAGGAAGAACACATGATTTAGACAACGGGGAGACAAAGATTTACATTTCTTTTCTTTTTTCCACCTTGCCTCATTGTTCATTCCTTCCCTTCTTTCTACTTACACTGTCTTCATATTTACCTTCTTCTTGGGGTATTTTTACTTTGCAGGCAAATTCATCCCAAATATATTTCTTTCTGTCCATGTGTTTCATATCAGACTTTTTCATGGCAGTTAAAAGGCCCAATTGTGATCCATTAGCCTAAGTAAATAAAATGAACCATAAATAAATAAAAATCCCTGTGTTCTCTGTGTTAAATTTTAAATCGTCTGCAGGCTGAGCGATCATGTTGCATTTCATCCAGACTCTGATTCCTCACACAGACTCCTCTCCAACTCCGCAATCACTGCTCCACAGATACCTTAATATTTCTGCTCTTTATCCTTCCTTTACCTTGATTTGGCCACAATACTGTCAACAATTTATAACAACACAGAGATAGGAACTCTGACATTACTTCTGTAAACAGTTCTCTGCTGTGTTGGGCTGGGTATAGTTCAAAAATTTTCGGTGCCGGTACCAATACCGATACCTTCACTTCAGTACCGGTTCCTGAACAATACTTTTTTCGATACCAATTTTATAATATCAATTCGAAGAAAAAGAAAATTACACAACATAAAAAAGTACAAATCTTGAGTTTTATTTTAAAGGAATAGTACACCCAAAACATGATTAGCCTTCATTTTCTACTCACCCCCATGCTGAACAACACTCTGGAGTACTTTTTTGATATCTCAAATGCATCTGGAGATCTGGGAGGCTTCTTGCTGTCTGCTGACATTCAAATAATGGAGGTCTATGGCGCCCGAGACTGAAAGGTCCATAAAAGTCCACAAAAAACGTGTCAATATTCCTCCATACTGCTCGTCCAATGTATTCCAAGTGTCCTGAGTGGGTAGCGTCCATAATTTACTCGAAACGAAGTCATTTAGAATGTTTTTAGAGCATAAACAGTAATGTATAGGATTTCCTAAAAGCGCGCGCATGCGCGCTCACGAAGCTACGGAAGCCGGCAGACCAAACCAGATGAAAGTGCGCATTCAGCGTCTGCTCTGCCGATAATGCAAGCGTAGAAGAAGAAATGTGCTGTTTACCTGTGCAAAGAAAGAAACAACGAAAGAAAAATGTCTGAGGACTTCAGTGTTGAGGAAGAGCATGAGTTCTTTGCCGAGCTGAATGCGCACTTTCGTCTGGTTTGGTCTGCCGCGGTTTCCGTAGCGTTGTGAACTCGCAGGCGCGCGCTTTAGTAAATCCTATACACTACTGTTTATGCTCTAAAAACATTCTAAATGACTTCGTTTCGAGTAAATTCTGGATGCTACCCACTCAGGACACTTGGAATACATTGGACAAGCAGTATAGAGGAATATTGACACGTTTTTTGTGGACTTTTATGGACCTTTCTGTCTCGGGCACCATAGACCTCCATTATTTGAATGTCAGCAGACAGCAAGAAGCCTCCCAGATCTCCAGATGCATTTGAGATATCAAAAAAGTACTCCAGGGTGTTGTTCAGCATGGGGGTGAGTAGAAAATGAAGGCTAATCATGTTAAAAATAACTTAAGAGACCTGGGTTATGTTATTAAATAATGACAAAGAATAAACTAAAGTGACCAGAAAAGTGACCAAAATTAATATAACAACTTTATTTATAAATTTATTTATTTATTTATTTGTTATATTTATTTTGGTCACTTTTCTGGTCACTTTAGTTTATTCTTTGTCATTATTTAATAACATAACCCAGGTCTCTTAAGTTATTTTTCTTTAAAACAATTCTGTTATGGTTAAAGAAGTTGGTTAAATAAAGATTTAATTTAAAGTCTGTGTTTGTGTTCTTTATTAAAATTAAATCATTTAGCAATATCATTAAATGTCCAGGCAGAGCTGCACATAAAATATGGTTTCAAATCTTTTCAATAATTATCGATCAATATGCATTTTTTTTTATCGATAAGCTTTTTTTCTATATCAGCCAGCCCTACGAGGCATGTTTTGATGCTCTGTAGAACCGAAGCATTTCGGTTGGTACCATAAAAGAACCGATGTTCGGTACCCAGCCCTACTGCTGTGTGACTCTACACTGTCTTTCTGTGCATGTGGGTCTCTTTGAAATGTTCCCGAATAGACTCTGATGGTGGTCGCATTTAGGAAGTAGTCTGAACCATGGGAAAAAAAAAATCTGAAATGAGTGAATGTAGCCTGCTTCCAACCTCTTTCTTCCCTATTCATCTCCCTCCTTTTCTCTTTCCTACAATCTTCCTTTTTTCTGCTCTTATGTGCTACCTTCCATTTTTCCAGATTCTTCCTTTTTTCCTCTTTCTTCTTGTTGTCTAACTTCCTTTTTTTTTCTTGTGTTTTTTTATTTTTTACCTTGCTGTAATCAATCATTTAAAAGCAGCCTGACATCATCACATTGACCATTTTAAATGCGGTAAACTCAGTAATGCAATACCTCCTCGATGATCTAATACTGCTTTTGAGCCAGTGACTTAAATAACCAGTCTGTAGTTTCTTATTTAAGTGTATTATTTCCTGTCAGACTTGTAATTTATAGTCCTTTTGTTCCAGGTGATTCCACTCTTGTTGCAGCTGGTGAATCGTGTCCAGGGTGCGAGGAGCATGGCTCAGACCAGCACAGACAGCGCTGCTCTAGATGAAGCTAAACGTCAGGCTAAAAGACAGAAAGCCAGGCGTACGTGAGGCGGGTCCATCCCTCACATCTTTGTCCACTAAACTGAACACTAGCCACAGTGACCTCAAAGAACGAAGAGGACTCGCTTCACAGGCCTCTAGGCCCATGTGTTGGTTTGCTAGTGAACTGTTTAGCTGGCCAAGATGTGATTTAGATGGGGAAAAAACCTGAACCCCTTAACATGCTTTGGCAACACCTCGTCAGCCAATCGGATTCACCAGACAAACATAAAGCTGGGGCTTTACATTTGTTTGTTTTCCACCAGTTTTTGTACATCATACCTGTTCATATTTTTATACATTTGGAATTAATTATGGTCAACATGTTCATTTTTAAGCTCTTACCTGCCTCTCATGTTTTTATTGTTCAGGTTCAGGACTTCAGGTGTTACATTTCTATCTGGGCTAAGGTCAGTTTAGATGGTGCGCGGTAGTTTTATTCAGACTGTGGCATGAATTCAATCAGACTGAATTAATTCACCTGTAAATATGACACCAGGTGTTCTGTTCTAAACTGAGCTAAATCTGCTAACAGAGATGCTAAATCCTCTGAGTTACAGTGACACACTCCACCTATGATGGTGTTCTCCTCTGAAGATAACCCTTCACTTCGTGTCCATGTCAGGAAAAGCATAAGAAGGCAGTGAAGATCACAATGCTTTTTTTTTTTTTTTTTAAGAAGCCGGGGTAAGGGGGAAATAGCTGATTAATTTATTAACTTGTTTAATCAGATGTGAATGATGAGTAGTGGTGTTGAGTGCAGCTTTTTGTGTGATTATCTAGTGTTAAAAGTTGAAAAGTCATCCTTAAAACTGTGAGTTGATGTGACTCTACACATCGCCTGTCATGAGTCAAACGATTCAAACTTTTTCTGATTTATTATTATTTCCTGTCTAGTTTCACTTTAACTCCAGGGTTAATGTTTAGCTGATTGAGGAGAAGGGGAGGGAATCTTTCATTAGTTCATGATCTTTTCTTTTTGATTTTTGACAAAATAAAGTTTGACTGAAAAAGGAGATTAACTGGACTGTTTTATTAACTTGCCGGTTGAGGGCAGTGTTATTCTAGCCCCAAAACAATCAGACAGCTCCTACAGTTAAGCTCCTTATCTTAATTTTTTACTTCTTCTTATGAAGTACAAAATGTGTACTATATTATAACTTTCCACCTTGTTACTCCTCCTTTCTATGTGTATGTAAAATACCTCAAAATGTGCTTGTTAGAGGTTAGCTATGGTATTAAAGCACTGCATCACTAACCTGGGAAGGTGACCTGCTAACAGGTTTATCTTTTATACTCTGCAGTCATAGCTTCGTACCAACATCTGTTTTTTTTTACCTGCACAAGCAGCTACATGAGTGATCGAAAGGGAAATTGTCCTGTATCAAAGCAGCTGATAATTATTTTTTTAACATCTAAAGATGGCACATCATTTAACTTCAATTAAGCTCTCACTTTTATTTTTATTTTCTGCACATTCAGTCAAAAGTACTTTATCACTTTGTCTTTGCTGCAGATGGTCTGAATTAAACTGAAGCAGTGCTAATATATTCCTAAATGGTGCCAATATTCTTGTTTGGGTTTTTTTCCTCAGGAACAGTGGAAATGATGCGATATATTTTAAGTAAAAGTCAGTACCTCATTCTGACTCAAACAGCAAAATTCAAAGTTCGACATTCAAACAAGATGCTTTCAACTCACCGGTAGGGTTGTAGAGTTTGGCTGAAATAAAATGTTTGTATTTTCCCCTAAAAATTCTAATCATGCTCTGCTCTAACCACAAGCATATACATGTTAGGCTTCAGGATTTCATTTATTTACTTATTTTTTAACAACCCTCTTGTCCAGAGTTTGTTTTGGGACTACATTGTTAGGAGGGAAAATTCTCACTTCTAGTATGGAGGGTATTACCACCACCTGATGTGCTGGAGCGAAAAGCTAGGTCCCTTACTCATAAAATGTAACATTACCTGCAATTTGGTAATCCTGTTTAAAACGATTATATTCTTAACACCATTAATTACTAAGCCTAGTTATTTATGAAAGCAAAGATTCGTTCTAAATGTTTCACCTCTTTCCATTCTGATAAGTATCCCCTCATCTTGATACTGCCATCACCTCTTAAGGTTAGTTTTGGCATCATTTTATAATTAATTAACTGATGTTTACATCATAGTTAAGCCTAAAATTATTAATCCATTTGAAGTGTTTGAAGTCATGTTTTGAAATGCCCAACTTTACATGGCGCTCATAATTCATCATTAAGACAAATACTTAAAATACTACAAATATCCATATGCAGAAATCTGGTATATGGGTTGGAGAGATGGTTTCAATAATGTAATGCCAATGAAAGCAGTTAAAAGAAAATTTGAAATTGCTATTTTTTTTTTTTTTTTTTTTTTTGAGACATTTCTGAGAACAATTTTAACTTTTTTTTTTTCTTTAAAATCTCCCATGGCTATAAACAATTCCTAACAGTGGCTCTAAGCCCCAGATTTAATTCTGGTTCTCTCCGCTTCTCCGTCATCTTTCAGTACCCAAAAAGTTCTTCAGTACCCTGCCTGAAATAGATATAAACCATCCCTGAAATGAAATAATTTATCATCAAGCCAGTTCAACTTCAAAATCCCAAACTTTTGTAACTCTTTATCGTCTTCTGTAAGAACTGATATTTTGCCTTCCTCTCCTGTTACACTGACGCGTTTGACACGGTACTTATGTGGATCCTGCACAGTAAGCTCTACTTGCCTGTACTCTGTGGACCTCCTTCCAAAGATAGCAGGTGTTCTGTCATTCAGTGAACAGCCTGTTTGACAGCAGCCGAGACACCAAACCAAGCTCCTCTGCTGGCATTTTGATTTGATGCAATTGAGATGCACCCAATTAGTGTGAGCCACGCAGCTCGGTGTCTGTCTTGAAATGAAAGCTTCAACACATACGGGTGTCAGCAGCATGATCAGATAAGCTTGTTGCTCTCTGGATACAAACCACATCTTGTTTATATATAAAAAAAAAATCTATTTTCATTATTTTATACAAACAATATGATTTTTCTAATTTATATTTTGAGATGGGAGGGTATTATTAGGCACCTATCTGTTTAAAAACTTGTCAGATTTTACTTAAACTAATTCTTTCAGTCATATCTTATTTTGAAATGCTTAGCATGTCCTTTCAAAATGTCTGTGAGGTACTTCCAAGCCAATGTCATATAATAAAGGAGTTAAAAACATCTATGCTGTACTTTCAAAGAGGAAATTTCTTACCCATCTTCCCATATGGTCTTTATTATCTTATTTTGTATCACTATATAAAGTGATATATGACTGTGTAATTCAAATCTATACCCGATGATGTATAGGCAAAAGAAAAAACATCCCAACAGAGAAGAAAGGAGGCAGCAAGGGATCAAACCCGGATGTTCGATGCAAGGAAAAGATGGAGGGAGGAAGGATTTAATATTCAAAGTGTATGATTACAAGATGACAGTGGTGAGGGTGATGTGTAACACTATCAACTCCATGCTCTCTGTGGCAGCTAAGGTCAGTGTGTATGAACCGACTCTCAAGTGAGGTTTATATCAATACAAGAGGTGGGTCATATTCCCATTTTCTGAAATCCAATGCTTGCTTACAGCTACAAGCACAGACGCTTTGGAGGGGAGGAGCTTAAGCAAAGAAAAGGCACCTATTGTAATTTTTTGCACTAAACTAAAAAAAAACTAATCAACTCATTAAATACAGTAAATCAAGTTATCAAACTGAATAAATAAAAGGCGAAAACTGACAAAACACAGCTATATTCTGTATTTTTTAATGAACACACAACATTTTGAATAATCATCAAAAATATTTTGACTTAAAAATGATCAATAACTCTGCTCAAAATAAATTAAAATGAGAATATAAAGCCTAAATATAAAGCTTCGGCATCCGACTAAAAAAAGTCCACAAGTATTGTACTGAAGACAGGAACACTGGAAAGATGAGCCATGCCTTGCCGGATGTCTTGATAGGCTGATCAAACAAGAAAGCAGAACAAACACCAGAGGCTGCAAACACACACAGTGCCTTTATTATAAATTGGCAACAACAATTTAAATTTGGTAATGATCCAGATCATGTGCGAGTTTTATCTATAGGTATAAGTCACAATATAGGGGGAAATAAAATAGGATAGGCCTATAAAATAGTAGCAAGTTCTGCTTAATGAACTATTAGTGAAGTGGTTTCACCAGTGATTTTTCAGTCATAGGATGAGGCATGACTAAAACAGATCAGTGTGGTGTCCATAGTCGTACAGCCCATTTGAAAGAGTTCTTTTAAGATTATTGATGAGAATGGTAGATCATTATTAAGTATTATTTACTATTTTATCCTGATGAAGGTGCAGGTTTCTTATCAAAGCTGTTTCTTCTAATGAATCTGCCAAGCGCTAAGAAGTTAGGCAGATGAACAGATCGGCTGTTAGGTTTGATCCAAATAATGAAAATCGGTCCGCACTCTTTAGCAAAAGCAGAAGGGCAACAGTAAATGCCATGATAAGTGCTGTCTGAATAGCGCTAGTAGTAAGGAAGGATTATGGTAAAAGAGTCTGTATGCTTCCTATCATGCAGTTGGAAGAAAGCCATTTCTTAAATATATCCATAAAAAGTATAACTTAAAGTTCGCCATAAGCCACCAGGGAGACACAGCAAACATGTGGAAGATGGTGCCCTGATTAGATGAAACTAAAATCAAACCGTTTTGCAAAAATGCAAAGTTTTATGTTTGGCCGAAAAGTAACACAGCTCATCACCTTGAAGACACCATTCCCACTGTCAAACATGATGGTGGCAGCATCATGGTTTGGGACAGGGAAGATGGATGGAGCCAAATGCAGAACCATTCTGGTAGAAAACCTGTTGGAGTTTGCAAAAGATCTGAGAATGGGACGGAGATTTATCTTCCAACAAGATAAAGATCCAAAACATAGAGCAACATCTAAAATGGAATAGTTCACAAAAAAAAAAAAAAAAAAAAAAACATTCAGGCGTTGGAATGGCCAAGTCAAAGTCCAGACCTTAATCTAATTCCGAATCTGTGGAAAGACCTGAAAACTGCTATTCACACCTTCCATCCAACCTCAAAAAAAAAGAAAGATGGTCAAAAATTTCAGTTTCTCAACGTGCAAAACTGATAGAGACATACCCCAATGACTTGCAGCTGAACTCGCAGCAAAAGGTGGCGCTACAAAGTATTAAGTCGAAAGGGCTGAATAATTTTAATCACCCAATTTTTCCTATTTTATTAATTGTTCAAAAAGTTTAAAATGTCCAATAAATCTTGTTCCACTTCATGATTGTGTGCCACTTGTTAATTCTTCACAAATATATATTTTTTATAACTTTATGTTTCAAGCATGAAATGTGGCAAAAGGTCGAAAGAGTTCAAGGGGGCCGAATACTTTTGCAAGGCACTGTATTCACATGCCCTCAGATAATGGACTGTCTGTAGTTGTCTTGTCAGTTCTAAATGCTCTGTTTATCACAGCTGAGGTCAATTCACTTTACCGGTTTGAAATCTCCCAGTTCAGTGCTGAGAAAAAGACTGAGTTAATTTCTTAATTCGAGCCAGTACATTCTTTTTGTTTTTGTCTTTTGAGGTATTAGGTATTGTTATTGTACAGTAGGCTGACAGAAAAAGTGGTACGAGAGAGGGGAGAGACATGCTACAGACCACAGACCGCATTCAAACCCAGGTTGGCCATGTTGAGGACTAAGGATTCCATACATGGGTCGTGCAAACTAACCACAAGCATGACCGAGCCAATTACATTTTGACAAACCTTTTTATGTCATTAATAATAATTGATCTTTATTGATTTCACATTGGAGAATGTATCTCTGAATTTGACCCATCCCAAAGGGGATGTGGGCTGCCATTGTGCGGCGCCTGGGGAGCTGTGTGGGGTTAAGGGTCTTGGTCGGAGACCCAGACTGGCAGTTTGTAGGAATGGGCCTCAAACTCAAAACCT